CAGTACACCAACTCTCAGATAGACTACACCATCAAACTCACCTTTAAATTTGCGTTAGAATGGTATATACAATGTCTATGCTCAGAGCAATACATCAGTCTCTACCACACCATCTATCTAAATCAACCATTACTATACTCAGATCAGGTCAGATCAGGTCAGATCATGTCAGATCAGGACAATCAAGATCAGATCTTCGGACCGAGTTAGACCGATCACATGCTCGGACCGATTAGACTGGAAGTCGCGACACGAGAGTTGTGTGGGAAACAACTGCCTGAAGTGGCCAAACGCTCAGGCACGGATTTCTGAATCTTCGGTAAATCAACGAGTCAGGGATGACTCGTAACCTTGCACTTGCCTTTGTCTGTGTTAGTACGCAGCCACCTAGCCGTTGCTGATATTAGATTGAGATTCTCAACTCGCTCCCACACTCATCGCTGCAGTTACCGCCTTTGTCGCTGCTGTTGCCAGCTTTGTTATTGTGCCTCGCCTTGCTTTGTCCGCTACCTTACCAGACTTGGTAGTTCCTTATTCAATCCCAGGGATCGCTGTAAGGAGTTGGGTTTATCGCTGCCTTTGTCGCTCGCATTGCACTCACCTTGAGCACGCTGTCATTCTCACCAACTACCTCAACCGTAGTTCAGGAAGGCTTTTGGTGGAGTACAGCCACCTCATTGGCCTGGAAATCATCTACCATGAGGATCGCTTGGACACCCTCTACTACATGTACGAGCTCACCTTTCAACACCTACACTCTGCTTGCGACGGACCTGTACCGGCGTTATCTGGGACCCATCGCAGTTATCAGTCGTCATCAGCTCGCATTGCCTACTATCGCCACCACCCTCTCCTCTCTGCACCCCAAAGGCCATCACCTTCAACTTCAAACCTGCTGCTTTGCCCACACCCGCCACACATCCTGAAGACTTTCTGCCCAAATTTTAAATCATGCCCTTTCTTGACGCCACCAACTACCCTGCAGATCTCCCTCAGACTGGATTCCACATTGACACAGACGATGAAGACGATTATTGCCTTCCATGCACCTTGGACAACGACCTACTGATCTGGAAGGAGACTAACCCAGACACCGGAGTGGTCACCTAGTGGATGTGTACTAGCATCAGGGTGCCCCCAACGCCCTTGTCTACAGACAACCGCACCAACGTGATCAGCATTGCTAAGGACCGACAGAACTGTGACCTGCAGCAGATGGTCATCAACCAGCAAGCCCAACTCAACGCCCCGCCGCAGCCGATCATCATCCAGCAAGCACCAGGTCTGCAATGCTCGCACATCCGTGTCTACGCTCCACGCACTTTCTCTGGTGTCTCCAACGACAAGGGTGTCTATGACCCCACGCCACGCGACTTCATCCGGAACATGCGAAACTACCTCGTTGCTGAAGAAGAAGCCGCCGGTAACCCGCTCACCGACCACAACAAGATTGTGCTGGTCTCCATGCTCCTCGACCAGTCCACAGCCATGTGGTATGAGCAGATTATGGCTGAATATGCGGAGTATCGGCAGATGGCAGATCGAGCCCAGCAGCAGGGACAGCCAGTACCGGCTTGCACCGGCCCACTCCTTGATCTTGACACATTCTGGAGCACCTTCCTTCAGCAGTTCAAGGACGTCAATATCTAGAAGACGACCATTGCCAAGATTCAGTCCATGCAACAAGGCACTCAGTCTGTGGAGGTACACACGCACCTGTTCAGGGACTGGGCTTGCCACATGGGCTTCAATGACACTGCACTCATTGAGCTCTACAAAGCTTGAAGCCTGCTATCTGCGACAAGGTCAACAGCCAGGGCAAGCACCGCCCGGATACGCTCCAAGACTGGTACGAGGACGCTGTGCTATTTGATAGGCAGTGGCGTGAAGATCATCCGGACCGGCCCTCATTGCAGTCTACCCCTGGTAACTTGTCCTTGCGCAACCAGTCTGCCGGCATGAACAACAACACCAGCCGGTCTACGGGTGCTTCGCAGCAGCAGCAGCCATCACACAATGCCAACCAGTGGCAGCCGCGCAACGGCAACTAGCGCCCATGGGCGGCCCCTGCCCAGCAGCCGCGTGCGCCAGCACCAGCGGCTAACACCGGGTGGTTCCGACGGACATCGATGCGGCCAAAGCAGCCATGGCGTGCTATCACTGTGGTGAAAACCACTTGGCGTGTAACTGTGATACACCAACGGAGACTATTCGGCGGAAGTATAGTTGGGATCAGATGATTCCTTTCCCTCCAGGCTATCAGGCCCACGCCACGATGTTTGCCAACATAGACAACTTCGCCGCCTCGCTGTCCCCTGCTGATCGGGGTGGGTTCAAAGTTAAATGTAATGGCCTTTGGGATGTGGAGAGGCGAGGGTGGGGGCGATGGTAAGCAATGCGAGCTGATAACAATGGATAACTGCAATGGGTCCCAGATAACGGCTGGCATGTGTCCGTCACAAGTGAAGCATGAGTGTTCGAAGGCAGGCTCAAACTGGTAGTGAAGAGTGTCTAGGCAATCCTTACAATAGACAACTTCTAGATTAGTGAGTTGGCTGTACTCCACTAAGAGCCTGCCTGAACTATGATCAATGTAGGCAGTGAGGATGACGGTGTGCTGAAACTGAGTGCAATGCAAGTTGTGAAGATTACAAAGGCGGCAATAGACATAACTCCTTACAGTGATCCCTGGGATTGAATAAGGGACTATCAAGCCTATTAGAGTAGCGGGCAAGGCAAGGCAAGGCATGATAACAAAGCTAGCAAAGGCAGTGACAAAGGTGGTAATGGCGGCAATGAGTGTAAGAGCAAGTTGAGAACCTCAATCTAATGTCAGCAATGGCTAGGCGGCTGCTTACTAATGTAGACAAGGAGCGAGTGCATGTAACCAAGATAAGCAGCGAGGTAGCTAGTGTATTGACTAGATCGAGGTTAAAGGTCAGTTACAAGTGGGAGTGCAGTCTTATATAGGTAAGGCAAGGTAAACAGATGTAAACCAAGGGCAGGAACTGGATGAGTCGTTTGTGAGTCACGGGAGTTGCCGAGTCACGTGAGAGTCTGGGAAAAGGAAAAGAAAATGGATAATTGGATGTCTGTAACATAGGCCAGTCAGCTCAAATAACACTGTTCGGAGGCAGGATGCTGTTGCAGCTCGGGTCGTCGTGGTGAGGGATTGAGTGCAGCGCGCATGATGTCATCCTCCTACTTGTATAGGCAGCCCAAGCCAAAGGCCCCACAAGGACCCCTCCTCGTGGGATGGCCTATCAATTCTTGATTAGCTGTCAGACAGGAGCCAAGAAGCGAGGTGTACTGATGGGCCGATGAGGCCGATGAGGAAGGATCACCGCATCATAAGATGAACAAGTGTGCATGATTTATTGGGCTATCATGTGTACAAAATATATGTGTAAGCAAGAACAAATAAAACAGGGTAGATAATCGATGTGTGGGAGAATCGCGGCTTGCGAGCGATGCGCGGAATCGCGGAATCATGCAAAATCTCCCTGCGATGAGGTTTTGCAATCCTGAGGCGATTCTGCTCCCCGATTCCTGATCAACGTCTTCAGAATCGGCGTCGAAATCGCCGCGGAATCGCGCACTCTGACTGTAGCTACTTTCAGCGGCGATCATGCTTCTTCTCGATCTGCCCGTCGTTGCGCAGCTGTGCGAAGAAGCCACGCCAAGTTCTCGTACACGACGAAAGTCACACATGTCCCCGGTAAAACACGAACCTATTAGAAGGGGGGGACAATCAGTATTCTGACAGTACGAACTGAGATGTCAAAGCCGAACGAATCGCAAGGGGATACTTGTGTTGGCAATTCAGAGGCTCCTTCACCACAAAGTGGCAACAGAACGGGTTGCATGTAGTGATGGCAGTGGCATTAGAGCATGACCAACACTCACCAGATTCGTCCCCAGTCCACGATAGAACCCGCGCACGCCCTCGCCCGCATATGTATACCGAATCGTAGACATCACGCTTGCGCGTGACCATGACTGACTAGCACCTGAGGACGTCGATGCGCGTACGGCGTTCGTAGCTTCTTGTGCTATTCGGCTTGACTCAGCGGCCATACTTGACGGTGATGTAGATGACGAGGATGAAGCGAGGTGAGTCGAGGATGATGACCCGGCTTGAGGCGACGTCAATATTCGTGGTGCTGATGAAGGTGTCGTGGCGGTGGCGAGAGGTTTCCCGGAGGAGGATATGGGGAGAGCTTGCATACGCGAGCGGACGACCTGATAAGGGTATGTGGCGACGAGAGCGAATATCTTCGACGCGCCGGACATGATGGTATACGCCGTATTACTCTGTGAGTCGAGAATAAGTGCGGTTCATAGCAATACGCGATATGGCTCACCAGTCGCTCGTCTCCGGGCTTCCATTCCCTGCCCTGCCGCTCAAACGCTTTCCTCTTACGCGCAAAGCCGAGGCGCTTGAGCTCTTCGTATGCCATGAACTGGAGGGCACCGTTACTAACGCCCACGAGCGCCAGCAATGTACCGCGCCAAAGACCGCGTACGCCCTCGTTCACGTAGACATCTCGCAAACCGTCTGTGCATAGCGAAGTCAGACTGGCTGTTCCATTTGATGAGAGAACAGGACTCACGGAATAAGCCAGAGTACGCGGCTGGCGATCCAGGCGGAGCCGTAAACATCCGCACTTTGACAACCCATATAGGGTTTGTCAATACAGCAGTGACAGCGCCTATTCGCACGTGAGATTGACGGCGGGCTGCAGGCGTAAACGACAGACTGACTCGCTTGAGCGGAACACAAGAGATATTGTCCTGCACCGAGGGCACGGTCAAGGTCGCCACCAGACGCACGACGTTTTAGCTGATTATAACTTCATTCATCAGTTAGTTCCCTTCTGCCTGCAGATAAACATATGACACACGCACAAGAGAAAGTATAGTCCCCAACTACTCGCATTACCCGCTATATTCGGTCCGATACCACGATATAATGCTCTCCTCCCCCCATCTTGGTATATATCCCGCAAGCTCGTCCATATTTGTCGCCCGATACCCGAAGTCGGCGCAGTGGTTGCTACTTGGAATTTAACCTTGAGCAGGTCGAGTGGGTGCATGCAGAGTACGGCGACGACGCCCGCGCCGAGACCGGCAGCGGCATGATCTAGCGCATGTGACGGGAAGAAAGACGGCCGTTGTCTGGGAGGTGCATTTGAGACGCCACCGGCCGAAGTCGAGGAGGAGGACATGGCAAGAGTCAGACGCGCGACGCGTCGATGACGCGCCTCCGCCCGACGCTGCACGTGAACGTTCCCTCGCCGCGTCCCGCTAACGCCGATACCAAGTCCTCGCTCTTGCTCTTTACGACCGACGGCGATGTTTCAGTCCAGGCCATGCAAACCCTAAAGAGGTCGGAGCCACAACATCGATGTGCGGTGCTTGAATGAGATTGAAAGGCCGACCTGGGTCGCCGGAAGGGGCGTGGTGCGCGAAAATGCGTACATACGCATCTACAAATCGCTGAGGACCTTGCCGATCGCGACGATCACCTTCCATATATCGCGGATTGGACTCCGATATTTCCATTCCAACTTACACCTGGGCCGACTCTGATCTCTCCTACACCGTTTCACTCGGACCTAGCGCCTAGACCTGTGCTTCGGAAGTGCAACTTGTCCTTGTTGAACGGAAAGACTTCGGCCTCGATTCCTGACTGAGCAAGAATTGCCTCACCGGACGCGTCGGACACGTACTTGGCCACACGATAGCTGTGCCGGTCCCTTGCTCATTCGCACTCAAAAGTTCGGAAAGGCCAAGTCTGCATGTCTCTCTACTCTCGACCGCTTGCTCGCCTCGTCCATCTCTCTCGCCATCTCCCAGCCCAGACACGTTCACGCGCGCTCTACCCGTCTCTACGCGCCATGTCATACGCTAGCCACTGGTCGCCGGGCACCTACCCGCCCGCGCACCGCTCCGACCACGTCGACGAGTACAAGTCCGCCAAGCAGGGCACCGTACGCGTCGCAGACCCGTACAACTGGCTCGAGCGTGACACGCCCGAGACGCAGAACTGGGTGACCGAGCAAGAAGCGTACACGCGCGCCTTCCTCGACCAGAACTCGCAGCGCGGTCAGCTGGAGGACAGCATCCGCGCCAGCACGGACTTTGAGCGTTTTGGTCATCCGTCTCTAAAGGCCGACAACCGCTGGTACTGGAGCTACAACTCCGGTCTGCAGGCGCAGAGCGTGTACTACCGCAGCAAGGACGCCACGCTGCCAAGCTTTAACAACGGCGAAACCGGTGCAGGCGGCGAGGTCTTCTTCGATCCCAACGTGCTCAGTGAAGATGGCACGGTAAGCCTCGCGACCGCCGCATTCTCGCGCGACGGAAAGTACTTCGCGTACGCGCTCAGCCGCTCTGTGCGTCTATGTTCCGCCTCGTCTGCGCTGTATCCCTGCTGACCGTGCATCTATCATCCGATAATCACCAACGCTCTCACCTTACCTCCACTCATGAATCCACTCACATGTCTGAACCGCGCCGCACTGTGCCGCACAAACCCATAGGGCAGCGACTTTACGACGATCTACATCCGGCCAACAACCGCACCCTTAACGCGTGCAGATGACGGCGGCGCATTATCCGACGAGGTCCGTTTCGTCAAGTTCAGCGGCATATCCTGGACACAGGACGGCAAGGGTTTCTTCTACCAGGTATGTTCGTATGTCCTAGTTCGCGACTGCTGCGGTTCGGATTCGCACGTGTCTATCGCGCGTCTGTCAGACTGTATCCTGCGTCTTTTTCGTGACATGCCTGGGAAGCGTGTAACTTGACGCTCGAAGGCTGGATTTGGGTCCCACGCCAGATAGGCTTCACGGGAAGCCGTAGGCATCTGTGGCGCCTGCGACGCGTGGTTCTACCGCCGGTTCTGTATCGCCGGGTACTGCTTGCCAAATGCGTCAGCAATTGCCCGCCCCTCGCTACATCCCTGCCCCGTGCATCTATCGTGCACAAGACTCGTCATGCTGACTCGGTACATAGCGCTACCCGGATCGTGCGTCACACGGTGAAGCTACGAGCGACAACGCGGGAACCGAGACGGAAGGCGACCGCGATGCGATGTTGTACTACCATCGCGTTGGCACCCAGCAGTGTGAGTCCATCAAGTCTACATCGTTCGCCTCTTGCTGATCAAGTCTCCATAGCTGAGGATGTTCTTGTGATGCGCGACGCGGAGCACCCTACGTACATGTGGCACGCAAGCGTAAGCGAGGTCGACGGGAAGTACCTCTACCTCTACACCAGCAAGGACACAAGCAGGGTACGTCTTAGTCGCCTTCCCATTCTTCGCCTCGATGTATGATTAATGTTAATTGCACAGAAAAACCTGCTTTGGGTAGCAGATCTGACAACTCAAGAGATTGGCGCCAATATGAAGTGGACCAAGGTCATCGACGAGTTTGAAGCCGACTACGGCATCATCGGCAACGACGGCACTAAACTCTACTTGCACACCAACGCCGACGGCGCGCTGCGGTATAAGGTACGTTGATACTTCTCCAGGCTATAACAGTAACTTCACTCAACCTCTTGCAGATCATCACGGTCGACCTCGAAGAGTTTGCTGCAGCCGGAGAAGGTGCGAAGATCTCCAGCCTCGCTCGTGATCTCGTCCCCGAAGATCCTGAGGCGAAGCTCGACGACTCGACGATCGTGGGTGGCTCGCGCCTCGTGCTGACCTACCAGCGTAACGTACGTTCATTCAGGCTTCGACGTGGTTTCCTATGCTGATCTACGATGCGCGTGCGTAGGTCAAAGACGAGCTCTACATCCACTCGCTCACTACAGGAAAACGCTTGACACGCCTGGCCGGCGATCATGTTGGCGCGCTCGGCATCAGCGGCCGTCGCGAGCAGCCATGGTTCTTCGTCAGCCTGACCGGCTTCACCAACCCGGGTATCGTGCAGCGGTACACATTCTCGTCAACTACAGCCGCCAATGGTGACGCAACCGGCGAGAGTTTGTGGCTCAAGGACGCTGAGCTAAAGAATGAAAGCGATGAGGGTCAACTGGAGACTTGGCGTGCGACTCGCGTCGCAGGTCTCGCCGGCACGGAAGGGTTCGTTGCCGAGCAGGTGTGGTACGAGAGCAAGGATGGGACGAAGGTTCCTATGTTCATTGTACGGCACGAGAGCACTCCGCTCGATGGCAGCGCGCCTGTACTCCAGTACGGTAAGCGACCATCCGCACTGTATCTGCGAAGGGAGAAGAGGCTGAACTCGCTTTTAGGCTACGGCGGGTTCACAATCTCGCTTGCTCCATTCTTCTCGCCAAGCATGTTGACCTTCCTCGCGGCTTACGGCGCGATTCTTGCTGTACCCAACATCCGCGGCGGTGGCGAGTTCGGTGAGGAGTGGCATCTAGCGGGCACGCGTGAGCGCAAGGTCAACTGCTTCGACGACTTCATCGCAGCATCGTACGTTGCCCTTGTAACGCCCTCCACTATCTCCCAGTGGCTGACTACATATATAGTGAATGGCTTGTTGCCAACAAATACACGTCGCGTGGGCGCATTGTGCTCAATGGTGGCTCAAACGGCGGTCTGCTCGTCGCTGCATGCGTCAACCGCGCGCCACCCGGTCTCATTGGCGCTGGCATCGCCGAGGTACGTCATCGTCTCGGCGACATGGTATCTTGGTCGCTGACGCTCTCGTGCAGGTGGGCGTACTCGATCTGCTCAAGTTCGCTGACTTCACTATCGGCCGCGCATGGACAAGCGACTACGGCGACCCTCATGAGCCCGCCGACTTTGACTTCATCTACCCAATCTCGCCATTGCACAACGTCCCCACCGTCGACGCAGATGGGAAGGAGGTTGTGCTTCCGCCTACGCTGTTGTTGACGGCGGACCACGACGATCGCGTTGTCCCGCTACACTCGTTCAAACATGCGGCGACGCTGCAGCATGTGAAGAAGGATAACCCGAATCCACTTCTTATCCGCATTGAGAAGAAGGCTGGGCATGGTGCTGGAAAGAGTACTGAGCAACGGTATGCGCTCTTACCTTTCTCTAGCCGAGGAGTATTGTATTCTGACTTTCGTTCGTTCAGGATCAAGGAAGCCGCGGACAAGTGGGGCTTCGTCGCTCAGGTTCTCGACCTCGAATGGAAAGCACCAAAGACGAAGAGTTCATGAGCAGGGCAGGCTGTCTCACATAAAGATGTCGGTCTAACATACAGCTTTACCATCTAAACTCGCGGCTCACAAAGTTGGCTTATCTATTCTTCATCGTTCTGATCTCTCTGTATCCGTACTGAGACGCCTACGCGTCGTAATTGCATGTTATCTATACGTCCTTCGTATCCAGGCAGTGTCTACATGACTTCCGCGGCTGAGGTCCCAAGAGTATGGAAATCTCTGCTTGCTACAGTACGGCTGAGTTGCGCTGCCCATGATTCGTAGACGCGCGTACAGGAACTTGCGAGAGCGCGGCGAGTCGAGCGCGTGACGTAACGCGTACTTTGACTCAAGCAAGCGTTATACAGGTGTACAATACATTGTACCGGAAGGACCCTCACTCTAGATACACTATGCGCGATGTATGTGCGAGCCCAGCTATCCTGTGCGGAGGACGAAAGTAGAGGCAAAGCGCGAGTTCTCGAGTCCATCAGCGCATGTGTGAGCCGCGGCGACTTGCTTTCGTACCACCATCATCTTCGTCGATCCCATATCCCCTACACTGTGCTTGCATGTAACTGTAAGACAAGAAGTTGGCATATAACATGAATGTTCTTATATCCAACGCTCAGGCCCCTTCCCCGATTTAACCGCCGCCCTAAACCGCCGCCCAATGCTACCGTGCTCGCGTCTATACCTCTCCACAGCGCCCCGCTCATCCTCTCGACTCCCTGCATTGAGATCCCTCATCAACTCCGCCATAAGCATCCTCCAATCAAGCATGCGCTCGTCCAATATCTCCTGCGCCTTTGTACCCTCCCGCTCAGAGCTGAGCAGCCTTGCTTCGAGCTCGTTCAGTTCGGCGACGAGATCGGCGTATTGTTTTGGGTCGCGAACTCGGCCCAGTTCGAAGGCGACCTCTCCATACCGATTCTGCAGCTCGACGTGCTTGTGCTGGGAGGTCTTGATCCGGGCTTCAAGATCGTCTAGGACCTTCCCTAGTGATGTGAGACGCTTTGAGAGCGCCGGGGATAGAACTAGTTCGTTGGGTTGGGAGGACGAAGATGGTTGCGGGTGCTGCGGGGGAGCGCTGTGCGACATCGTGAGATGGGATAGAGGAACGGGCGACGGACGGTGCAGGCGAGATGGAGCAGAGTCAAGACTAAGTTACCTGCTTTATACTGCGGACGCTGTGGTCGGGGACTTACGACGTCCTGACCTTCATTGTGCTCCCAGGACCACTTCACTAGTGGTCTGCGTGGTTTGCCCTCAGACAATTGAGCTGTGGCAGTGCGCGTACTATTCTTGAGACTTGAGTTCCTCTTCACTTTCGAAAGGATGGCGCTCCTCGACCAAATCACGATACATCAGAGTTCAAAGCTTCTGAACATATACATTTGCAACAAGCCGCATAGAGATGGATACATCCAAAGCTCAGAAAGACCGATCCGATGCTAAGTATCCGCCCAGAATTCAAGACTATTACATGACCAATCATCGAGAGCAGGCTTCCCGGTATAGATCAACCTCAAAGAACTTCAACTTCTCTATCACCACTCTGTATTCCCCCGCCTTCTTCAGGTCTTCCTCATCGATCTCCTCCTGCGCCTGCGCGAACGTCAACTGCCACGCATGTTCTATCTCCCCCAAAGACTTATTGTTTCTTTCGCGGTCCAGAGCTGACTGGTTGAGCATGGTCATCACTTCGCTACGCTCCGTGATGATGTCCTTGTAGGTCGCAGCGTCGCGAGCGCTGTTCGCCTTGGCATCGAGCTTGCTCAATATCTTCACGAGCTGCGCGCGCGTTTTCTCGATGCTATGGGAGCTCTCTACGGTCTCGTCGACCAGATGAAAGAGAATTTGCAACCGCTGATGCGTGGTGAGGTTGTTCGCGTGGATAGCCGAGGGCGATTGAGAGTTGGTGGGGATGTTGGCCGACATCGTGATGAGGTTTGTGCGTGGCGCGAGTGGAGAGCGGGTTGGACTGGCTTAGACTCTGTACGGACACGGCATTATATAGACTTCGACGCTGTGGTTTGTTGGTTATTGTCGGGTGACCGGAATTAAACCACTCAATTTACTCCGTGTGGTCGAGCTAGCACCGCACTCTATGACGCAATTGTCATAGCGCGACAATCATACAGGAGATGTCAGAAAGCAACTTGCAGCTTCCTCAAAGTTGAAGCAATAAGAGAATGTAGCCTGTGCACGCAAATGCGGGGTACACTACCCGAGAACAACACCCGCGATGTCCTCCGTAAAAACTCGCGTGACCGCGTCCAACCGCCTGAGATCCCGTCTCGCGCTCGATGGCGCGACTCCCACCTTCTCACCTCCACAGTCCGGGCAGTGTATGCTTTCTCTGGGAGCCTTCGCAGCCGGAATCCTCGCATCTTCCCAGCTCGATCTCGGCCTCCCATCGCTTCCCGCGCCTCCCGCCTCAAAACGACGCGCCTCTCCAAAAAGTCGATCTACTCGCGCCGAACCTGCAACTGCCATGTCGACCACGCACGACTTTCCGCCTCTGAAGAATGACCTCCTTCTGCGCGCTGCACGTGGCGAGAAGACTGAACGTGCGCCGGTATGGGTTATGCGTCAAGCCGGGCGATACCTTCCAGGTGCGCATTCCTCGCTCTGAATCTGCTCGGGCCGATCTGACCGACGCAACAAGCGTAGAGTTTCGCGAAGTGCGCGCCAAGCACGAGTTCTTTGAAGTGTGCCGCACACCCGAGCTTGCGACCGAAGTGACTTTGCAGCCGATCAGGCGCTACTCTGGCTTGCTGGATGCTTCAATTATCTTCAGCGATATCCTCGTCGTACCGCAGGCGCTGGGCATGGAAGTCCTGATGAACCCCGCACCTCTGTTCCCGGAGCCTTTGGACACGCCTGAGGACGTGAAGAAGTTGAAGCAAGACGTAGATGTCGAGAAGGAGCTCGGATACGTCTTCAAGGCGATCACCATGACGCGGCACGGCTTGAAAGGCGAAGTTCCGCTCATCGGCTTCGCTGGTGCACCTTGGACTTTATTCTCGTACATGGTCGAAGGCGGAGGAAGCAAGACGTTCCAGAAGGCTAAGACTTGGTTGTGGAAGTGGCCTGAGGAGAGTCTGGCGTTGCTCATGCGCATCGCGGACGTGCTCGTGGATTATCTCGCCGGACAAGTCAAAGCTGGCGCGCAGGTATGCCCCACTTCTTTCACTCAGATGTGCTCAAACATGTATCTCACGCGACGTGTCAATAGCTATTGCAGCTCTTCGATTCGTGGGCCGGCGAACTCTCACCGCACGACTACGCCACGTTCGCCCTCCCACCCTGCGCACACATCGTTAAACAACTCCGCGCCAAACTCTCCTCGCAAAACATCCCCTCCGTCCCAATCACCCTCTTCGCCAAAGGTGCCAATGCCCCCTCATCTCTCCAACTCCAAGTATCCGCCGGCTTCGACACGATCGGCCTAGACTGGTGTCTCTCCGGCACCGAAGCGCGCTCTCTCACGGGCGGAAAGGTCGCACTGCAGGGTAACCTCGACCCGGGCCTGTTGTATGCCGGTCGCGAGGCGTTAGAGCGCGAGGTTAAGCGCATGTGTGAGGACTTCAAGAAGGGTACAGATGGAGAGTGTAAGGCGTGGATCGCCAATCTTGGGCATGGGATCACGCCTGGCGTCGACCCGGAGGATATGAGGTGGTTCTTGGAGTGCGTGCACAAGTACAGCGCGGCGTGAGAGCGCTTTAAGGAACGAAAGGAAAGAATATGTGGGTCATAGAGGGTAGAAGGTGTACTTACTGTATCGCAATGTACTGTACTCCCAAGGATTGTAGCTTGCTTGTTGGCTCCGCTCCGAGTTACAGGCTGTCTTACAGCCCGAGCCGTCTCATGTGAACACGATTCAGATCTGTGGGTATGGGAAACTATAGCCACAGACGGGTCTGATTGAGGAAGGCGCGACGCGTCGATCCGAAGACGCCACTCGAACTGCTACCACCATCAAGCCTTGCGTCCTTCTCTATACGGATTGCATACTGAGCAGAGGGATATATCTTATCTGAGATCTATATCATTTGTCGCATGAACCAGTAATAGCCTCGTCATCGACTGTACTGAACTGCGCTCGGTCGTCTTGGTTTCCTAGGCTGCACTGTGTCTCGAACTTTGACGCATCATGGCTATCCTGGTAGAGGAGCTAGAGGACTCCTCCATGCAGAATGCCGATTTGCCCTCCGTAGACGACCTACTCGACAACCTCTCAATTCCATCCGCATACGCGCGCTACAACACAATCGAAGAAGAATCCACCCTATCTTCGCTCGCCGCCTGGAAATCCCGCGCCCTTTCCGACTTGCAACAACTCCGCACCCTCCTCACCCAACTCACCACCGACATCCACGACACCGCCCGCCTCATCCTCACCGTCGTTCCCTTCACCTCCGCGTCAAGAGAATGGACCTCATCCTCCCTCCACTCGACCGCCACATCCATCCTCTCAACTATCTCGCCCACTCCCGAACTCCTCGAAGAGATCTTCGCACATCAACTCAAACCCATCTTCGCAAAGACGCCCCATCCACTGCTAAACGCCGATACCGGTCGCAAGTTGTCTAGACCGCTGGGCGGACCTTTGGCCGCGCAGGACTTGTACGAAGGGCAGGTGTGGAAGTCGTACCCTGGGATCGGGGAGGTCGTGTTATGGTGCGTTGAGCGCGTCTCGGTGCGTTTGTTGTTGCGCGCCTTGTACGATGCATTGCCCACTCTTTCGCTTGGGTTGTAGACGGAGATGTACGAACGGATGTGGTTTCTCATCGTACCGCCAGCTATGACGCTCTTGGACGACTACGAGATAGCATGGAAGATCGACGGCGTACGCGTTGCTCGAGCCCTCGTGCATAACGCGCCGCCCGAGTTACTGAAGAGAACCGGAGTATCCGATCTTCTCTACGAGGTACCCCTCATCTCAGATACTTGAACCGAATCGCTGATCCACACGACACATAAGTCCTTCAAACGCGCAATGACGCTCCTCCACGAACCCCAAACGCCCCTCCTCCTCCGCCTATCAACCTCAACAGCCATCTCCCTCATCCTCGCTACAACCCCCGAAGGATCCGAAGCCCGCTACAACCGCCTATGCGGCTTACTAGGCGACGGTATAATCGGCAGTGCCTGGATGCACGCCTCTCGCGAGCCCGAGACAATCCAGGCCAGTATTGAAGTTCTACCCGAGATCGTCGATGCGCTTGGTATAGGCGCTGTGCGGTATCTCAAGGTACATCCACCTCGTCATACGCGTCATTCGGTATTTGTGCGGATCGCTAAAGAGGGACGATTGTACAGGCGCTGGTGCCGCAGCTCTGCCACCCCCTATTACCCGACCCTGCTAGGAAATCCGCGCCACAACTACAGCTCGCGTCTCTACACGCGCTATCTTGCGTGACAAACAACTGCGCTCCGAGGATACACAAGTGGAAGGGCGCAATCTTCGCCGCAATCGCGTCGTGCGTTGTGTTGTTGGACGACGCTGAGAAGGCCGGAAAGCCTCGTAGGAGGTCCAGATCCTTCCGTGAAGGACATAGCTAACGTTATCAGCAGTACCCGAGGCCCATGATCTTCGAGGCGCCCTTCGGGAAGCTTACACCAGGCTCGAGAGCGCCGCTCCTGACGTACGAAAGGTGGGCTGATCTGTCCTTCTTTGTGGCTGGGCCGTGACAGTGGACTGACTTTGGGTCAAGGACTACGAAAGGGTACATGAGCTCGACGCGAGGTTGTTTGATGAGGTTCTCCCGCTGCCCGTGGTAGTGGGTACATGAAGCCTAGCTCGGATACGGAGAAGCCAATGCGATCAGATGTTCTTGTCTTATCTGTACAAACATATTGTCCGTCTACGCCACCTACGTTGAATACACTCCCTCTACATGTACCACCCAAGGTATGAACACCGTGTTCATGCCCAGATGCCGAGGGGAAGCAGGCCGGAAGCAAAAAGTAGTGTCCAGGAACAACATGGAGCCCTCACGTGAGAAACGTGGTTGAACTTGAGGCTCCCGGCCTGCGCGCTTGTCTCGTCTCTTGCCTTCCGCGCCCACCCCAGCACGCCCAGCGGCGCCTTTCTTGGAGATTCTTCCCAGCCGCTGCCCACTCGCCACTCTACACGATGACGGCGCCGCCCCAGTGCGAGCCCCTGTGCCAGTTCTCGGACCGGTGCGTGGCATTATACGCTCGTCTGATCGATTGGATTGAAGGACTCACCCGTTAATTGCCAGGCTATACTTCACCAGCTTTCCGCACCCCGCACCGCGACAGTCTACGCTGAACGGACCGCTGGGAGAGGCACTGAAGCCCAAGATACGCGGGACGAGCCGCGGCTCTGCGCCCGTGACGCCGGACGAGGACGCGCGGTACTACTACTTCTCCGTCGACGACCAGCTCGTCTACACGTCCTTCTTCCAGGACTGGGGACCTCTCAACCTGGCAATGGTCTACAAGTCCTGCATCTACATACACCAACTGCTGGTCGTGCGTATAGCCATGCACCAATATCTGGAGCCAAGACTGATGCTATTTTCGGTGGCCTAGGACGAGGAGCTGCAGGGCTACCGCCTCGTGCTGTACTCTTCCGATAACGCCCATCTCAAAGCCAACTCTGCACTGCTCATGGCCCTCTTCGCAGTAAGTGTCTTTCTCGTCTTGTGGGCAGGCGCGCGCAACGCGGCGGAAGTGACCACACGCGCGCTTGCATCGTGTTTGGGCTGGCTTCTCCGGGCGCTTCTTTCGGGCTCAGATGATGCTCCTCGCCTGCTGTGCGTGGCGACCGCGCCCATATCGAACGCTCCCTCCGCGTCTATGAATGATGCGTGTCCGCCTTGCTGTCCTGCGCCCCGAAATTCTAGCGCTCGTTGCTGACTGGCAACCCTACAGCTGATCGTACAACAACGAGCACCGTGGGACGCGTTCCAGCCACTCGCCGAAATCGAGTTTCAGCCCTTCCGCGACGCAGGGCGCGGGCGCGCCGACTTCAACTTGAGCATCCAGGACTGCCTGTGGGGCATGTACAAGGCGATCCAGAACGGACTATGCGATCTAAGCGAGTTCGACGTGGGAGAGTACGAGCACTACGAGAAGGTCGAGAACGGCGACTGGAATTGGATAACGCCCGGCTTCATCGCGTTCGCATCGCCCATCGACCACTCCTGGATGAAAGCGCAGAAAGAGGCGCGCATCGCCAACGACGGGCGCACCGATCAAAGTCCCACTCGGGCCAGTCCGAAGAAGGAAACTGCGCTGCAGCGGAAACTCCCCACGCCATTCGTCAACTGCTTGGAGTACTTCGAGGAGCGCAACGTCAAGCTCGTTATCCGCCTCAACAACGAGCTTTACGATCGGAATACCTTCCTTGAGCGAGGGATCGACCATCTCGAGATGTACTTCGACGACGGCACGAACCCTACCGATGAGATCACCCGCAGATTCATTGAAGTTGCGGACGGTGTCATCTCATCCGGCGGCGTTGTGGCGGTCCATGTTCGTCATTTTCATTTACCATATCTTATCACTCATACTGATCAACTCTACAGTGCAAGGCCGGTCTTGGACGCACAGGTACACTCATCGGCGCCTACCTCATCTGGAAGTACGGCTTCACAGCGTCAGAAGCCATCGCCTTCATGCGCATCGCTCGCCCAGGTTGCGTCGTAGGCCCACAACAGCAGTTCATGTACTGCAAGCAGCTGGAGTGGGCGAAGTGGGCCGCCGTGGACGAGGTTCGGCGGGCGCAGGAGCAAGAGAAGGCTAACGAGCGCGTTGCCACTGCGGTTGTGGTTGCGCCCGTAACGCCACCCGCAGAGGAGGAAGGGTCGGAGAACGACGCAGAGGTGGAGAAGGACGTGGAGATGACCGCTGTGCCTGTTGTCGTTGTACCAGCGACACCAGCTCGCATTCCTCCGGTTACGCCTTCGAAGCATGTCGCTGCCGCTACCGCCGCTGCACGCGCCCGTGGTCAGCCCCCACCTGGTCAGCCACGGAAGACGCCCAACGCCAAGCGCCTAGCCAGCGATTGCTCATCCGACGATGAGGACGGCGAGGAGGACGATGTCTTACCTGCTCTAGGCATCGCACCCGTCGCCCGCCCTCGATCCCGGACCGCTACGAAAGTCCGTCCAGGACTGGGTGTCACAGCGAGCGAGCAGCGCCCGACACGCGTCACTCGCAGTGCCGTCGCCGCCACCAACGGCACCACACGGCGACCCGGCACATCGCTCGCTGCTCCCAAACCACCCGCTACGAAGGCCACAAAGCCCAGTAGCAACGGTAGTCAAACGGGTCCGAACAAGATCCCGCGATTGGCACACGCTACGACTGCGCGGGGTACTACCGCCTCAGCGTCGAGCTCAAACTCCAACTCGACTGCTTCGACGTCCACCTCGACGTCCAATGCCGCTCCCCCCTCAAAGCTCCCGGCAGCACCAGCACCAGGCGGAGTCGCCACGGCTCTCCGCCGTACATTGCGACCACCGAGCCCAACACCCAGCCGCCTACCGAAGCTCGCACATACACGTGGCGCAGGCAGCGTGAGCAACCTCGCCGAGCTGGGTGCAACCGGCCACACACTCAAGCCCACACAACCCGGTACCGGGCAATGGGTCCGCGATGAAGCCGGTGCGGTCGTTAAACACGCCAAAGGCGAACGGCCGGGATTGCGGAGGGAGAGGAGACGGCGGAGCAGTTTTAGTGCTGCTGATGTCGTCGCGTGAGATTGGCGGTGGCGCTCGTATATGTTTATTCTCGCTTGTTACGCTGTCGAGTCGCTTTGGATTCTTTCGGACTGGTTTCAAGTCATGCAATCAATCATACAAACATACGCACAATCCCCAACCCCACCGCCAATCCTTTCCCGTTCCTCCATCTACCCCACATGCATATAAACCATCCATCGCTGTTCTTGCATTGTCTCGTACACGTCCATGCGTTTCTTCATCTCCATCTTCCTCGTAGTCCAGGTCATCTATCTAGTGCCTCGCTGTCTTACGTTCTCTCACTCGTTCGCCGTCCGGGCCGATCTTTCTTGTATTCTCTCTGTGAGCCTTCAGGCGTCAATAGGATGCTCGATAGCTCTTGTTTATATCAGTGCGGTTGAGCCGCTTAAATGCAATCCATGTTCATTCATCTCGGAGGGTATGTCTGTCTCAGGAGGACGCAGCCTGCCGCGCAGAGTAAACCCCGGCGATGGGCCAGTACACCGGGCTAAGCCGGATATGTACGATTATTCTATCCGAATAGACATATGTACATGACTATAGACCTCTATATAAGATGAAGCATTGCGAGGCAATCAACAGACTGACTAATATACCGACAGAAAACAAGATATCGTCGAGAGCAAGATGAGATAGCAAGAGATCAGAGCACAGAACATCAATGAGACGGATAGGGTATATCGCTAGAACTTCCACACATTGCGCTCGACCTCGGCGAGCCGCGTCTTCAGTATAGTATAGCTTTTGCCACGCGCCTCTAAACGCTCTCCTAGGTCAAGCAGTCGCTGTTCAATAGCAGACGCGCGCTCCCGCATTCGCTCAAACTCGTTCTCGACTGCACGCAGCACTTCTAAGAGATATCCGGTAAGAGAGGGCGTGTAGAACAGAAGATGAGGCTAACCTGAAGCATCCGAGTATTCCGATCCGGCTGTTGAAGGCAGAAGCTCGCGCATTCCTGAGAGTAAAGAGTCGCGCTCGGCCCGCAGGCGTTCGGTTTCGGCGCTTGTGGCCGTCTCCTTCCTAGCTTCCGTGAGAGCCGCGCGTAGGCCGAGTACTTCATCCCCAAGCTTCGAAGCCCTCTCATCGCACCGCCGTAGGTAACCCTCCATGACGTTCAACCTTTCGACAGCTTCCGCGAGAGAGGCTTCTGCGGCATGCGCACGAGCGCGCAACTGTTCCGTGTCCGCTGCCAGATGTGTCGAGCGTTGCTCAGCCGCTTCAGCGCGAGAGACGAGTGCTGCTCGTGTGCTCTCTGCCTGGCTTTGACGCGCGCGTAGAGCGATATTGTCGCTCTCGACTTGCCTGGCATGCTCGTCGGCCTGCTGAGCCTGAGCGCGAAGTTGGACGAAAGCCGCTTCCATCTCAACGAATCGCTCGACCTGAGAGCGAAGGTGTGCAACAGTCGCCTCCAGCGCCGGAATCTGTTGGGCTCTAGCACGTAGAACCTCTAGTTCGCCGCGCATATCCTGGGAACGTTGTAGTACCACGCCGTGATACGATCTCAACATCGCTTCAGCTGATTCTGCACGGGACAACAAAGTTCTGTTCTCCGCTTTCAGCTGGACGACGTAGCTCTCCGCGGCGTTGAGCTCGGAAATATGGGCCGCTGCCAAGTTCACATCCTGGCGCAGCGCTTCGTTCTCGCTCTCTAGCTCTCGCACGCGCGCTTCGGCGACACCAGCTTGCGAGCTGCGTTGTTTGAGCGCCATTTCCAGCTCCGCGATACGCTCTGCCTGAAGTCGCGAAGAGGCAGCTTCGGCTGCCAGCTGGCGTACACGGATATCGTTTAGTTCGGCGCGGGCTTTCCATATTCCTAGGTATCCTTCAAGGGCTGGGACCCTCTGTGCCTCCGTGCGTATAGTAGCCAGCTCCTGCTGCAAGTCCTGCTCGCGCTTCGAGACATTCTCCGCTTGTCTCTTCAGTAGCACGGTCTCGCGCTTCAAGTTGTCGAACTGTATGCCTTGATCGTGCAACTTCCATCGCATGTCCTTTGCGACGGCTTCGGCGCTCTCCGCTCGTTTCTGTGCCTCCGCCACATCTCGACTCAATGCTTCGATTCGCTTGTACATATCATCGCCCTCGATGTTGAACGGTTGTCGAGCAGTTGTAGCGTTTTGGTCCAGGCCGTTCCACGAGGTCACGAGCTGTTTGAAGTTCTCCACCTGTGCACGTTGGGAGAGCTGCATTTCGAGCGTCTCTAGCTTGTTCGTAAGATCTCGCTCGCGTTCCGCGGCCGCATGGGTCGTTGCCGCAAGTTGGGCTCGAAGATGGAGGTCACGAGTGGCGTCTGCACGCCGTTCCTCCTTGAGTTGAGCTAACTCTGCGAGAAGCTCTTCGACGTCTGGGCCATGGTATTTGACGGAAACATCGTACGGCGTGATCATCTGCCTTCATGAAGTTAGATTCTGGGCTTTGTTGCCGTGCAAGAGAGCTGTATTTCACCTGTGGTAAAGGCTCTCGGTCTGCTGCTCCGGAGTGAAGCAAAGGGTGTCGCCACCGGACGACGCCGGGCTATTAGATTGTTCAAATGATAGCATAGCCTATGGTGCCATCTTAGAGGTGCAGTGCTTCTGGAAGAGGTGTAGATGTATTAGAACAGCATTCAGTAGAGTTGTTGGAAGATAGTCGCGGCGCAGAACGAACCTGGCGCGTCGCGACGCGACGCGTCTTGCCGTAATAATCAACGTACCCACGTGAAGGTCCTGAATCGCCACAACTCGAACCTTTCCTCCTGCCTTCATGCAGTCATCCCGCATACAATGGCATTTAGAGTGGGTGTCCATTCCCGACAACTTTTGCGGGCGTAAGGAAGAAAGACATGGAGGCACAAACCTCCGTTAACTATACCTCACGCTTAAGCCCGAACAACGTCCAGTGCCCTTCGCTCGATGCCGCCGACGCGCCCTAGATGCAAATGGAGGCTTTCACTGTCTTCGAATCCGTACACCACAAGGCTCTGGGTAGGTACTTCATAGCTCGTATAGCAAGATTCGCCGTGGACCCTATCGAACTCAAATTGGCCACCCGCGTCACTTCGTCGGCGTTTTTCGGAGATGGGCCTCACTGCGTCTACACGATCAACGTCGATCAATAACGCCCAGACAATGACCGTCAGGCGCACCTGGTCACTTGGATCGACAACGAGACTCGTGGAACCATCGAGGCGCAAACCTCGCTACGAGTTGCTCCAGGCTATCATTGTACGCGAGACGACGAAGGAGGTGAGAACTCGCAGCGCCCCATGGATCAACGTCCGTGCTCATACTCGTAACCAGCCCGTAAGCGATGAACAACAGCTCTCTCGCTGCCGCAAATCGGCCCGACACTCGGGCGTCCATCAACGATGTGCTGTCGGACGACATCTTCTGCGAGATCTTCCTCATGCTTGCTTTCCTCGACATACCTACCCTGGAACGCCCGCAGGGATGGTTTCTTCAGGTGAACGGTGTCTGCCGTCGCTGGCGCTACATCGCCGTTGGATACGCGGAGCTATGGGCCGCAAGCGCCGGCTCTTTCCTGTCTGGTAACATGACCGATCTCGCCATCTCCCGCGCGGGCGATTCCCTCCTCCGTTTCGACGGACATTTTGAAGATCATGATGGCCCGGGCCATGTGCTCACTGGCTACCAGTTCTCGCTGATCGAGACACAACGACATCGTCTTCGCTCTCTCGTGTACGACGACTACTTTGAGTGGGCGGACTTGCTTTATCGCTTGAGGACTTTCCCGAAGCTTGAGATGGCCAGGCTTTGGGACGGCGCGGGGCCTGATGCATGGGAGCGGGACGAGTTCATTGATGCCCCGAACTTACATGGTCTCTACCTCAATAACGTACTTATCCCGTTCCTCGCGCCCAATCTCGGGTATCTACGCGTCGACATGGACCATCAGGACTGGAACTCCTTAGATCGCATCTTTGAGCCAGACAAGGTGGTACTCGAAGGATGCGATGCAATCCCGCGAGTGTTTCCGACACGCGAGTTCATCGCGTTCTTGACCCGTTATCCCCTTCTTGAACGGCTCATCATTATCGATATGCCGCTGCTGCGAGAGGAAGATCTTCCCTCGACAACAGAGCTACATGTCAAGCTCTCGAGACTGCAAGTGTTGCATCTTGGTGGTATGTCGATGGCGATGGGCGATTTCCTCGAAAGATTATATTTGCCGCACGATGTTCAGATTCTCATTGATACTGAAGTGATCGAAGGGGCAGATGAATGCGAGCCCGTCCTGTTGAACGCGCTACAAGAACGTTTCCGCTCTCCCGTGTATGATAGCCTCAGGATCAGTCGAACGTCGACCTATGAACTCCTTTTGCAAGTGTGGTCGTCTGAGTCGAAAGCGCGTTATGCGCCTGGCGGTCTGGATTTGGCGACATCATTGGGGATGACGCCCTTTCAAAGAGGGCCGGCTCTGACTGTCAGACTTCCCGGTGTTACGCGCGATATCCTTGAGCTGGGTGCGAGCAATGAACTCGAGAAGCCTCTCAATGTCTGGGAAATAGCCGACCGGGGTCCGGTTTTGAAAGTTATCCCGTACATGACGAAGGTGGCAGACATGTTCTACGATCGTGCGGTATCCATTCTGAACATGGACTCGCCATGGCCTGAGCCGTTCTCGACACTCAGATACCTCGACTACACTGATGCGCCATGGGACGGGAGCTATGCCCATGTGAACGGGTTTGCTCCGAGGGTCGAGCCTGGACGTAGAGATTGCACCGTCAGCCATATGATCATCAAAGCGTGCTCAGCTACGCATCTGACCGCCAATTGGTTGCTTCTCAGTCGCGTGGAAGCCGACTATATCCAAGGGTATCATCTCACCGAGGACGTCGAAGAGGTCACGATTGTGAACTTTCCCTGCGCCGCCTTTCCAGACCGAAAGCGCTATGACGAGAGGACGAACGCGAAAGCCTGGGACAAGTTGCAGTCGTGTCTCGAGCTTCGGCACGAGGCCGGATGGCCTCGCATTTCACTGAGGCTGGCTGAATCGTATTCTGACATGTCGAACATGGCACGCTCGAACGAATCCGTGTATGAACATACAATTGAAGCGCCGTACGAGGATGCCGTGAGGGCCGTCACACAGAAAGGATACGAGAGGGTTGCTCCATACTTGAGGAGCTTCGAGGACTTGCGTATACATACCTTGCCTTGATCATCGGAGTGCTGGAGAACATGTATCAACGTATGACGTGCTTTGAACGAGAATCGTGCCAGTCTACTAGGACCGTGTCCGGCCGCAAGTCAGAGTTCCGGAAGGTCCCGAGCTGATCAAAGCGACTGCTATAATGCCGTCAGATATAATCGAAGAATAAGAGTGTTCATATGTGATGTGTAGGAGCAGCGACGACCTCTAACAGAACAGTAGCACAGATGAGCCAATAGCGACAGCGATACAATGTGATCAAAACATGCAAGAAGAAGGCAACACGGATAGCAAGAGAACAGTCCATCAGGATCGCCGGGACCCACATTCCAGCTCCTTCACTCGTATTTGTAGTATAGCATACCACGACGCGCGAGCATCATATCGTTGTTCCAAGCTTGCGGCCCTCTCGCAAAGACGGTCGTACTCTCCCTCCACGGCACGAAGTACCTCTGTATGGTAGTTCAGAACCTGTGTGGATCATGAGAGGACCGTGTTCCCACCTGAGGCATCTGCAAGGGCTGGTATAGCTCCTGGTGGTAGCAGCTCGCGCATCCCTGCTAGCAACGAGTCGCGCTCGGACCTCGTGCGTTCGTGTCCCTCCATGTCTACAGGCTGCGGTTCGCTCGCCTTCCTGAGCTCCGCCCGTAGTGCATCCAGTTCTTCTTCCAGCTCCGTGACTTTGGCATTACTCACCATGAGGTAGTCCTCGATCTTGTGAAACCGGCTAATCGTCTCCTCATGGCTTTCCTTCACCTGAAGTGCACAGGCGCGTAGGCCTCTGTTGTCTGACTCCAGAGCCCGGACGCGGCTCTCAGCAGCTTCCGCGCGTGCGACGAGACCTTCCTGAGCGATCTCGGTCGCCTTCAGACGTGTATGCATAGCGGCGACCTCGTTCTGAGAATGTTGTAAGCGCTCTTCGGCGCCATCCGCACGGCTTGCCATATTCGCGGCATGAACAAGCGCGAGATCAACGTTCTGGAGCAGTTTCGCTCCATCGTCCTCGAGTTGCCGAGCGTGGTTCCCGATGCGTGTGGCGCGGTCATCACACTGTGCCAGAGCCATCTCCAATCCTGCAGCTCTTTGCGCTTGTATACGTAGTTCGGTAAGAGTCTTCTCCAGTGCAGGCACCTTCGAAGCCTCCACCCTTAGATTCTCCGCTTCGCGACGAAGTTTTGCCTCGCATTCCTGAGCATCATGGTTTCGAGCGTCTAGAGCAGCCTCCAAGGTTCCTGTCCGGCGGTGGAGAGCTTCACTGTCGATAGTGAGCTGTCTGACTCGGTCTTCGGCAACCTCTGCTCGGCTTTTGAACGCGTCGGCTTGGGCGACGGTGGCGGAACTGGTATTGTGGCGCAGGAATGTGATCTCGCCCTCAAGTTCGCGGACGTAGGCGGCGACAGACTGGGCTTCGGCTTCGCGATTCAGAAGTGCAGACTCCAGCTGTGCGACCCTTGCCGCGTCCATTCGCAGTGATGCGTTCTCGGCGGTGAGCTGCTGCTTTCGAGCCTCGTATTGGTCAACGAGTATGTTTCTGTTCACAAGCGCCTGCTCCAGACCCGGCACCTTCTGCGCCTCAATACGCACAAGCTCGAGCTCTGCCCGCATCACGTCTTCATGTCTGCCCGATGTCCCGTCGTTGGCGCGCCTAGCTTGATGGAGTTCATGGCCTAGTTCTGCGACACGCTTGCGCAGCGCAGCACATTCTGCGCTCACTCCTTGATGATGGCTCGTCGCTTCCTGGTATGCCGCCCGCCATGAGGCTGTGGTGCGCTCGAGGCGTTCGACCGTTGGACGTTGCGAGAGCGCGTACTGTAAGGCGGCGATTTGATGGGTTAGCTCGCGTTCGCGGTTCATTGCCGGTTTTGCGATGTGGATATGCTTGAGGAGCCTCGCCAATCACCACACTTAAGGACCACCACCGCTTCGTCTGCCAGCGAGGCACGCGCACTCTCTCTTGCTGGTGCAGTCGTCGCTTCGACAGAACGGTTACTGAGCGGCGACGAGCAGTGATTCAAGTCGTGATGGAGAATATCGGATGAGTGTACGGCGAAGGGGAAGCCAGCGACGGTGGTGGTCGTAGGCAGGGAACGTCTTATGCACATAGCGGGTGCGGTTGCCAATTGGCAAACTTCAACCTGTGCTGAGCGCTGGCGCCTGCTGGCACTGAATCTTGACATGCGCCCACAAGCGCCCACGTGGGTCGTCTACGCCGCATTATACAGTTCTGATCCCCGTCGTGCATAGCCTCGTACAGAAGGCATGGTATCCTGGTAACATGTACGGTCGAAGGCGACGTGCACTATCTTCGAGTTGGGGCACTACTCGGAGCACTTCAAGTATAGACGATTCGCGGTCGAGCGCGCGCCGTCAAGTTTCTGTATATGGGTCGTAAGCGTTGAAGCTGAATGACTCATTTGAACCAGAAATCGTACCACTCGTGCATCCCCTCCCACGACTCTCAATACAGGAGCGCTGATCTTCGAGCTCTGTCAACAAGCGGTACGTTTTGGCGGAGTTTTCTCAGAAGTCAGCCCAAGCACTGTCCAGGAACTCCTGAGCAACGTCGAGGCAAGTAGTATGCGAGGTTGTGCGGGTCGAAGTGAGCAGGAGTAAGCAGGACCGCGGTACGCCGGTGGTACAGTACTCCTCTTCAAGATCGTCAATATCCCCCTCACACGTAGTCAGGGAGATCAAGCTGTTGTGGGCGACTGCGCGCTTGAGGGCCTGGACTTCGTCACTGAAAGATCGGTCTTCGGTACTTGTGTAACCCGTTGACACGACATGGAGGAAGCTGACCGGATATCGAAGTGCAGGCTCCAAGGTGGCCGGCAAGTGTGTAGGCTCGCCTAAGCGCGCGTCCGGTCGGAAAGATGAACTCGAGTTCTTTCGGACTTGTGGACGGCTCCTTCCCGTTGAATCTGTACGGTACGAGGTCAGCGTAACGCGAATTCATCCTACGAAGATGGCATACCTTCGCGCACAGCCAGAGCCGTAGAAGAGAGAGCGGAAGTGCCGAGGGTTTGACTTGAGTTCTTACGCGTAAAGCGCATGTTCGTTGGCTGTGGCTGTGTGGTACGTGTTCAGAAGAGACATGAAGGCATCTCACGAAGGCGCTATACCTTCGCGCACAGCCAGGATCGGCAGCGTCCACAGCGGAAGAGCCAAGACGTTCTAACTGCGCAGGCCGGTCTTCTCCAGTACGTAGTCGTCCACCAGAAGAACAAAACACAGCTCCTCGTCAGAATATTCCCAGATGCCCCGAGATGAAATCCATGGAATACTCACCCGAACTTCGGAAAGATCGCCAAATACGCAGGACGTGTGGCACCTTCCCGCTCCCTCCGTGCGAAACCGCGCTAACCTCAAAGTCCAAGCAGACTGCGTAGCGCTGCCCGCGCGCGTCGATCTCGCCGATACCGCACTACGCTCCCGATGATAGCGAGCGCCCGAGGGAGTACCCGCGTAGTCGGCCAGAGAAGGAATAACGTTATACGCCCAGACGTGCCGTTGCGCCGATAAGAGTCCCAAGTCCGCGCCTACGCCTGATGTGGGCGGGCGGACCGCGGCAACGTCTTGCACCGTCTAGATGTGAGTCTCCGCTCGGGAAGAGGCTAAAGCTAGATCGTCGGGAAGGGTTAGTAGTTGTGCCGCAGAGCCCGAGCATAGCATCGGGAGCGGGGGTAAGTTCAGAGGTCTGAAGGTGTATTGTGCGAGCCCGAGGCGAGTCGGGCAATCGCACGTTAGCATGACGACGTTCGTAAGGGAAAGCTCTCATTGCTCTTGAGTCTTCTGGCCGACATAACCGACTCAGCCGCTGTGTATACAGTACAGGCCGATCTCATGCAAGGAGGATGATGTGGCAGTCTGAAGAGGGATTGAGTTCACTGCGCATCTAGCTCACATCCGCATCTGTTCGCGAGCATGCGCTCGAAAGGGACAACTCCGCGCGCACGAGCCGACCTATCACGGTCCAGCAGTACATCTGAGGACAATGCCTTCTAGCGCCTCTACGAGCATGTGAATCAAGAAGAAGGGTCGTATCGGGAAAACCTCGTAGCATGCGACTGGCCGGGCGAAAATTCTATAGCGTGTCCCAGCGCAGTCGGCGAGGTGAGAGGACGGGCGTTGTGGCGCGCGGGACGGGAAGGGCGTGTGCGCGGGGGAGGCTGGCCGCCATCATGATGGAAGTTCGAGTTCGACGTTCATACCGCGAAACGAGGTACAAGCGCCCAACTTGACAGTCGTCATACGTAGCTCGGTTTGGCCGGATAGTATTTGGTTCTTATACAGCAGGGTAAGATATGGACGGCGGGCAGTACGGCGTGGCGCAGCAGGGACGCGTGTGGACGATGATGCGGAAGCAGAAATAAATTGCGGTGTGGAAGGGAAGGAAACAATAAGAGCAGGCGTGGGAATGCGAATCGAAGATATACTCTACGCGGGTGTTGATTCGAAGCACCCACCATACTCCCCCCTCCTCCTCCCTCTCCACCACTCTGGCGCCGGTCATGAAGGCGATCCGGAAGAGCCTCAACAAGGACAGCGCGCACGCGGCGCAGATCTCACCGCCGCTCCCGCCGATCTCCAAGCCCAGCGCGGCGCTTGTCCCGCCCCAGAAGGTCATTAGGGCAAGCGGCGCCTACCGCTCTACCGCGCCCCAGGAATTGTCTTTCCAGAAGGGCGATTTCTTCTATGTCGTGCGGGAGATCAACAACGGCGCGGGGGAGTGGTACGAGGCGCACAACCCCGTCAGCGGCGCACGCGGCGTCGTGCCCCGCAGCCTGTTCGAGGAATTCAACAAGGGCGCTGCACCAAATGGGTACGTGACCTTGTCTTTTTTGGATTGTTCTCTTGTTTTTGGAACTGGGCGGGTCGCGGAACAAGGATGAGGCTGGAAATGGATGGACTGCGGATACGGTTACGGAGGCGGATTGTCATGGCGGCTGTATTATCTGCGACGGCGAGGGGACGATATTCGAGGTGCTTTTGGGGTGACATGATGGTCGGAACGTACGGCGGGATGGAGGCTGCGCACTCAGTTGCCGCCACACGAATGATCATTCCATCGTCCTCGTTACGATCTCGACATTCGAAATGTGCGCAATATATTGCGAATTGAATGCTCTGGGCCGTAAGCGGCGGCGAACGACTTGGCGTCTGGTTCATGTGTCGTGTGCCTCGGTGAACAAGAAATGCTGATTATATGTGTATATTTACAGCCCCGGCGGCCACCGCGCATCACAATCTGTAGCTTCTTCGATCTCAGTGACATCGCCGCTACCATCCACGCGACCACCTTCGAGCGCAGGACGCTCACAGGCATTCTTCGCCATAGTAATGCACGACTTCAACGCAGAGCGGACAGACGAACTAGACGCCAAAGCTGGTGATGCCATCACTGTAGTCGCCCAATCGAACCGAGAATGGTTCGTAGCCAAACCCATCGGGCGGCTCGGCAAGCCAGGCCTTATTCCCGTATCTTTCGTCCAAGTACGGGATCCAGCAACGAATCAACCTATCGCCCCGGATGACGTCGACAAGCTTATGAACTCCGGCTCTCTTCCCCGCGTCGAAGAGTGGAAGAAGATGGTCATGAACTACAAAGCCAGTTCTATTCCCCTTGGTTCTCTGGAGGACCCCATCGGCAGCCCATCAGGCGGCGTAGCCAACAGCCCCTTCGCGAACCTACCTCCTATCGCCCACGCGCCTCCGCCGTCTGAGCTTGGCTCGGGCTCAAACTCAGGTTCGGGCGGCTCGATTCCTGAAGAAGACACGCCGCAGACGCTCGAGCCAGCTCCCGCACGCACATCCTCACACGCCGACTCGGACCGCAACCCCGACATACTTCCTCCAGGACTGCTTCTCAGCGCAGAAGTCCGATCCTTCCACTTCGAAAACGAAGACTACTGGTTCCGCGTCAGCGCGCTCTTCCAGCCGTACGACCCCGTCAACCCGACGAGCACACACAACCTGCCGCCCGCGAGGGAGTTGACGCTGTTCAGGGTGTACAACGACTTCTTCGACTTCCAGACGCGGTTGATAGGCCTGTTTCCGAGAGAGGCGGGACGGGAGAAGGGCTTTCCGCGGGTTATACCGTACATGCCCGGCGCGTCTGAGTTTGTCGACGACGCGCTTACGGCGCAGAGGCAGCAGGAGCTCGACGGGTATCTCCGCCGTCTTGCGCGGCTGGCGGGAACGACGGCGCGTGTGGTTCTGGAGAGCGACCTCGCACGCGAGTTCTTTACTGCGCGCCCAGGAGATCTGGATCGGGGTGCGGGACCGCAGTTTGAGAGGATGAGCGCCGCGGGTTGGTTCGACCCCGACGAACAGGCGGATATCCAGTACGCCACCGCCGATGGGCGCCCACCGTCTCAGGCGCCGGTCGATGAGGAGGAGTACGCGGCGTATGGAGAGGAAGAGGATGTTGTGCCGCAGGAACGGTTGGGCTCTATGAGATTGAGCGATGGGAGCGATTATGGCGACACCGCCAGTCGATATCAGCCTTCGCCTGTCAATGGACACGCGAATGGGCGGCTACATGCGCATAGCGCTAGTACAGCCAGTGCGAGCCGTACGCCTTCACCTCGCGGACATGCACCATCTCAATCTCAACCCGCCGTCTACGGCCACCGTCCTTCGCCCAGTCAAAGTCAGCCTCCAAGCCGGCATCGACCGCAGCAGAGTCAGTCGTACAACAACGTCAACGGGAACGGCAACTCGAACGGCTACCCCGGCGGACGCGATAGCGCGTACTCTTCTGCCTCTAGCGGGAGCAGGTGGCCTGACAGTCAGAGCACACACGCGACGAGTCCGAGCTCGAGCGCGTACTCGCCCTCCGCATACGTCCCCAGCCACTCAATGCCGGGCCACTCGTACAGCAAAAGCCAAAGCGCATCGCGTCCGCCCGCACCACCGCATTCTCAGTCCTACTCTGTGTCCAGTCCCTCTTACGCTAACGGCTACCCCCACTCGCCCTCGAACGGCACCCCCTTAGATCGCCAGCTCTCATCGAGCACGAGTCTGTCGGCCGATACGCGGTACTCGCAGTCTGTACGCAGTACAACGTCTTCAGGCTCGCGGAGGACAGAGGGCGCGAGGAGGGACGAGGCGCCGCCCATCAGCGCTAGTAATGCCAATCCGGCCTTCATCAAGATCAAGATCTTCGATAGGGCGCAGGACGATCTTATCGCGCTTAGGGTGCATCCGAGGGTTGGGTTGCAGGAGTTGGTCAGTAAGGCAGGACAGAGGCTGGGCGGGGAAGTACGGGTGAGTAGTTTGTTCAAACTTGAGTAGATGGGTCCTAGGTGCTAATGAGCGTTGATAGGGATTGAGCTATAAGGACGTGGGCAGCGGAGGGTTCGTTGCGCTCAATGCGGACGGCGAGCTACGCGCCTGGATCGAGAAGGGCGAGCGGTTCGTGCTTTACGCCGATTAGACGCCCTCTCCCTCCCTCTCCTGCGACTCTCCATTCGCACGCCGGTACACTTCGACCTTCGCAGCCGGCGTGCGCCACGCTTTCTTGGATAACGGTTGATCAAGGACTTCAGACTCGACCCGCTTCGTTCACGGATACTGGTTCTCTTCTCTTCTCATGATCATCATCTCACTGTATTTCGTACGAACTTCCTCGCGCGATCTCCATCTTCAGACTCTCTTCGTTCTGTTTCTGTGATCTGTCTAATGTACCTGTATCGACTGTCTGTCTCTTATGTTCTGGCCTTTTGATGAGCTGCATTCACATACTGTTCAAGCTTCTGTACTCTCTACCCATCCTCCATTCTTATTCGTGGAATTGAATATGTGTCGATTGTCTTCGACGACGTTCACGTATGTCTTCTATAAGGTATGGATACGCAGGTCATCGAAACCCTTCAAGTACGGAGCAACGCTTTTGTATCCCGTCTGCGTCACGGCTCTAACGGCGTCTTTGTATGAACCCCGGAGAGTATGCACGTACTCTGGCTCAAACGAGCGGGCCATGTTCGACATATCAGAGTCGGATTCGGCCAGCCTCAGTGCAAGCGGTGGCTGTCCTGACTCGTGTCGGGTTTTGAGACACGCCTGTAGTTTCGACCAGGCCTCGGCATTCGTCTCTTCGTCATATCGTTTATGGGTAGAGAACCCAGCGCAGGGAAAGTTCACAAGTGTCACATGCTCTACCACTGGCGTGAAATGATGGCTTGCGACAAGGTGGGGTGGCAAAGGACCGAGGTACGACCAATTGACCGTTATATGTGTGGCGTGACATGCGCGGAAGACCAAGTGACTCTGCTCGATGTCTGTGGTCTGCTGTCCCTCTCTCCGTACGGAGTAGGCACCGTCACTTGGAGCATCGGTATAGTCCAAGTACTTGACCGTCGAGAATGACTCCAGTGCCCAGGACGGCGATGTAAGTGATTCACCCTTGCTCCAAGACCCCCGATGAAACGGGCGGTCCAATCCCAAGTTGCGCATCGCTCGTTCGTAGAAGATCCTCGCCACATTGCGCCTGTAACGCTCGCCCTGCCAGTTATTTGCTGCCCCACTGAGTTCCCACTTCTCCAATGGCAGATATGGATGATTGAACGCGTCACGTTGGAGAGCATTGCGAGCGAGACTGGGCAATCTGAATGAGACGGCGGGCCCTGATGGGGAGTCTGTTGCCCCGAGAGATGCCGCGTAGTCTAGAGGACCAGTATTGGTCGCTTCTGACGACCACATCTGCATAAGAAGGTCGTATGACGGTGTGCGGCTAAGTCTCAGGCTATCGTATATGGGCAAGCGAATCCATTCTGCTATCACATGCGCCAACGTCGGCTCACAATCGTCTTTCCCATGTTCCAGGACATCGGTGTCGATGAAGATCTGTACATCCGACTGTACGACTCTCAGTCTCCGAACGAAATCTCCCATCGCTAAGGACTTTCCCCCCAGATGCAGCACGCGCAATCGAGGGAGATCGGCATAGAAGTCGAAGACAGACGGCATATCTTCCGCGCACAGAAGGGGCATATCAGTTATGATGAGCCTTTCCAACAGAGGCGACCGCTTTAAGAACTCGATGAACTCGCGCGCAGGGAACACCCTCGGAATCGCTTCACAGCCTTCAAGGATAGGCAAGGATTCATCGGGGTCCAGCAGCTTTTCGCTGGCACGCCAATTGCGGTTGTCCATATCCACACGTAGATGGCGAAGCGCCGGCGCACTGAACGGAACAAGAACGTTGTTCATGTAGAGTCCACGTAAAAGGGGAACATCGATCGGCACACTGGCATCCCATCTATTGGGCCCCGGGTCATCCCATATTCTGGCCATCTCGAGTTTGGGGAAGGATTTCAAGCGATACAATAGCTCAGGCCATTCGAGGTAATCATCATGCACCAGGGAACGAAGTCGGTCATGGTGTTTTTCAATGAGCGAGAGTTGATACTCGGTGAGCACATAGCCGGGACCTGAATGGTCTTCGAAATGTCCGTCAAGGCGTAGAAGAGACCCGCGGGCGCGAGAGATAGCGAGATCGGTCATGTCATCGGACGGGAAAGATCCAGCGCTTGCGCCCCATAACTCGGCGTATCCTACGGCAACATAGCGCCAGCGCCTACATACGCCATTCACTTGAAGAAACCAGCCCTGCGGGCGCTCCAGAGACGGTATGTCGAGAAGGGCAAGCGCAAGGAAGATATCGCACAGGATCTCATTCGAGAGCTTGCGATTGATAGACGCTCTGGCATTGTGATCTCTTGCAACGGCGAGCGCATGGTCGTCCATCGCTAGCGAGTTCGAATGTGAGTGCGATGCGTATGGGGGTGAATACGGAAGTGAGGGCCCTCACCTGCTGTGCACAGTGACCGGCTGAAGCAAATCGTTGCAAGGCGCACGGATCAATGATCACACGAGTCGTCGCTGCCATTTCGGGCGCGCAGAGCGTCTGGGTGTGTCTTGACGGTCATTGGCTGGGCGTTGTTGACCATGTAGACACTGCGAGAGGCAGGTCTCCGAGAACGCCGAACGCTGGATGATGTGAATGCACGCTTTCCCACACTCACGTCATCAGACGTCATCACGTTGACCTGCGGTTGCCCGACTTGCCTCGGGCTCGCACAATGCACCATTTCAGACCATGACCCTCAGACCCGGGTCGACGTCGCGGGAAGCGCGACGCACTGTCTGGCACTCAAAACTTGAGGTAGCGCTCGAGCGCGCATTCTTTGCACGGAGGGGGCGAGAAGGTGCCACTGTACGTCCCGCGTATTCGTCGATCTTTCCGGCTTTCAGACTCGAGTGAGCAACTCATGGACTTCATCTGAGGACAGCTGGAAGTATCCTAACGAGGAGCTGTGCTTAGTGTCGGTAAACTCAGGACTGCGCACTAGAGAGGACCGTCTTTCGCAGTTAGAAGTTAGAACGCCTTGGCTCTTCTGCTGTAGACGCTGCCGATCCTGGCTGTGCGCGAAGGTCTACCACCTTCGCGTGATGTCTTCATGTCTGAATCTCTCTGATCACGTACTGCGCAGCTTCAAACTCTATGAGCCGACTAGAAAGAATGATCTACGGCCGGAAGACCTCGGGTTGATCTTTCCGACCAGTCTCGGCGCGTAGGGTCGTTCGTTCCCGGCTACACACTTGTTCATCTTCCCGGCCGGACGCGCGCTTTGGCGAGGCTACACAAGTGCTGAATAACGATCTGTGGAGACGAGGTCCAGACCCAGGCTCTCAAGCGCCCAGTCGTCGTCAACAACTTGATCTCCCTGACCACGTTTTAGGTAGACATCGACGGTCTCTACCGTGCGAAGAGGCGTATTACCGCGGCTCCACCTATCCTACGAACCTCGACGCGCACAACTCTGTCGTACTATTCGGCTCGCTGCTAAAACTGTTCCCAGACAGTGCGCAGGCTCTGACTTAACTCTCGAAGGGGTTCTCCGAAAGCGTGCTGCTTGTTGACCGGGCTTGAAGATCGGCGCTGCTGTATTGAGATTCGTGGGATGAAATGCACAAGTGGTACGATACCTGATGCAAATGAGTTATTCAGCTCTAGGCGCTTACGCCCCGTATACAGAAACTTGCCAACGTCACGATTCAGCAGCCTTCGAAGCGCTTGTACTTGAAGCACCCAAACTAGTACACCAGCTAAAGGATAGTGCACGTCGCTCTCGACAGTACATGTTACCAGGATACGATGCCTCCTGTGCGAGGCTATGCACGACGGCGATCAAAACTGTATAATGTGGCGTATACAGCCCACGTGGGCGCTTGTGGGGGCATGTCAAGATTCAGCGCCAGCAGGCGCCAGCGCTCAACACAGGTTGAAATTTGCCAGTTGGCAACCGGACCCGCCATAGGCATGTACATCATACGCCCTCTGGCTGCGACCACCACCGTCGCCTGCTTCCCCTTCGCAGTGCACTCACTCGGTATTCTCCATCACGGCCCGAATTCCTTCTCGTCGCCGTTCGGTACCCATTCTATCGAAGCAACGAGTGCGCTGACACGGGAGTCTGTGTACCTCGTTGGCAGACACATCGGACGCAGTCCTTAAGTGTGGTACTTGACGAGGCTCCTGAAGCATTTCCAGATGTCAAAACCGGCAATGGATCGCGAACGCCAGCTAATCCAACAAATCGCCGCCTTACAACACGAGCTCTCGCAATGTCCCACGGTCGCACGCCTCGAGCGCACCACGGCCTCATGGCGAGCCGCCTACCAAGAAGCGACAGGCCATCATCAAGGAGTGAGCGCAGAATGTGCTGCGTTGCGCAAGCGTGTCGCGGAGCTGGGTCATGAGCTCCATCAAGCCAGGCGCGCCAACGACGAGACATCGAAGCGTGACACCGCGCTGCAGGCGGAGCTTGAGCTTGCACGTACGGAGGCGCGGAAGGTACCGGTTCTGGAACAGGTGCTCGTAGGCAAGAACATGCTCGTCAGCCGCTACGAGGCTCGAGAGCTGCAGCTCAACGCCGACAACACATCACTACGGGCGAAAGTGGCCAGGATCGCACAACTGGAATCCGCTCTCCTGAATCGCGAGGCTGAAGCCCAAACTGTCGCCGCCTACGTCCGGGAACTTGAGGGCGAGGTCAAGTTCTTGCGTCACAATAATAGCTCCGCTACCCCCGCCCAGGTCGATGCCCTCAAAAGCCGAGCAGTGGATGCTGAGGACCGAGTTAAGCAGCTCAACCTCGACCGTGAAGCTCTTCGCCACCGGACAGGAGCATTGGAGGCTGCTCTGAATGCTCGCATCAATGCCTTCCGGGATAACGAGGAGAAACTTCGTCGCGAAGCGGAGGGTCTTCGGGTGGAGGCTTTGAAGGTACCTGCACTGGAGAAGGCCGTTGCAGAACTTCGCATACAGGCGCAAAGAGTCCCGGGATTGGAGATGGCGCTGGCGCAATGTGATGACCGAGCAACATCCATTGGGAACCACGCTCGGCAACTCGAGGACGATAGAGCAAAACTGCTCCAGAACGTCGATCTTGCACGTGTCCTTGCCGCGACTCAGACACGCCGTGCGGACGATGCCGAAGATCGTTTACAACGTTCTCAAACCGAGGTTGCCGCTATGCATACACGTCTGAGGGTGACCGAGATCACTCGGGAAGGTCTCGTCGCGTGTGCAAAAGCCGCTGAAAGTCGCGCCCGGGCTCTCGAATCCGTCAATGAAGGCCTGCGTACTTCTGCATCGGAGATGGAGACAAGCCATGAGGAGACGATCAACCGATCGCGGGAGATTGAGAACTGCCTCACGGCGAGGAACGCCAGAGTCATGGAGCTGGGAGAAGAGGTCCAAGCATTACGGGAGGAGCTCCGAAAGGCGAGGGAGTCGCAACCAGTAGACATGGAGGGATACGAGCGCATGAGCTCCGAGCGCGAGTCGCTGCTATCGGGGATGCGCGAGCTACTGCCGTCAGGAGATACACCAGCACTTTCAGACGCCTCAGGTGGGAACGCGGTCCTCTCATGATCTCCACGAGTTCTGAACGACCATGCAGAGGTACTTCGTGCCGTGGAGGGCGAGTACGATCGTCTTCGTGAGAGGGCCGCGAGCTTGGAACAACGATATGATGCGCGCGCATCGTGGTACGCTATATTACAAATACGGGTGAAGGAGCTGGAACGTGTATACCGGTGTTACTGATGGACTGTCCTCTTGCTATCCGTTTTGTCAAATTCTTTTTGCATGGTGTTTCGTCACCCCTGTATCGCTGTCATTCTCGGTTCACCTGTGCTGCTGTTCTATCAAATATAACCGCTATCATACTCCCTACTATTCGCACAACGTATAACATTCTGATTGGTAGAATTGCATATCTGTCGATTGTATCTGACGGCAGCGTCAAGGGTTTGCTTTGATCAGGCCTCCGCCGCTGGTCATCGAAGGTTTGCAGATAATATGAGTAGCGCATCCATCTCCTCTACCTATGACGACGCACGTCTGGATCAAGAGATCCTCAATAGCTGTCAAGGCGTTTGATGGACGTTGCCAAAGGAGACCGAGGTTGCAAGCTGTGGCGAGCCTCGAGGGCGCCTCGTCCGCGTGACTCGGAGTTTGTTGATTGTAGCGGCCCGCTTCGGCCCGGTATGTGCGACAGAAATCGCGGCTGCCCTTGTATCGCAACCTCCACACAGCGTTGACCGACACCCTATACATACCCCTGAAATGTCCTCACATCTCGCTACTAGAGACACCATGAACATCCTGACGCTCGTATAAGACTCAGAATGGGCGAACCCCATCTTGGCGAGCTTACTCGATCTCTCCGCAAGTTGACCGCAAGAGTACGATTGTCGTCCACTAATAGCCTCCAGTCGCACCTCTAACCAGAACGCGCCCTCTCTCTGCAAGAATAAGAAGGGCCTACTTGCTGCAGGGGCACCCTTTCTTGGAAGTAGCCAGGCTGTCTGTGGTCATGTTGTGGCGTCCGTGAACCTCGTGGGCCCTTGTGGGCGCGTCAGGGCTCGTCGCGTTGAACATCAAGTTCGAATCGCGCTCGAGACGCGTCTTGTCCTAAACTGCCACTATCATCGGCCGCACTTCGCGGGCTCATACAGTCTATCTTTAACGAAGCTTGGATGCCCGCGTGACCTAGTGACTGGGAGAGCAATACGCACAGGAGGCACGCGCGTGCGCGCGACTTAGGCGCTGTGTGGTGTGGTGGTGGGCATTGAGGGCAATATCTGTCTTGCGGCTCGTTTCAAAGGCACTCGATCTCACGGAAAGAAGTGCGTACACGATGTTACAAGCATGGACGCGCAGCTGACGACTTCAGTATGGCATATAAAAGCGAACGACTCGAATCACTTACGCCTTTCGGTGATGACCTGCGCGTCTCGGAGCAGCCACCGTCAGAATATGATAGTCCAGAAGGTGAGCTTCACAATTACGCTCGCTCTATCCAAAGCTGATTGTTATATATAGACCATCAAGCCACTACTTCGCACGAATCACATCTCAACGCGGAGCTCAGCTTAGCCCTCCGAGCTTCCGAGGAACGCGAACATGAATTGGCCGCCCGACTTCTTTCCCTGCAATCCGAGCTGAACCTTCGTCCTCAAGTTGAAGATCTGGAGCACCTTATGGCGTCATGGCGCAACACCAAGCAGAAGGCAGCGGACACTCAACAACAGCTCAACGCCGAATGCACCACCTTGCGCTCGCGCGTTTCGGAACTGAGTCGCGGACTTTCGGTCGCTCAAGACCAAGCACGGCGTGCCCAGAGTCGCGTCGAGGCGCTTACTCCCTTGCTCGACTCCGCACGTAGCCAGTTGCAACACGCACAACAACAAGCTGAAGCGCTGCAGCGCAGCCTGTCAGACGTGATGGCCAAGAACGAGGAGTCTCTAAGGCGCGAGGACGCGATACGGAAAGAACTCGAACCTATGCGTGTGGAAGCGCAAAAGGTGCCTGGACTGGAGCAGTCGCTAGCGAACTGGAAAGCTCGGGCGAATGATCACCAAGTTCGCGAACAACAGCTCATCGGCGAGAATGCGTCGCTGCGCTCGAAGGTCGGGAAGATCGTGGAGCTGGAGTCTGCCCTCGCGAAACGCGCGTCTGAGGCTCGGGCTGTCGCTGACTATATTCGGGAACTCGATGGCGGCGCCACTACGCTGCAACAGAACTTGAACACCGCCACCGCACAGGTCGTCGCACTCAGAAGTAGAGCGGAAGCCGCCGAGAACCGAGAGGTGCAGCTCAAGTCGGACCTCAAAATCTTTCGCGACCGGACAAAGATGCTAGAAGCCGCTTTGGACGCTCGGAATAACGACGCTCGGAAGCACGAAGCCAAGCTGCATCGTGAGTTGGAGAGCTTACGGACGGAGGCTCGAAAGGTGCCCGCATTGGAGAAGAGTGTCGCAGACCTACGCGTGCAGGCGCAGAGGGTCCCAGGACTGGAGTCGGCTTTGGTGCAATCGGATAGTCAGGCAACTTCCGCCGGGAATCAAGTTCGTCAGCTCGAGGACGACAGGACCCATCTACTGCAGAACCTCCACCTGGCAGGCACTCAGGCTTCATCTCTGACCGACCGCGCAGAGAACGCTGAGGCGCAGCTAGAGCGCTGCCAACACGAGGTCGTTGTCATGTGCATGCGGTTGAAGTCAAACGAGGCCGCGCGGGAAGAACTTGTCGCACGCGCAGAGACAGCTGAGAGTCGCATTCAAGCTCTGGAAGCAGAGAACGGGATCTCGCGTGCACGGATCGCGAAGTTGGAAGTAGATTGCGCCGAAACGCTCGAGCGTTTCAATGAAGTCGAGGCCTATCTGATGACAAGTAATGAGAAGAATACGGAACTCGTGAAGGAAGTCGAACCGTTGAGGGAAGCACTCAGGACGTTGAAAGAGGAGAGACCCAGAGAGACGGAGACAGAAGAGCGCATGAGGTCGGAAAGAGAGTCCTTGCTGGAAGGGATGCGCGAGCTACTACCGTCAGGATCTCTACCAGCGTCTTCAGACGCCTCCGGTGAGATATACCTTTCCGTCTCTTGAACTGTTCTAATCCTTCCTACAGAGGTTCTTCGTGCGGTGGAGGAAGAATACGACAGGCTGCGCGAAAGGATCGCAGACCTGGAACGCCGATACGATGCGCGCGCCACACATTACGCCATACTACGCGGACGGGTTGCAGAACTAGAACGCAACTCGTGGCAGTACTGATGACCTAATGGAATTTCTTGCTATTTGTTCTGACTTTCTTGCTATTTGTTTTGTGCCCGCTGTCTCGCAACCGCTTCCACGCTTCCGTGCTGCTATCCCGTCCATAACCCTACCCAAATTGCTATACTGTGCCTATCTTACCCCCGCGCCTTAGTGTTATGCTATACAATCTGTACATACTCATTTTGATTGCCTCACGAGTCCTACTTCACATACTCCTTACTCATGTTTCGATATTGCGCTATCGCGCTACTTTGTTCAATCTTTGCCTCGTGTATCGCAGCGGGAGACGTCGCGAGGGGCAGGGAAGTACTCTGGCAACGATCCGTGGCTAAACGTTCAGGATGGGCGCTCTTGCTGTAGTGATACAGCCCGAGCTGAAGCCACTGCAATCTATACAGGGAGACACTGTGCTTATAGCATCGTGCCAAACTTGTCAAGGAGTGCCAGTCGTCGCAAACTCGAGCAAGGTGGGAAAGCAAGAGTAGAACATCGTCGCGCGGCTCGACGCGGCGCGGCGCGGCGCGTCGACCCGTTGCCCCCGGCCACCATCGCGCCATGTACCTGATGTTGCAACCGTACTCGAGCCCACAGATGGGTGAAGCTTTCGTTTGTAAGCTTCTAGAGCAAGCAATGCGACCGAGCAGGACCGACCCATGCTGTCTCTGCATTATATCCGCTTCTTTCCGGGCCACCTTTGTCTTGGCATCGCACTGCGCGCTCGTCGTCTTACAGCCGATGCTCAATGTTCAGCGGCGCTCGACGGATTTCCTAGCCGCCTAGTATCTTATCAGTGCCAATACACGCCAGCACGCCTTGGCGCTTTGAACACTACCAGCCCCCAACCGAACTCGATCGTTGTCAAAACCGCGAAGCCATATCGTCGTCAACGCGCTTATGCCGTATCGGGAGAACAGCGGATGTCGGTCGGTGCCAGTGTGGTGGCCTGGTCAGCACGGGCCCGCGAGCAGTCGTCAAGGGATCTGTAGATGACCCAATTGTGCGGCCCGCCGGCAACTTCGACAACGGCGTTGTACTGCGACCGCGCGATGTATAAAGCGCTCAAGCGCCTGTTGCTCCGACCGAAGCCCATTGCTCCAGCCATGCTGGCCCCAATTCTCTCTTTGCTGCTGGTCTCAGCGGCGCCTCTCGTTTCTGCTGGGTTTGGGCTGACTACCTCGGGCACGAAATGGACGGTCGACACCAATGCTGGACTGACCTTCACCGGTACGTCTTGAGCCTTTTATGCGTATTCAGACTCGATATTGACTGTGTAACGTATGTATAGTTCAATCTACGAACGGTGACATCGGTGCGTGCAGTCTCAACATCTCCGCGATCGAGCGCTGATTGTTATTCTAGTCTCCATCAAATACAACGGCGTTGAATCCCAGGATCAGAGCAAATTCAGTCAGATCGTGCGTGAACTTGGTTACTACATGTGTGCGTCGCTCACGCCCGATACAGGCCTCCGGCCTAGGTTCTGCTTCTTGCGCATGGGAGCAGACTGGCCACAGTAACAACTACATCAAGATTACTTGCACAACAAGCACCCTGACGCAGTACTACGTTGCTCAATACAACACCGCGGCGATCCATATGGCTACCGTCAGTACCTTTCCGCTGCTCTCCCCCAGGCGACCACTTCACAGATCAATCTTCCCATGCAGTACACAACCGCTGAACCGTCCGTCGGCGAACTTCGCTTCATCGCGCGCCTCGCCCGCTCTGCCTTCAACACGGGCTATGCTGTGTCTGACGTCAACGGCGGCACTGCGATTGAGGGCTCTGATGTGTTCCTCGTGAACGGCCAAACGCACTCGAAGTGTGAGGGCGTTCTTTCTTCGAGACTCAGGATCTTATCTGATGCATTTTCCAGTCTACTCTTCGAAGCAATTCTACAAGGATCAGGTACACGGCGTCACCGGCTCAGCTGGCGGTGAGATCAACTTCTGCGCATATATGTCCCGATATTGACTCTCCTTCGACAGGCGCTTACATGGTCATCCCGGGCACGGGTTATGAGTCCAGTTCTGGCGGACCCTTCTTCCGGTATGCGTTGTTCAGATCGATAGATATCGCTCTTTCTCACATCACTCTTAGCGACATCAATAATCAAGGCACCTCCCAACAAGAGCTGTACTTCTGTGAGTTTCTGGAGTGTCCGGTCGACCTTCTCACTGACGCTGTTCTTCTATAGACATGGTCTGTTGACCCCGTACGATGCACATCGTCTCCAACTAACCCTTCCGCAGAACTCCAACCACGAGCAGACTGAATGTAAGTATCGCAACCGCGCTCTTTGCTCTCCTTATACTGATGTTACTCGTCATAGCTTATCGTCAGGGCCTGCACGGCCCGTACGCTCTTGTCGTACGTTGACATCCCCGGCACGTTGCTCGATAGACACGGAACCTAACGTCTGCATACAGTTCACGAGTGGCTCGGCACCATCGTCCAACATCGGTAAGCACCTAGTACCTTCAATGACCTGCAACGTCTCTCACACCCTTCAGACACGAGCTTCTGGGAGGGCCTCGGTACTATCAGCGGTCTCGTTCCTTCTTCAGGGCGTGGATACGTCATCGGCAAGGCCATCGACGTCCCGAGCGCGTACTCGTCGGACGCTACCATCACTTGGAACAACTCCGTTGCGCAATACTGGGCCACGGTCGGATCCGACTTCGACTTCTCTTCGCCGAAGATGAAGCCCGGTACGCCGTCAAGTCCACATTTGTACCATGCAGGAGTCTGACCCTCTTTGCGCCGAAAGGAACCTACAGCATGATTTGTGAGTACTTGTGGTTGTGCGTCAACTGTCTAGCGCTGATGTGTATCAGTGTACAAGGGAGAGCTCGCTGTTGGTGAACAGTCGGTCGTGGTCAGCGCCGGAGAGACTGTGACGTCCAACATCCACGATACCAGTGGCGTAGACGTGAGTCGTGGCCATACACGGGACATAGGGAGATGCTCATCCATCTATAGACTACGTCCTACCTCTGGCAGATCGGTGAATTTGACGGGAGGCCAACAGGCTTCTTGAACGCCGAGTACGTCCCATCAACATGATGAATCATCCCACGCTGACTGTCCGCCACAGCTTGATCGAGACGATGCAGTCAGTCTTGTGCACTGTCTCGCGCCGATCCATACTCATTGTTCTATAGCCCGAGCGATAGTCGCATGCACGATTGGTAAGCACGGGACATAACCGTTTCTACGACGGCGGTCTGATGTGGCCGTGTTTAGGGTTCGGACCTACTCTGTCGGCTCTCAGGACATTGGCTACTTCCCCATGGCTATCTTCAAGGCGGTGGGGCCCGTCACCGTTCACTTCGCGCTCTCGTCCGGCCAGGGTGGCGCGCGCACTCTCGTCATCGCCACGACATCGGCATTCGCAGGTGGCCGCCCCATCGTCACGCTGAACAGCTGGTCGAGCTCGACCCCGCCAGCCCCGACTCAACCCGACAGCCGTGGCGTTACCAGAGGTGAGCGTTAAGTCGATGTGGATCTGCAGGCATTTGTTCTGACTTGTGCCTAGGTACTTGGCGCGGTAACAACAACTATTATACCTATGCCATCCGTACGTCTCATGCCTTTGTCCCGGGCTGCTGCGGTGCTCACCTGAATCTCAGCATCTGGCACCTTGACCACGGGATCGGCCACGAACATCCTCACTATCTCCGTCGCTTCCGGTTCTAGTGGTGACACCTACCTGGTACGCCATCCAGCCCTTCTTACAAGACACGGTCCGCTTATCATCCATTCTAGTCGCCCAATATCGTCTTCGACGCCGTCGCTCTCTACTGAGTTCTCTGGGTTTGTATCTCTTGTATCCCTCTCTCCTTCGCAATCGTTTGTACATATAGTCGGTCATGATTATATGCAAGTCCGCTCGTTTTGGTATACACCTCCCCGACGACCAACGGTGGTCAGAATAGTTTACAGGGCTTCTGTCAAGATCAGGCCCACAGCGATGTGATATATGCTCGTGCAAGTTACAACGGCCCATCGAAGTCTGGACTGATTGTCTGACGCCAGACTATCGTACAGCAAATCGATGGCTATTGTTGGTCTATTTGACGTTGCCCGGGTACAATGAACCATAGCGCCCGAGACGTCCCAAGAGCGGCCACCACAGGAGTAACGACCACAGAAGTGACAACCATAGATGGTCCTCCTTGCGGCCTTCGAGCACGTCGATACATGGTCTGAACCACGAGAGAAGGCACTATAAAGCCAGCGATATCAAGACGACCTTTCTCTCAGACCTCGCAACCGATATCCTCTTCACTACCCCGCTACTACTCATCGAAGCGTCCTCTACTCCCAACACCATTGCACACGCCATGACGACCCGAAGCGCGGAGGTGACGGCGTTCCTCCAACGTCTCGAGCAGAATGCTCTAGCTTCTCAATCAACACACCCTTTCACTCCATCGGCTCGCGCTCAGCTCAAGCAATGGGAGAGCCAGTTGATCAGCCTTCAGGTCGACTATGACGCATACGCGGAGCTTCTGCTACAGCACTCTCAGAAGGCGAAATACGCTCCTGAGGACACGAGCGTCGAACTACGACTGGTGATCTCGGGCAACATGAGGGATTGCGAGATGCAACAGCATCTGATCGACACCAACCAGTGTACGATTTTATGGCAGTACAATATGCTGGCACGAGACGACCCCAAGTGGCCGTCAGGGAGCCGCGGGAAGAGACGGTGAGCTCTAGGGAGACGGAAGAAGTAGGTGGAGGGAATGGCGGCACGGGGTTGGTTATGGCAGGCTATAGCAAAGTGGAGGATATTTACGACGCGGCAACGGTGCTAATTCAGTCTCATGAAGGTTTTGATCAAGCATGAATATATATATACATTTGTGTGAACACAAGCCATCGAGGGGTGCGTGACTTATTCAAGGTCGTGCGTGTATACGCATGTCTTCAAAACTCTTCACAAAAGGCGCCACCTTCTGATAGCCTTTCTGTGTCACCGCTTTGACTGCGTCTTCGTATGAACCTGCGATCATATGTACATACCCCAATTCATCAGAGCGTGCCATATTAGACATATCAGAGGCTGATTCGGCCAGCCTGAGGGCAATCGGCGGCCATCCAAGTCTGGATCGGTTCCGGAAACATAACCCCAAATCAGTCCAGGCTGTTGCGTTTATCCAGTCATCGTAGCGATCTTGATTCGGGTACTCGGCACACGGAAAGTTCACAATCGTCACGTCCTCAACGTGGCGTGTGAAGTGGAACTCCTCCAGCATACCAAACTTTGAAACGTACTTGAGGAGTGACCAACTGGCAGTGACATGTGTCGCGGCGAAGGATTGAATGATCTCTTGCATGAGTTGAATTGTAGGCCGACGAGACGTGAACATATGGCCAGACTCCTTGAACCTCTCTACGGGTGCATCAGTGTAGTCTAGATATCTCAGGCTCGAGAATCCTGGGTGCAGAACGCGATTCACCCGTCCATAGAACATCCTGGCTACTTTGGCTTCGAAGTCAACGACACGCAAACTATCGCTCAAGTCGTCCCAGTCTGAGGGCGGCACATGTACACCACGCATGCCTAGGTCGTGGAGAGCCCGAGTGACACTTGGAAGTCTGAGCGTGAAGGCAGCACCCGATGCTGGACATGATAGTCCAAGAGATGTGGAGAAGTCGAAACCTCCCAGCGTAACATCGGAAGTCGATTCCGACGACCATAGTTGTAGAAGGATATCGTACGATGGCGTCAAGCCCAGCCTAAGGCTATCATACACGGGCGAGTGCACCCATTCATGCACAGCATTCAGTAGTACTGGTTCGGCCCAGTCGAAATCTCCTTCATACCTTTCGTCTAAAGCATCGGTGTCGATGAAGACCTTCGCATCGTGTGGTATCCTCAGTCTTCGGAAGAAGTCGCCCATCGCATATGACTTGCCTCCTAGATGAAGGCCCTGCAGGTTTGGAAGCTCAACATGCAACTCGGACGCGGAGGGTAGCTGCTCGGCAATTAAAAGGGGCATGTCGGTGACGATCAGCCGTTCAAGTAGATTTGAACGTTGTAGGAATACGATGAACTCGTACGTGGGAAAGACTCTTGGTATGGCCTCGCAACTATCAGGCTCCGGCTCGTGCGGGTCAAATATGTTTTCATTGGATCTCCAGTCAATGTTATCCATGTCCACCCGTAGATATCGAAGAGAGGGCGCGCAGAATGGTATGAGAACATTGTTCATGTATAAGCCGTGCAGACACGGCGCTTCAATCAGCTCGTTCGTGGGCCACATATCGGGGCCCGAGCCGTCCCATATTCTAGCCATCTCGAGCTTCGGGAAGGACCGTAGGCGATACAGTAGCTCCGGCCACTTGAGATAGTCATCGTATACAAACGAGCGAAGACGATCGCGGTACTGTTCGAGCAGCGAAAGCTGATACTCGGTCAGAACATAATCTGAACCTGCATGGTCTTCAATATGTCCATCGAAGCATAGAGCAGAGCCGCGTGCTCGCTCAATCATGAGGTTCGTCATGTTATCGGAAATGAACGACCCGGCGTTCGTGGCCCATAGCCTAGCGTAGTTCAAGGCAACGTGGCGCCAGCGACGGCATACGCCGTTCACTTGGAGATACCACCCTTGCGGGCGCACTCGGGATGGTATGTCGAGCAGGGACAGCGTCATGAAGATCTCGCTCAAAGTCTCGTCTGAGAGCTTGCGATTGATAGGCGCTTGTGCGGTGGATGAACCCACGACGGGAAGGATAGCGCTGCTCATCACTGCGAAAGAAAGGTCGTGAGTTCAGGCTACGATGTTCGCAACCGCGAGGATTCTCACCTGCTTTCAGCGACGTGCACAATGGTCGTCTAGAGCAAGTCGAGTCGTTGCGGCACGGATCGATGATCCCACGAGCCTCGTTGTTCGAGGTTCCGGTGACCAGGTGTGCTCGATGGGCATTGTCTTGTCGTTGTTAACCGTGTAGGCGCGGCGGGGCTCAAGCGCGAAAGCCCGCCGAGGACCAGCGGTGCTTCAAAGTTGTTCACTTGGCCGTGGCAGCAGTTCATACAGCGTCGCGCGAGGCTCGTATCTGGCCCCTATTCACATGAAATTCCGGGACTGAAAAGACCGGCTTGTCACTCGGAATGCAAAAGCGCACCGGCCCGGTAACGGCCCGTTGTCGTTTCTCGCCCTCTCGTGGGCGGATAGGGGTTTGAGCGACCGCGCAGATCATGGGGCTCGCGCTGGTCTTCTCAAACGCTCACCATTCCGCAATGACCTTAACCTCCACTATGTCGCACAAGCGACCTGGCTCGCCCGCGCCTGAACGTGGGCCATCAAGTTTTTGAGCTGGCGGCAACCGACACCTGGGCTTGGCTCACGAGTCTGACGCTGCGGAAGAACAGCTACAGAAACAGTGCTCTCTCGGACGCGGTCGCACGGTATGTCCCATTACCATAAGTTGAGGCGAGATCTACGGGCAATAGAGCTTCCTCAAAACGTTCGAAAACGTCTGAATCCCCTTCTCCAGGCCCGCTCAAGCACATAGAGTTGCACGGCGTGAGCACCAATATCGACAGCGACAGACTACGGAATCTGCTCCGGTCTTGCCGCTCATAGTCTCCTGCTCGACTTACGAACATCACAGTATTTCGTGCCTTACGTCAGTCCAGTAAGAATTTGGAGGGGCTACCGCAGCGCCCGCGTTCGGTGCACAACCCGTCTCCCTACCCCTTTCGACCTTTGGGAGAGGATGCCGACGTGGTGAACACTCATATCGATGCTAGCTTTACGAACCGCCAACATGCTCCTGTGCTCACGAGTAAACGCGACATCGGAGCTGTATTAGAAAGGACGCGCGTGGGTGAGTCTGTCTATCTTGTAGCGACCGCAGCGTCTGACCCGCATTAGAACCGGCCGGGAACTGGGACATTATACGCCTTCACGTCTTGATATCATCAACTACTACGACATATCAGCGAATACCCCATTCTCCAGACGTGGGGGCCTTGACGCCATGGGTGGACCTGTCAGCATGTGGACGGGAAAGCCCACTCTCAACATCAGCCTGAGGATGAGGGCGGAGCTGGTTTTAGCCGGTTTTAAGTGATGTGAGAAGCACGGCGACGGTCCTTGTGGTGTTGGCAGGCGAGTATTACACGGCACCATAAGAATCGCGCAGAGGTCGAACGTCGAACCCTCGCTCACCACACTTCCCACGTCTCTTGGCGCCTGCCTTTCGTATATCACAGTTTAGATAACATGTAATGAATATAATGTAACAGCGATCTACATTGAGCATATACGTCCCGACACACAGTCCCGATGATGCCCCGGAGGGGCCGTGGCAGTGGGTATGAGTATCATAGTTGAATAGAGTATCTCCTGGCGATGGTGGTGGCCCGACGTTGAACGTTGAACGCGAGCGACGGTCCGGAAGCCGACATCGTGTCATCCGTGGGAAGGCTTTGTCATCCGCATCCCATCCGGCTCGACGGTCCATCGCGCACCGTCACGGGCAGCGATGACAACAGTGAATGGACGGTATCTATCGGCGACTTATCCGGATTGAGTCCTCCCTATGACCCATGCGGGTCTTTCGCGCATCTACGTACACGACGTTCAAGCACTGCTCGATGTATGAGCAAGCCATCCAGGCCTCATGGAGTTGCAATCATACTCGTATGCCGGTCCTACGACTACTACTGGACCTCTGTCAACTTACACGGGCCGACTTATCCTCCTTTGCTCCTGAATCAGGACCGTATATGAATGCGCAAATCCTGAAGACTCCTCACATAGGGTGCCACCTTTTCGTATCCCTTCTGCGTCACCGCTCTCACGGCGTCCTCGTACGACCCAGCAATTGTATGGATGTACTCCGGATCGTCTGAGCGTGCCATGTTAGAAATTTCAGAGTCCGACTCGGCCAATCTGAGTGCGAGGGGAGGCCATCCGGCTTTGACTCGACGTTCGAGGCATAGGGATAGATGATGCCAGGCTTTCGCATTGAGATCTTCATCGTATCGCTTCTGACTAGGAAACCCAGCACACGGGAAGTTCACGATTGTCACCTCTTCCACCTGTTGTGCGAGATGGTATTCTTTCAAGATATCGGACGGTAGACGGCTGAGAAGAGCCCAGTTTGCAACCAGATGTGTGCACGTGCTCGAGCATTTCTGTATGATATTATGGCTCGGTTCGACGCCCATTTCCCCGCCGGATGATCTATACCAGTAGTGTGCACCATCCCACGGCACATCAGTGTAATCGAGATGTCTGAGAGCTTGGAAGGGTCCAAATGGGCTGAAGTATGTTGGTAATAGCACCCTCAGGCGACGATAAAAGGGGCGCGCAACGTCCTTCTCATAGAAAGCAGCATTGTGATCCCCATTCCATTCCCATACATTCTGAGGCAGTATAGGCTCGTTGTTTTCGTCGCGTTTGAGGGTGTCCCGCGCGACGCCGGGTATTCTGAACGAGAATGAGGGACCCGATGAAGGCGGATCGGATTCAAGGGGCTTCGTCACGTCCAGGGTTCCCGGTGTACTGCTTGTTTCTGACGACCATGTCTGCAGAAGAAGGTCATAGGACAGTGTCCTACTGATTCTGAGGCTATCGTAGATGTGGGAGCGGATCGCGTCCGCCACTACATTCAGCAACACCGGTTCACAGGCATCTGTGTCTTCCATCACGTCTGTCTCGATGTATATCTGAGCGTCCTGCGGGAGCACCAGCCTTCGGAGAAAATCGCCCATGGCTAAGGACTTTCCACTCAGATGCAATACACGCAACTTGGGCAGTTCGGCGTGCAACTCCGAGACGGGTGCCAAGTTCTCGGCGAGTAGTGGGGGCATATCATTGACGCAGAGGCGTTCTAAGCGAGGCAAACGGTTCAAGAGCATAATGAACCCGACAGTCGGAAACACCCGCTCGGTCGCTTCGCAGCCCTCAGTCACCGTCTCGTATACCCCCAACATGTCTCGGCTAGATCTCCAATCTGGATTGTCCATGTCGACGCGGAGATAGCGAAGAGAGGGCGCATTGAACGGGACAAGCACATTGTTCATGTACAGGCCGAGTAGAGCCGGCGCTTCGATGAGCTCGTCCATAGGCCACGCATCCGGACCCGATTCATCCCCAATTCTAGCCATCTCGAGCTTCGGAAAGGTTCTTAACTCGTACAGCATGTCCGACCACTCCATGAACTCATCATGTACGAAGGAACGAACGCGGTCTTGGTGTGTCTCCAGCAGCGAGAGCTGATAGGAAGTGAGCGCGTATCCCGGGTCGGCATGATCTTTGAAATGCCCATCAAAACGTAGGAGGGAGCCCTGAGCGCGTTCGATCGCAAGGTCGGTCATATCGTCGGATTGGAAGGACCCCGCGCTGATAGCCCAAAGCTCGGCGTAGTGCACAGCAACGTAGCGCCAACGACGGCACACGCCGTTCACCGTGAGGAACCAGCCTTGCGGTCTCGCCCGCGACGGTACGTCGAGGAAGGCAAGCGCGAGAAAGATCTCGCAGAGATTCTCGTCCGAAAGTTTACGGTTGATAGACGCTTGGGTGTTGATCTGGCTTGTGCCGAAGAGGGCCATGTCCCTCGTCACTACAGGCGAGCTGAACGCGAGAATCACTATGAGCTACGCCGCATGCATCCCCGGGAGTCTTCACTCACTCGATCAATTGTGCACAATGGTTGTCTGGAGCAAGTTGTGTCGTTGCGCGCGCGGATCGATGATCTCACGAGCATCGTTGCTCCCGGTCCGGGTGACCAGGTGCGTTCGAAGGGCATTGTCTTGTCATTATTGACCGTGTAGGCGCGGCGGGGCTGATGCCCGAGAGAACGCCGGAGGTCCGGCGTATAACAGTTCCCACGACTACCTGTTTTCACGGCGCTTAGCTCTCATATGCTTAGCGAATTGCTGGTGAGACCTTGTAGTTATATCGAGCTCACTGAGTGATCTTTCCACTCTGTGGCGCGCGAGGGAACCAGTAGCGGTCAATGATGGGACGGGACGTCGATGTCTTTGACCATGAACAAACCAACTCGTTGATTCCGCGCCGGTAATTGACCATGTCCAGCCCACATCGTCCATAGACAATACCCCTGCGACCACCACACAGTTGCAGCGTATGTGGTCCCAACCACAAGCAGTACATATAAAACGTCGCGTCGTTAAGCTCCTTAGGCAGCATCCAACCCTCTGCTCATCCCGAGCTCGCCACACATCACCTACTCAACCTTACCCCACCGCCCAATACCCCCTCACTTAACAACCACTATGGATCCAGCCGGATTCGATGCACTTGATGCACTTGATGCACTGGGGCGCGGGGCACCAAAGCAGGCAAACCCCAACCACGATTTCTGGGAAGAGATCCAGCCTCTTCAGCCGGTATCCTACTCGAAGCTCGACATGCCCGACGAGCTGCGCCAGCAGTTCCGCGCGCTCGAGGAGAAACATGACATCCTGCGTATGGAACACGCCGACGTGCTCTACACATACGAGAGTCGCTTCAAGCAGATCATGGATCGCTTGAAAAATAACCCGGATGGACCAGTGGTAACTGAGGGGCACGATATCGAGCAGATGGAGAAGGATATGAGGGAGTTGAAGGACAAGATAAACGATGTCTTTCTGGAGCATTTCAGGCTGTGGATGGTGCCGCCTTTGGAGTTGGAGATGTAAGTTGGAGATGTAGATAGTCGTCGCACGGTTGGAGGGTACTTGTGTAGGAGTAGGATGCAAGGGAATTCGGTCACGGAATGGAGATCATGACTTAACGATCCTGTAATATATTCGTGAGATGCGAGTAAGAAATGTTGAGCCCACGAGGAGATGAATCGGGCTCTGAGCGCAAGATCCTGGCTGCGTCCAGCGCGCGCTACGGTGAGATGGAGCGATACGCAAGGACGATGATGGCGGTCGCAGTCAAAGCCGGCGCTCCGCCGCCGGAACAAGAGCGTCACAATTGTCGTCGGCATGAACACGACAACATAGGGGTAGCGCAAGCATGGATATGAGCAAATGTATACGAGGCTGGTACCTCGCCTACTAGACGCGTGCTACATGGGAGGGGGAGCGAAGAGGGCAAGAGAAGGACAAGCGGGCGCGTGAGAAGCTTACATCAGCCGCGAAGCATCGCCCTCTCGGGCCATGGATGTTCGCTCTGTCAGCGGTGGCGCGTATCCTTACAAGTCATGCCTCCTCCATATTCCATCCGGACATCATCACAACAACTCTCGAAGTGAGTCTTGGACGCGCCAGACGAAGGCGAGGGCGGATTCAGAGCCCAAGAAGGCCTCGTCGTGTCCCCGGAGCCGAAGCCCGATAACGCCGAAAGCCTGAGCGCCGTGTCTCAAGGTCATGATCTGCGGACGTCGGCCTGGCCTCATCCTTGTATCTCTACCGAACACATCATGCTCAACTTGAGACCTCTTACCACACGCTCCCCAGGGATGCCCGCAGTATGGGTAAAGATGACAGGTATCTCGTGTTCAAACAGTCCGCGCGAGGCGCACGTGTGCAATTGCAAGTTCAGAAGAATGGATGGGAGGCGATTGGAGGATGGAGGCGATACTACGACAAAGTGGCAGTGGCAATGAGGATCGGCAGACAGTGTTCTGTTGCATGAGGCTCGGGCACAGGATGCAAAAGTAAAGAGGACGGTCGAAGGGCAAAGGAAGGATTCGCTGCTGCAGGGTAATAAACACATTTCGAACACAAAAGAAAATTGCACGATTGAAGCTGAAAGTTGAAGGTTTGGAAGGAGAGTGCTCAGCGAGGACGGTGACGATGCGCCTAGTCCTCGCTCAAATACCGATACTCGAACCTGAAATCGCTCTTCTTGCGCTGACACCACGAGCCCTCCCAGTCGAAGTAGACGTACACGCCCTGCTCGTACTCGTCCGTGATCGCCTGGGGCTCGCTGTGCCGCTGGAACCAGGTCAAGTACTTGACGTGGAAGCGCCATGATTGGCGTTTCAGCTCTTTCGCCGCGAGATACCTGAAACGAACATTAGCATTGGGCGCCACGTGATTGTACAGAGAGAATGGGGCACGCACTGCTGGTACGTCCCGGGGAGGTAATAGAAGACGTAGAAGAGCGTCTCGACGTCCAGCTGGGCGAATAGTTGCGGCGAGCTCAACAACCTCAACGGTTGTTGCGGGTAATACGCCGGACTCTGGTACGGATTCCTCGGTACGTAGTACTTCGGCCTGCGATGTAACACATGAGTACAGGGCCGGCGCACACTGTTACACAGAAAGACAGACGACGCACTTCTCGGTGTCCTGCGCAGTCGGCATGCTCGCGTAGCTGCTATTCAAGAACTTATGCAACCCGTTGACATCGGCCATCCGTGCAGGCGCCTTCTGCTTGACCGCCTCAAACGAGCTGACGAGGTCGCCGAGCATAGCGGGGTATTCCGGTTGACGCGCGGGCGTAGCTGACGATAACGGTGCAGGTGCCGGTGAGCTTGAGCTGCTCGCTAGTGGTGCTGCGGGTGCGGGAGATGCAGATGCCAATGCCACAGGTGCTGCTGGTGCTGTTGTAGGTTGCAGTGCTGACGGTGCGGCTTGTGATGATGGTGCGGGCGCCGGTGCTGCTGCGGAGGACGGTGCGGATATAGGTGCGGGCGCGTCGACCTTGGATACCTCCGGACTCGCTGGTGTTGCTGCTACATATATAAGCCTCGTAGAAAGGAGTGTGGTCCACAAAGGAATAGCTACCTCTTGACGGTGATGTTGACGGTACCGCCTCGGATATTGCCGGCGAGTCCATCGATCCATCTGCTAATGCGACAGACGCAGACGACATGAACGGGCTCGTCGTTGTCGCATGTGTCAAGCTCGGACTTGTCGTCGCGACGCTCGCCATCTCCTCCCTGCTCACGCTCGCCTCCTTCTCCTTCGTCGGTGGTGCCTGTCTACTCGGTGTTGCCGGTGTTGCCGATGCGGACGCAGCGATGGATGACGATGACGCGCCCGCTGCAGCAGCAGCGTACTTCAACGGCGGTAATGTCGGCGCTGCGGGTTTCGGGAGACCGGCTTTCAGAACAGACGCCATGGGCGCCTGTCCGAAATTAGGATTGGGCGGTGGCGGCGCGGGCCGTGCTGTTTTGCGCAAGGCAGGCATGTGTCAGACTTGTGGCGCGGAGACGTAAGAAGTAAGGACAAGGGCAGGACTGTACCTTCGCTCGCTGTTGAGTGTTCTTTATATATGACGATGAATGATCAGCGTGCACGTGTGGGCAGAGGGGATGGAGGGGGAGAGGTAGACGCACTGCGCATCTGTAATGTGGCACCGGCCTTCTTGAGGATGGGCGACTCGTCCCCGCGCTCGTCCTTCTTGTCTCGTGATCGTTTCACGCTATCTTCTTCGTCGTCTTTATGGTGATTGCTATGTGTCGCCTTCTTCGGTGTTCGCGGAGGGAGGTCTGCTGGAGGGAATTGTTCAGTTGATATGTACAAATATATATTCTGAGGGAGTGGCGCGTACCTTCAGAGACGAGGTCGGACTCGTCGTCTTCGTGGGCGAGCTTGCCGAACTTCTCCTCTTCCTCGTCGAGCCTGAGTTCGTCGTAGATCATCTCGTCTTCGTCGAAATCCTCGCTCTGCGCGCAGTCAGCACTCGCCAAACAAGCCGTGAGAGCGCGCGGACCGCGTTGTCCTCCACAAAGTACTTCACGTCCTCCTGCAGCGCCAGTACCCGGTCCGTCGTCAACGTGCCGTTATCCAATAATCGCAGGATAATCTCCAACCGGGATATGTGCCACTTGCGGCGCTCGTTCAAGCGCTCGAGCTCTTCCAGCCGCTCTGCCGCTGCGCCCTGCTTCGACTTTTTGCGGCCGGTGCCTTGCAATGTCTCGATCTCGGCTTCTGCCGACTCGACCTGCATCTGCAACTCCTCGACTGACGACTGCAGCCACTGCGTCGTCTCGAGCTTCTTCTGTTCTGCCGGGTCCAGCCGCGCGCTCTGGATCAGGCCCTCCTTGCTGAACGCCTTCGTCTTCATCTCCTTCTCGCACGCCTTGAACTTCTCCATTTGCTATGTGTATATTGTTAGTATATCCGGTAAACAATAACAAATACGCCACGCACGGTCTCGATCAGCCGCCTGTTCTCGAGCAGCGCCGTCTTGTCCTTGATGTCGTTCCCGCTGACCCAGGTCTTGATCTGGTCCCTCAGCCGCTGCAACTTCTTGATCTGCGTCTTCAAATCCGTCTCGAGCTTCTCCTTCTGCGTCTGGTTCGTGCTCGCCTGCATCTTGTCGTAGATGCTCTCGAACAACTCCACCCCCTCGGACACCTTCTTCAGCGTCCTATCAATTTCCGCTAAGGTATCGCTTCAGTATAATAGCCAGCAATAAAAGACGCGTGACGGCGCACTTTGTAGTTTCCTGGCTGCCATGGTCGGCCGAGCGCGCGCGCGAGTGGAGGTCTGTGCAGAGCGAACATCCATGGCCCGAAAGGGCGATGCTTCGCGGCTGATGTAAGCTTCTCACGCTCCCGCTTGTCCTTCTCTTGCCTTCTTCGCTCTCCTCCCTCATGTAGCGCGCACCCGAGCAAGTTATGAGCCTCGTATACATATTGTTGATTTCCGCCATTGCGCTACCGCTGTGCTCTCGTGCCTATGCCGACGACAATTGTGACGCCCTGCGGCTCTTCGGAACCGGCGGCGGAGCGCCGACTTTGACTGCGACCGCCATCATCTTTGCGTAACTCCATTTCACCGTAGCGCGCGCTGAGGCAGCTCGCTCGTGCCAAGATCTTGCGCTCAGAGCCCGGATTCATCCTCTCCTGGGCAAAACATCCCTTGCTCACAACCTCACGAATATCGCTCAAGCATCGTTAAATCATGATATATATTCCCCGCAACCGGATCCCTCCGCATTCTACTGCCCATACGAGTCTTCTCCAATCGCGCGATGACTATTTACAGCCTCAAACTCAAAGGCGGCGCCATCCACTGCCTACGATGCTCCAAAAGGACCTCACGCATCTGCGCCTCCAACTTCTGTATATCAGCCACCATCGCATGTATATCGTGCCCTTCATCCACGACTCCTGAATCCGGGAAATACTGTATGTGGTTGACCATCCGCCTGACGCGAGCCCTGTATATCTCGCGCACGCTGGTGCGCTCCGTACGCAGGATACAGTGTTTCTCCTCGAGCTCGCGGAGCCGTTGGCGCAGCGCGTCGGGCATGTCATGCAGCGACTTGGATACTGCTGGAAGGGGAGTGGTGTAGAGCACACTATCAGAGGCGCCCCCCGCCTGCGCTAGTTCTTCCGATAGGCTATTTTCCCAATTTACGTTCATCGCTAGGTGAGGGTGGTATTGGGCGGTTGGGTAAGGTCGAGTGGGTAAGGTGTAGCGAGCGAAGGGCGGCGAGGAGAGGCGTTGAATGCTGCTTATGGAGCCTATCTACGCGACGTTTTATATGTACGGCTTGTGGCTGGGACCACATACGCTGCAGCTGTGCGGTGGTCGTCAGGGTATTGTCTGTGGATGCTGTGGGCTGGACATGGTCAATTACCGGCGCGGAATCAACGACTCGGATTGTTCATGGTCAAAGACATCGACGTCCCATCCCATCATTGACCGCTACTGGCGTCCCAACGCCCAACCGAGTGAAGGGATCGCTCATTGTGCTCAATGACTACAAAGTCTCGCCAGTAAGCTGCTAAGCATCTAAGAGCTAAGCGCCGTGAAGACTAGTAGTCGTGGGAACCAATATACGCCGGACCTTCGGCGTCCTGTCGGGCTTGAGCGCTTGAGCCCCGCCGCGCCTACACGGTCAACAACGACAAGACAATGCCCTTCGAACGCACCTGGTCACCCGGACCTAACAACGAGGCCCGTGGGATCATCGATCCGCCCGCGCAACGAGACGACTTGCTTCAGACGACCATTGTGCACGTCGGTAGGACTAGGTGAGGACCCTCGCGGCTGTGAGCATCGTGGCCCGAACTCACGTTGGCATCAATTTTGTCTCTTGCAGTGATGAGCAGCGCTATCCTTCTCGGCGCGGGTGCACTCCACGCGCACGCGTCTATCAACCGTAATCTTTCGGACGAGAACCTCTGCGAGATCTTTCTCGCGCTTGCCTTCCTCGACGTACCGTCGCGGGCGAGACCGCAAGGCTGGTTCCTCACGGTTAACGGCGTGTGCCGTCGTTGGCGCTATGTCGCCGTGCACTACGCCGAGCTTTGGGCTATCAGTGCGGGGTCCTTTCAATCTGACGATATGACCGACCTTGCGATCGAACGCGCCCAAGGCTCTCTCCTGCGTTTTGACGGACATTTCAAAGATCCTGTAGATCCCGGGTACGCGCTCACTCCCTATCAGCTCTCGCTGCTGGAGACACATCAAGACCGTGCTCGTTCCTTCGTGCATGATGAGTTCATGGAGTGGTCGGACATGCTGTACGACTTGAGAATCTTTCGGAAGCTCGAAATGGCTCGGATTTGGGATGAATCGGGTCCGGATGCGTGGCCCATAGACGAGCTTATCGAAGCGCCGGCTCTACTCGGCCTGTACATGAACAATGTGCTAGTCCCGTTCAACGCGCCTTCTCTTCGCTATCTCCGCGTCGACATGGACAATCCAGATTGGAGATCTAGCCGAGACTTGTTGGGGACATACGAGACGATGACCGAGGGCTGCGAGGCGACCGAGCGAGTACTCCCGACTGTCGAGTTCATCGTGCTCTTGAACCGTTTGCCTCGCTTAGAACGCCTCTGCGTCAATGATATGCCCCCACTACTCGCCGAGAACTTGGCACCCGTCTCGGAGTTGCACGCCAAACTACCCAGGTTACGCGTATTGCACATGAGTGGAAAGTCCCTGGCTATGGGCGACTTTCTCCGAAGGCTGGTGCTCCCGCAGGACGCTCAGATATACATCGAGACAGACGTGATGGATGGCACCGATGCATGTGAACCGGTGTTGCTGAATGTAGTGGGCGACGCAATCCGCTCCCATATCTACGATAGCCTCAGGATCAGCCGGACACTGTCTTATGAACTTCTTCTGCAAACATGGTCGTCAGGAACAAACAGTGCACCGGGCACCCTGGACGTGACGAAGCCCCTTGAGCACGCTTCACCTTCATCGGGTCCGTCATTCTCGTTCAGAATACCCGGCATCGGACGGGACACCCTCAAACGGGATGAAAACAACGAGCCTATACTGCCTCAGAATGTTTGGGAATGGAATGGGGATCACAATGCCGCTTTCTATGAAAAGGACGTTGCGCGCCCGTTTTATCGTCGCCTGAGGGTGCTATTACCAACATACTTCAGCCCATTTGGGCCCTTCCTGGCTCTCAGACATCTCGACTACACTGATGTGCCATGGGATGGAGCGACCTTCTTGTACTCATCTGGCGGCGAGATGGGCGTCGAACCGAGCCATAATATCATACAGAAATGCTCGAGCACGTGCACACATCTGGTTGCGAACTGGGCTCTTCTCAGCCGTCTACCATTCGATATCTTGAAAGAATACCATCTTGCACAACACGTAGAAGAGGTGACGATCGTGAACTTTCCGTGTGCCGGGTTTCCCAGTCAGAAGCGGTACAACGAAGAGATCAACGCGAAAGCCTGGAACCATCTATACTCGTGCCTCTCATACCGTGCTGAGGCTGGATGGCCACCTCTCGCACTCAGATTGGCCGAGTCAGATTCTGAAATGTCCAACATGGCACGCTCTGACGAGCCGGAGTACATTCATACGATTACTGGGCCGTACGAGGATGCCGTGAGAGCTGTGACGCAGAAGGGATACGAAAAGGTAGCGCCCTATGTGAATAGTTTCCAAGACTTGCGCATTCATACACGGTTCTGATTCAGAGGCAAAGGAAGATATGTCGACTCATGTAAGCTGATAGAGGCCCAGTAGTAGTCGTAGGACTGGCATACGAGTATGATTGTAACTCCATGAGGTCTAGATGGCTTGCTCAGGCATCGAGGAGCGCTTGAGCGCCGTGTACGTAGATGCGCGAGAGACCAGTATGAGTCACCGGTAGGACTTGAGCCGGAAATGTCGCCGATATATGCCTTCCTCTCGTTGCTGTCAACGTCGTTGCCCGTAACGGAGACCGTCGAGTCTTGGTCGAGTCGGATGGAATGCGGATGACAATGCCTTCCCACGGCTGACCCGATGTCGGCTTCCGGCCCGTCGCTCGCGTTCAACGTCCAACGTCGCGCGGACTATTTGAACATGAGATACTTGCCAGGATTACTTGCACTGTGATTGTTCATGAAGACTCTGAGCATGCGATCGGCGGTCAAGCGCGTTGCGTTCGGCAGCGATATGGCGGGCTGCAGCTACCCGGGAACGCGGAGCGACGCCGAGGGGCGCGCGGCGGGCTGTAGCGGGCGGTCGGCGTTATCGGAGATAGACCTGCTTGAGGTCTGAGCGCGAGCGCGAGCGCTGGCCACATGCACTCTGCCTTCGTCTTTCATGTAGCGCAATGATGCATGCTGGCTGTCCCGCTTGTCCTGAACGCGCTTTGAGCGGCCGTAATCACAACACCATGACAGGAAAACCAGTTTCGGCGGAGGTACGCGCCTTCGGTATTTTCGGCGTGAACCCCGCTACGTCTACACGGTCAACAATGACAAGACAATGACCATCAAGCACATCTGGTCATCCGGCCCGGTAGCTCTGAAGACCCCGTGAGATCAGCAAATTTGCAACGTGTTGAAGGCGACCATTACAAATACGAAAGGAGTACTGTCGAGATCACGCTTTACAGGTGAGGCTCTCTACTTGGCTGCGGACATCGCAAGCCACGCCCACGCCCCGTGTCTTACCTGATTCACCAGCGATGAACGACGCTATCAAGGCCGCCCGGCAGTATAACTCTCGTGTGCCGTTGCACTGTCTCTCACCTGAGGTGATCAGCGGCATCTTCATTGCTCTATCCTACATGGACACGCCTTCGCTCGATCAACCCGCGGGTTGGTATTTCCGTGTCAACGGAGTCTGCTCCCTCTGGCGCAACATCGCCTTCGATGACGCCGAGCTCTGGGCTATCAATGCCGGCTCATTCCCTTCCGATACCATGACGGACCTCATGATTGAGCGCGCACGCCGTTGTCATCTCTGTTTCAATGGGCATATTGAAGACCGCGAGGAAGGCCCTAGCTACGTGCTGACCGAGTACCAGCTTTCGCTGTTTGAAAAGTATCGCGATCGTCTGAGATCCTTCGTATGCGATGACTTCCTTGTGTACAATGATCAGCCTCTATGGCCGAAGATCTTGTACCGCTTGCGGTCCTTTCCGAAGCTCGAGATGGCCAGGATATGGGACGATTCGGATTCCGATATGTGGCCAACAGATGAGCTCATTGACGCGCCGTCTCTGCTCAGCCTATACATGAAAGTCGTACTTCTGCCGTTCAACGCACGCTCTCTTGTATCTCTCCGAGTGGATATGGGGCATTGTGATTGGAGTTCGAGCCAGAACATCGGCGAGCCTTACGAGTCCGCGAAGGACGGATGGAAGTTCCCCACGCATGAGTTCATCATGTTTCTCAAGTGTTCGCCTCGCCTTGAGAGGCTAGTCATCACCGATATGCCTCTGCTACTTTCCGAAGATCTGCCCTCTGTGACGCGGTTGCACGCCCTGCTCCCGGACCTACGGGTGCTGCACTTGGGCGGAAAGTCCTACGCAATGGGCGATCTGCTCGAAAGGCTGCGGATACCATCGGATACTCAAGTCTTCATCGACACAGACGCCCTCGATGATAAGCTCCCTCGGGAGTATAGTTGGGCTGATTCAATCTTGGTGGATGCAGTGAGCGAGTGGATCCACTCTCCGATGTATGATAGCCTGCGGCTGGGTTTGACGCCTGAATATGACATCCTTCTCCAATTATGGTCGTCACAATCGATTCCGAGCAGTCGACCAGGCGGCTTGGACTTACCTACATCCCTCGGGCTATCGCCTCCTTCAGCGGGCGCCGCATTCACGCTCAGAGTTCCCAGTGTGACTCGTGATATCCATGAACTAGACGTTGAATGCGTGCCTGTGTCGCCGCCTCGCTCACGCAAATACGACGACGACTATGATATCTCGGAGTTTGAAGCAAAAGTGACCAAGATGTTCTATGGACGGGTGGACCGTGTCCTGCGCCCGGGCTTCTCGAGCCTCCGATACATCGATTACACCGATGTGCCATACCAAGAGTACAAGGAGACCGGCGACAGCCATACTGTTCAGCCAATGCATAGGATCATCCGCGCGTTTTCGGCGAAACACGTTACCGCCAGTTGGTCGATACTCCGGCGGGTCGCATGGTGGGGTAGTATGTTGCAGGACTACCACCTCACACGACATGTAGAGGAGGTCACGATCGTGAACTTTCCATGCGCTGGACTCATAAACTCGGAACGTTACGACGAGAGGGTTAATGCGGCAGCCTGGACTGATCTGTGGTTGTGCCTCTACGCCCGTCAAGTAGCTGGCTGGCCACCTGTTGTACTCAGGCTGGCCGAGTCCACTTCCGACATGTCCAATATGGCCCGCTCTAACGAGCCGGAGTACGATGAGGATTCTATGGCAGGATCGTATGAGGATGCGGTCAGGGGAGTGACGCAGAAGGGTTATGAGATGGTGGCGCCGTTCGTCAAAAGTTTTGAGGATTTGCGTATTCATACCTGGTCTTGATTTCAAACCGACCAAATGTCCTCGGGTGACAACGATGTGCATTGATCGCTAATAGATGAAGCTATACCGGCTGTACACGCGTCATGTAGAGGTGGGAGAAGTTCGGTCTACATTGATGGTGTGCAGTACACCAGAGTGGCCGAACTGGGGGGAAGCACGCCGACAACGGCTAAGCGTGGTAGATAGACACGCGACGATGAGATTGATCTTGGCATAATGTGGAGAGCATGGTGAACGTGGACCATAGAGAGTCGCAGGTAACAGAGCATATCCCCTCAACGCAAACTTACTAAGCTCTGACCGTTTTCGCCCCACGCACGCACCCTAACCGGTTGTCACTGCACGTGTCTTTCAGTATGGTGGGCAGAGTCTACAGAAGCATACTGCGCACCTTTGAGCTCCCTGATTGCTACGGTCCAACCCAGTGCGCGTGAAAGTGGAGGTCTGTACAACACAGCACCAAATACCCGAAAGGCGATTCTCGCGACTGACTTCATGTCCAGAAGCAATCGCCACTTGCTCTGGACAGCCGTCAATACATCCTGTAGCGGGCGCTCGATCAGCTGGTGTGTGTCTTGCTCAGTAGTACGCGTGCACAAGATACCGAGTGGCAGACTGGGACAAAGCGGGCTCCTCGCCCACTGAGCCCGGTCAGTCCGGTCCGGTCCGTGGGATCATCGATCTTTGAACGTCGTCACGGCTTGTATCGAGCAACCACTGCCCACGTATCCACATAGTAGGTAAGGCAGAAGTTCGTATGGCTACAGTGACCGTAGCGCTGACCGAACTGGCATAGAAGACCCCGCCAATGGATAACGCTGTGTCCGCCGTCACGGGTCGGTCTGACGCCCGAGCGACAATCAACGCCAAACTCTCCGACGAAGATCTTTGTCAAATATTCATGACACTCGCTCTGCTTGACATACCTTCTTTGGAACGTCCTCAAGGCTGGTTCCTTCAGGTGAATAGCGTCTGTCGTCGCTGGCGCTATGTCGCTCTGGGCTACGCCGAGCTTTGGGCCATAAGCGCGGGCTCGTTCCCTTCTAAAGTCATGACCAATCTGACAATCGAGCGTGCCCGCCGTTCCGCCTTGCGTTTTGACGGACATTTTGAAGATCATGCTGGCCCTGGCTATGTGCTCACTCACTACCAGCAATCGCTTTTAGAAAAGTACGGCGACCGTCTGCGCTCTGTCGTGCACGACGACTACCAAGATTGGTCGGTGCTGCTGTATCGCCTGGGAACCTTGCCGCGACTTGAGATGGCGCGGATATGGGATGATTCTGACTCTAATGCATGGGACGGAGATGTAGTCATACACGCTCCTCGATTGCAGGGTCTCTATATGAACAATGTGTTGATCCCGTTCAGCGCACCGAGTCTCCGGTCTTTGCGTGTAGACTTCAATCAGTCCAACCAGTCTGTGCCACCAGACGAGCCCGCGGATGATCCCGAATACCAACCAATCCCAACGATGTTTCCAACGAGAAAACTCATTGGTTTTCTCCAACATTCGCCCTTGTTGGAGAAGCTGGTTCTTACGGGCATGGGTCAGCTACCCGCTTTCAATCTGCCACCTGTAGAGGATCTCTCTGTGGCACTCCCTAGACTTCAGAGTCTCGATTTCAGTGAAGCATTCACGGCGATGGAGGATCTATTGAATAGATTGCAGTTTCCGCCGGAAACTCAAATGTCAATCTGGCATACCGGACCTCAGGATAATGACACGAACTCAGTGTTCTCCTTTGACGAGGATCAGGCTTGATAGGTGACACTGCGATATGGTTCGTGAAGTTGCGTGCGGATACCCTGTTTCGGATTCGACGTCGGCTCGTTTGGTTGACGGGTTGAGTGGCGGGCATGGCTATCCGATGCCTTCACGCGCCATTGCAGTGGATATGATGATCTATGTGCCGCTTTGGCGTGGATGAGACGTTCTCTCTGCCATGCCGCCGTTGTGCTTATGTCTGATCTTCACCTGCAATGCACCGATGTAACTCTTCCAGACTTCCTCTTTCCAAATACATACCGTTTTCATTTATGATAGGCTCGCACGACTCACACATGTATATCATCTCTCCTGCTCTCCCTGCTTTGTATGTATGCGCAAGAACTTAGTGACCACGATCTCCGTGGGAGTATAGCCTCGAATGAGATATATGCCATTTGCCTGCGATAATCATTGACCGCTACTGGCGCCCCAACGCCCCACAGAGTGAAGAGACCACTCGGTGGGCTCGATAACTACAAGGTCTCCCCAGTAAGCCGCTGAGCCTGTCAGAGCTAAGCGCCGTGAAAATGAGTAGTCGTGGGAACCAATATACGCCGGACCTCCGGCGTCCTGTCGGGCATGAGCGCTTGAGCCCCGCCGCGCCTACACGGTCAACAACGACAAGACAATGCCCATCGAGCACACCTGATCACCCGGACCTCGCAACGAGGCTCGTGGGATCATCGATCCGCACGCGCAACGAGACACCCTGCTTTAGACGACCACTGTGCACGTCGCTAAGACTAGGTGAGGACCCTCATGGCTACGAACATCGTGGCCCGAACTCATGTTGGCATCAATCTTGTCTCATGCAGTGATGAACAGCGCTATCCTTCCCGTCGCGGGTCCACTCCACGCGCACGCGTCTATCAACCGCAAGCTCTCGGACGAGAACCTCAGCGAGATCTTCATGACGCTTTCCCTGCTCGACATACCGTCCCGGATGCGCCCGCAAGGGTGGTACCTCCAAGTGAACGGCGTATGTCGCCGCTGGCGCTACGTCGCCTTGAACTACGCTAGGCTATGGGCCACGAACGCCGGGTCGTTCATCTCCGATGACTTGACGAACCTCATGATCGAGCGCGCGCGCGGCTCTGCTCTGTGTTTCGACGGACATCTCGAAGACCGTGCAGGTCCCGGCTACGTGCTAAGCAAGTATCAGCTCTCGCTTCTCGAACAGTATCGCGAGCGTCTTCGTTCATTTGTGTACGATGGCTATCTTCATTGGCCGGAGCTACTGTATCGCCTACGATCCTTTCCGAAGCTCGAGATGGCTAGAATATGGGACGGTTCGGGGCCCGATATGTGGCCCATGAACGAGCTGATTGACACGCCGTACCTACACGGGTTATACATGAACAACGTTCTCATCCCGTTCAATGCGCCTTCCCTTCGTTACTTGCGGGTTGACATGGACCACATCAATTGGCGATCTAGTGAGAACATGTTCGATTCTTACGAGCCCGAGGCTGATAGCTGCGAGGCTATCCCCAGAGTGTTTCCCACACACGAGCTCATCGTGTTCCTCCAACGTTCACAACTCCTTGAACGCCTCATCATCACAGACATGCCCTTGCTACTTGACGAGCACCTACCACTAGTGTCGCAATTGCACGTCGAGCTTCCGAAGTTGCGAGCTCTTCATCTTGGCGGAAAGTCATATGCGATGGGCGATCTCATGCAACGGCTGAGGATACCGCAGGATACTCAAGTATTCATTGACACCGAGACTCTAGATGCCGACTCAGAGACCGACAGCTTTCGGCATGAATGGACAGAACCAGTGCTATTGAATGTTCTACGTGATTGGGTTTACTCTCCAGCATACGATAGCCTGAGGCTAGGTCTCACGTCTTCGTATGATCTTCTTCTTCAACTATGGTCGTCACGATCAACATCGATAGATCGTCCGGGCGGTCTCGACTTATCCACGTCCCTTGGACAATCTTCTTCACCGTCGGGTCCTGCCTTCACACTCAGACTTCCCAGCATAACTTGCGACATCCACAATCGAGATATCAACGACCGGCCAATACCGCCATCTCGCGTGCGCGCATGGGACGACGACGATTTCGACGTTCGTGACTTCGAGAACAAGATCGCGGAGATCTTCTATCGTCGCGTGAACCACGTTCTGCATGCAGGCTTTTCGACCCTGAGATATGTCGACTACACCGACGCGCCATGGCAAGAGTTCAAAGAAGCCGGCAACATGACCATGATCTCGCCGCGTCCAACCATTCGACCAATGCACGAGATCATACGAAGGTTCTCGGCATCGCATGTCACAGCATGCTGGTCGATCCTTCGGCGTGTTGTATACTGGGGTATAATGCAAGACTACCACCTCCCGCGGCACGTCGAGGATCTCACAATCGTGAACTTCCCATGTGCTGAATTCCCGAGTCAAGAGCGTTACAACCAGTTGATTAATGTCAGAGCCTGGACCGATCTAAAGTTATATCTCCAGTTCCGAAGGAATAATGGATGGCCGCCGCTTGCACTCAGACTGGCCGAATCCGCCTCGGATATGTCGAATATGGCCCGGTCGGATGGACCAGAGTATCATAGGATCGCGGGAACATATGAGGACGCGGTCAGAGAAGTGACGCAGAAGGGCTACGAACAGGTGGCACCATACGTGAAGGGCTTCGAGGATTTGCGCATCCATAGGTGGCCGTAGGATGCGGAGAAGCGAACGACATGTAGGACTTGTAATTCCCGTCGCTGTAAAGTACAAGGGAATCAAGACATAGCGGCTCTGAGAAGGTTACATGCTACTCAGCGCCAGAGGGTACCTCCATACAACAAGGTTTCGTGATCAACCCCAGCCACGCAAGTGAGAGTGCAGATTGAAAAACGGGCGACGCCGACGCGAGGAATGGGCCCATCTGGGCTCTGACGTCACGTTCACACGGTACACACTCCCTCCGCGTGCTCGTCTTTCTCACTCGAGCGTTCACCCCCATCGTCTTGCCTGCGTACTTATTCATACACTGCAGTCCGCAATAACCATGCTGGAACTCATATATCAAGGAGTGATTCAGCAGCCACTGCACAGGCCCTTTGACAGACTATCAGCGCGCAGTCAATCCGGCGAATTCCAGCTCTCGGTGCCACCGTCGCTGTCTATGGGGTGACCCAGCCTATCCTCGGATGCAGCATGTTTCGGAGCTTAAGAGCGTCACCTGGGCGCATAGTGCTCGGTGTGAGTGTAGGAAGTGACAGTGCGCTCTTCTCTGCCTCCAGATACACGAAGGACGTTGCCTCGGTCAAGGATTCGTTCCCGATAATCACGCATCTATTGCCTCCTCAACAACCACGCGTGGCAATAAATTATTCTAGTGTGTGATACAAAGTCGAGATAGAATCCTCTTCATCATCACTGAGTCTTGCCAGAGATATCAAGTTCCTCATAAGCCCTCCAGCCAACCTCTAACGGCTTTCCTTTGCATACCCCATCGTGCTCCCGCATAACCTCTTCCATCCTCTTTTCAACCTCGTCAAACTGCAACTCCATCTCCCGAATGGTCATCCCGATCCCCATCTTCTTCGCGGCAAGCAGACGTGTCATTGGGCGCATTCGCAAGCAAGTGTTGTAGTTGATGCGCAGGTGGAAATGCTCTACCCCCAAGGTTTCATATTCTGCTTCGAGCTCCGCGAGACGGAGACGAACGGCGTATGGTATGGCTTGTGGTGACGTCGACGCGGGGGGTAGCTGGTACTCCGCCTTGGTCATGGTGTCTCTGGGAAATGGCTTCAACGAGGTCATCGTTTGTAGTGTTTGGGAGGGTATCTGATGAGGACGAGTCAACCGTGCGTTAGTGGTGTAAGGGTCTCTCTGGTCAAGTGCGTATCTATATAGCGATGTATTGTGGTTCGGACAATGAATCCTCACAGTCAGATGTGGTTGATCTGACGAGAAATGTCCGCCTTCAAGGCACGCGCGCCATTGTCTATCATGTCGAGATCATCCTCGGACAATGGGGCCGGTTCGTAAGATTCAAATGTCCTGACCACGGTCGACAATGTGGTTCATGATAAGCATATGGACGACGCGACCACCCCTTGAACCACGTCCCATCGCCTAAGTATAAGTTGGACCACGTTTCTGAAAGGGAGCCCTGAACCACTGGGCCCCACTCGTCCTTGTACCCTTGCGCTATTACAACTGCAAGATGACACACCACCGCGAAACTGTCGTGAACGGGGCCTCGTCGTCCAACCATGACCACTCCGTGCCTACTCCCCAACGGCTCGATGCCGAAGAATGGGCAGTGAACGACGTGTTCGACGCTTTGAAGAAGCTTCGCGCTAAGCGCCTCAGCCTCACGAACGCCCTCGGCGCGTTGGACGTCAAAAGGCGCCAATCTCGAGACCTCGCATACCAACAAGCGATCTATGCCGAGATGTCCACAGTCGCTGCGCAGGTCAAGGAGACGGATCGCGAGATTCTGGCATTTGAGAAGAAGCTGCATAACTTGAAGAGCTTGAACAAGCACACGGCGAGGCGTCACCAGTGGGAGCAGAAGGGACTCTTGAAGGAGGAGTCGAGCAACCCGAGTCTCGGGTTGCCGAATGCTGTCAAGGTTGCCAAGTACGGATATCAGGCCCGGGATGGACATCATGACCAGCGCAAACATGATGGTCAGCCGCGCTGAGTGTGGAGCGGTTGGCAAAGACGGTCGAGGGTGGTAGACTTGCGGGCCCAAGTACCGAACGTGACTTATTCCTTATTCTTATCGTCAGTGTATGTAGCCAGATGTATACATATCGTTTCTGTCCGACACGCATGCATGATAGCACTGCGCTGATCAGACGTGATGTGCGAAACGAACGTTGCAACAAGACACCAAGCGAGAACGCGATCAGTAGGCAAGTGAAATGCGTTTTGAGGACATATTCAGGTACGAAGCCCTGGACGCAAAAGACAGCAAACACGCTGATGATGAATTCACGACAGAAGAGTGCCAAACAACATACACAGACTCAGTCTATGCTACGGCGGTATGGCGGTAGTTAAGGCAGGCCTCGAAGAGACCTACCCATTTCGTCCTGAAAGACACGTTAGCAGTTGTACTCGGATTGTTAACGCCAGGAGAGGGACTCATCTTCCCGGGCACGCAGGCGGTGCATACATCAACGCGTCATCAAGGTTCAAGGTGCGGTGGCCAGCCACATCAAGAACCCACGATGCCAACGATGAGCGCTACCGGTCTGCGCATGGAGATCACACACCAATGTGCTGGAAGATCAAGATGTCCATTGTGAGCCTGCGAGTGTGGTAAATACAAACATAAGATATATATCACTGTGTACCGAACTCACCGAGCGGATGATCCAACCTTCTCAGGCTGACAGTTGCATTTCTAACGAGTCGACAGCACATTAGCGCTCGTGATACGGGATGCAGATAGAGAGTGACTTTCCTGTCTTCAGAGCAAAAGGGAGGTTAGAATGAGGTAGCCAGCCTCATCCTTCACCGCTGATATCGACGACAGGCGCTACCAACCCTGATTGACGCGCTGTGGACGGCGGCCGCTGATAACCACGAATACATGCCGCTGTAAGATCCTGACGCACGTACTGTTGCGGGCATGGTCGTTCGAGCCTTGCAGCGACTGAAAGGTGAAGGTGGAGTATGGTCAGTGCTTCGAGCGTCAAGGAAAGGTATTGCCCGACTTGCCTAGCTGTACCCGTTGGGAGTCGACACATATACCGACGCCAATGATGAAGGTTCCCGGTGAGGTGGCCAGCCTCACCCTCCACCTCCAGCATCGACGCCGGCGACTGTAACTAGGCCCTAGCATCTACAAGACCAACTAGCCTGAAGGAAGTGAGCGTACGCGGGGAGAATCATCACAGCAAAGGCGTACCATGACGGTCCAGTCGCGGACGACCTTAACACCACATGACTGCAGTCTAAGCAACTCGATGCAGTCAGCACAGGGCAACGGCGGTAGACATACACGTATAGCAGAACGTACCGGAAAACATTGCTATCATGCTTGCATAGATGAGTGTACACAATCTCATGCGGAAAGGGATTGCGGACGAAATGCGCGAGGTCAGAGTCGCGCTTATATCTGGATCGTCAGTGAAAGCAAAAGACAAGACAAAAGTGAGAGTGTAGCTGGTAGTCCAAGACAGATATATGCCCAATGCGAGTGCTGATGGCCAATGGTGTCGAATGCGCGACGATGACGGAGATCAGGGCAGGTACCCCAGAGCGGTCCTGCCCGCATGGTCTGCGGATTCACTTGTATTAGTATTTGTGAGTAAAGGCGTCTCAAGGTGAACTGCTCACCTCGCCCTACGGCACCCAAATCGACATCACGGTTCCAGATGAGGTGGCCAGTCTCATCCTTCCCCGCCAATGCCGATGCTGGGCGCTACTCCGATCCCGCCTCGTAGTCGTAGTCGCTGATGTTGTCGCTGTCGGGTCATGGTGGTTGTGGTTGTGGTTGCAGTTGTCGTTCCTGTTGCTGTTGCTGTCGCTGAAGATGTTGATGTTGCCGTCACCTTTATGGTCGTTGCCGTGGGTGAAGAGATGTTGGCGCCGAGATCGCGATGAGAGCCGGGGTTGAATTTGCCGAAGATCCGTCGCCGCCGTCGCCGTACTCGCCGCACCTTCCACTCCCCACATACCTCGCTGCCGTCTTCTTCCTCCCACCGCCGTCGCCTCCACTGTTGTAATTGTTTTTGAATTTATGATGTTTTTGAAGTTTTCGAATCGTTTTCGTAGTGCTCGCCATGGTCGTATGCCGTTTCTCGTTGCTGCTCCCGTATCGCCGCGATCGCCACGCGCGCTTGCCCTCACCCCAGCCCCCAGCCCCCTCATGCCCCGCGCCCTCCCCCTCCCCGCACCACACCGCTCAATCCATCCAGAAGAAGATGATGCGCTTGAAGGCGAGACAGATGCGCTCGTGGTCGACCAGGAACTCGTAGTACTCATTATGCCTCGGCATCATCGCGGTATCGTCGACCCACGTCCATCCCTCCTCCGCCCTCCACTGACCCTCGACGTAGTCGGACTCCTCACTGGGGCTACGCCAACGGGTACCGCGAGGTTCGATGAACTTAACCTTGACGTCCGCATTGAAGTGAACGTTCCTCGGAGGCTCGCGAGGATCGCGCACGCGGCGCGCCAAGTTACCGCCCCACTGCACTGGAGGGTACAAAGGATGTTCGTGGCGGTGAGCATGCGGCGCGGCAAAGCGAGCGCCGATGACTGGGCTCGCAGGCGGATCGTTCTCAGATTGTGCGGAGGACGCGGTGGACCAGGAGTAGAGGCGCTCGTTGACACGCGTGAGAAGCTCTTCCGTCGGAGGCGTGAGGTTGGGCTTCTCAAAGCCTGGGCGCTTCGCGAATGGAGATGAAGAAGGGTGGCCGATGCCAACACCAGCGTACATCGCCGGAGGAGAGAGGATACCGGCCGTAGTAGGCGTTGAAACCTCCGACTCGTGCGAGTGGATCAAGTCGGGCGTCGTTGGACTGGCTGAGAGGGAGGAACAGGTCGAACTCGCGTCGTCGGGATGCACCCCGACGGGCAAGTCTTCGTTGTCCTCCACGCAGTCCTGCACCTGGACGAGAGGCGAGCGCACTGGGATGTCATAACTCGTCACGCCATCCGCGGGTGTACCGTCCCTGGCGCGCGCGACGAGAGTCGGAATGTGCATCTCGGATTTGGGAGCACGGTCGGCGCGCTCGACGAGCCTCACGGTCATACCGCCGTTCGCAACGAATTCGGCAAGGTGCTCGGGAATGGACCGGATGAACTCCTCAGAGTCGGGCGGAACGCAGTAGCCGAATGGGACGGAGAGGACCAAGGTGCTCGACTTGAACGACTGAATCGACTGAGCTGCCTGGAGATCAAAGGTGGACAAGCTGGGTGCAATGGTAGCGGCGGGCTCAGGAGGAGACGTAGAAGCGCTTTCGGCTTCGCGTTGAATGGCTGCCACAGCTTCGGCGATGTACTCTGCGGGTATTGTCAACACCAGGCTTATCGGAAGGAGTCAAGCAGTTACTCACTTTCGCGGCCACGGGTCTCTTTCCTCAGAATCCTGTCGGCAAGATCAGGATGCTGAGGAATATCGACCTCCGTCCACTCCTCCTCAGACTCCTCGTCGGAGTAGTAGTCGTCGCGACGGAACTTGGCCTTCAAGGCACGACGCGCGTTGTTCTTCTTGTCCTTGAGCATGGACAAGATGGAGCGCTTGTTGTGCTCGGAGAATTCGCCGTACTGCGTAGTCCCCATGCGATGAGTGATGAAGGGATCTTCTCCAGGGAACGCGGCGGGACGAGGGTAGGGCTGAATATCGACCTTCTCAGGACCGGTGTTGTCTCGCGGCGTCCTCGTCTCGATCGTGTAGTGGAAGTTCCCAGAATCATCTGAGGCGAACGCAGAGGCGTCGGAGCTGGAGTCCGAGCCAGAGCTGATGGACGAGTCTTCGTTCCAGTAGTGGAGCCGCTCGGTCGACTCGTGATGGGTACCAGACGACGACGCCGCCGCCGGAGCCGCCGGAGCCGCGGAGTACCTGGAGGCCGGGTACGCGTCCACGTAGGAAGAAAGGTTCGAAGACGCAGAGAATGTATTCATAGTTGCAATGCAAAGATAGGAATGGGTAAAGGATGGTGGTTGTCTGGGCTAAGATGCGCGAGCAGATCTGGATGCTTTGACAGGTGGACCGGGTTATCTTATACTGTCGCGAAGGCGTCTCAGATTCTGGCCTGGGGTAAAGCCCCTTTGCGCGCTCTCCTAACCCATCAGAGAAAAGACGAGGACATTCAGTCCAAGTTCGAGCCTAAAGGTCACGCGATGTGAGTTATTTTCGTCGTCGCATAGACGCAATACACGTCTGCTGCAGGAGTAGTGCGCACAATGTGTCCCGAGTTCGTGACCAAGCCTAGGGCCACGATATTGTCGACGCCAAGAAAACCCGCGAATAAAAGTTATTACAGGAAAAAAGCATGTAATGTTGCGCGCAAGACTGTAACTGAAGTCGTGGAGGACTAGCGCGCTCGACAAGTTGGCAATAGCCGGCGGGTTTGGACAAGGCGGCAGGTGGCGGCAAAGCGTGCTGTTGGAGCACGGAGGGAGTCGGCAATTTCCCGGAAAGCCCAGAGTCTCCCTAACGTCCCTTTCGACTTGAGCGGTGGGATTAGAAGCGATGTTAAGCTCGAGACGCGTCGTGGTGGTCGAGAGCAAGGAAGACACGGCGGACTCGGAGACGCGTCGCGGAAAACGCGTGACGTCACGCGCTTAAGCTCGCGACTAGCGGCGCACGAATCGAGCTCGACTCCTGCAGCGCATACGGTTCATTCCTACATCTTACTCTAGAAGTCTATCCGGCAGCGGATCTCAGTGACGGTTTGAGGACAGCTGAACTCTGTGCGATAGCGTCGATGTGAAGCCCTCAAGCATCGGATCCCTCGCCCATCGACAGATGCTCCTCATCCTCTTACACCACCTGATACATAGTGGCGGTCGGGCGTACATCATCCATTTCATGCCATGCATGTATCGCGTAGCCGTTGACATCACACCATCTGCGAACGGAGGCAGTTAAGGAGAGTGTATTGCGATTCAAGACGGTAGGTGACGCCTAAAACTAATATACAGGATGTAAATGTATGAAAGCAACGATGCGCGACGAGACTCGAGACGACAAGCAAGAACGAAACGGGAAGATGCAGACAGGACGAGTGTAGCGCAAAAGATTATATCACAGAGAACAACGACAGGGATGATGATGATGGGGATGGGAAAGCGAGGATGGGTAAATGCGATAAGTTTAGTCGCGCACGAGCGCCTCAGCCTGTGCCGAGCGCGGCTTAATGTCGCACTGGAAAGGCTCGGGGTGTGCAATGGTGCCATCGAGGTAGCGGCCGCTGGGCGTAATCTCGGCGCCAGACGCATCGCGCGACTTGGACACGTTGAGGGTCGCAAGTGCGCATGCAGTCTCCAGCCACACGCTCGTCTCAGCAAGTGTCATACCCGGGCACACGCGGCGGCCGAAACCGAAGCAGCACACGCGGGGATCCTGCTCAGCGGGCTTCCCGGGCGAGGAGATGAAGCGTTCGGGCTCAAAGTTGAGCGGGTTCGCGTAGACGGCCGGGTCGTGGAGCATGTTCCAGATGTTGGCGAGGACGAGCGAACCCTTCGGGATGAAATAGCCGTTGTAGACGTCGTCCTCCATCAAGCGGTGGGGAATGCAGACGGGGCCAATCGGGCCCCAGCGGAGGACCTCGGATACGAGCGCTTCGACGTAAGGCAAGCTTGCGCGATCAGCGAGAGTCGGAAGGCGGTTCGAGCCGATGACAGCGTCGATCTCCGCCTGCGCTTTCCGTTGCGCTTCGGGGTACAGGGTCATGCAGAGGAAGAACGTGTACATGGTGCCAACGGTGGTGTCCGCGCCACCCGAGTACATCGATGCCGCAGCCCATTTGATGTTGAACTCCTCCTGTGAAGTGCCCTCGGAGGCGTCAATGAGGTCCGAGACAAATGAATGCTCGGCGGTGCCAGCTGCCCGCTGCTCCTTCACCCAGTCAAAGGGGACGTCAGCCATGGCGGCAAGGGTCTTCTTGTAGGCGTTGGCGAGTTGATGGAAGGAGAACCAAGAAGGAAGGCGTTTGACTGTTGAAACATGATCAGCGACATATCATGGACGAAAAAGGAGGTGGCACATACGGACGGGCATAATGTCAACCATCCAGATCTTGCCGGCCTCCGTCACGTCTCCGAACTCGGTAGTGGCCTGGTTCACGATATCGACGATCTGATCCTTCTCCTCACGCGTGTCGTAGCCGTAAGTCATCTTAAGGATGATTGAACCGGCGGCCTTGCGAATGCACTCGTTGACATCGTTCGGCGCCGCCATGATGCGCCTGACCATGATGTGCGCCTCGCGCTCGATGAGGTCGTGATAACGCTCAAGACCGGCGCGCGTGCCAAGGAAGCGGTGAAGGTAGCGGCGGTACTCCTTGAAGCGGCTGTCGTAGTGCTGAAGGACGAGCGTGGTCTCCCACCCCACGAGTTCACCGGCCATCGGAAGAGTTGGGCGATCAGAATACAGAGCGCTCTTCTTGTCCAGAAGGTCGGTCGCGATCTTGACATCGTTGACGATAATGATGGGCTGTCCGAGGGCGTTGACATGCATGATGGGACCTGCGTGGCACGGCGTTCGCTTAGCATGACATCTCAATACGTACAAAGAATATCATGTACATACCGTACTTCTGACCCCACTCGATGAACGTCTTGTGCGGTTGAGTTTGAGGCAAGTCGAGCGCGTTACCGATAAGAGGGAGACCAGGAGGACCAGGCGGAAGCGGGAGTGACGACTTGCGGCGGTCCATCAATTGCTTCGCAAGCCAGACGGCGAGACCAACAAAGGCGACATCGAGCGCGGACATCGAGAAAGCCATGGTGACGAGGACGGGAGGAGGAGCGGGGCTAAGGAGCGGCGGGGGTCGGCGGGTGCACTGGGTAGTTGTTATAGATAAAGCTTAGGCCAGCAAGTAGACAGGAACCGAGAAGCGGGGTGAAGGTCCGCGCTATGCTAAAGATTCTCATCTTATACTAACACGCTTCTGACGACGGCGATATTACACGCGCCCGAGACTCTGTCCAGACGAGAGTCCGTTCCGCGTGCCGAGCCTCGCGTTGATGTGTACGTCCGATATCGTTCATCTGCGCTCGACCATATGAAGAACAAGGGGTCAGCTCCGGTTGCAGCAAAGAGGGTGCAAGAGACTGCGAAGAAACAAGTGCACACGGATAGGCTTCTACTGGCACCGTCCGCACCTTCGGAGGCATGAGGACCATGAAGCCCGAAGAGGGTAAGGGCAGACACAAGGGGAGCGGCGCATTTGGGCAAGCGGGTCCAGCAATCGAATACGTTTCCCACCCGCCACTTCGCGCGGGCGCCTTCCTATGATCGCATCATCATAACAGCCGGTATACCCAGAGCAACGGTCTTTCGAATAGAAAGCTCGTAACCGAGGTAATTAAAGTACGCGGCGAGGTCGTGGCAGTAGAGGTCGAGGTCGAGGACGTGCTCGTCCTCGCGAGCGTTGTGCGTGCCGCGTGAGAGAAACGCAGCCCGTGCCACGTCGTGACACGCACCAAACTAGCTCGTCCGTTCCGAACAGTGGCGGACGACTATGCCACATCGACTCTGCTCCCCTTCACCAGTTTGACAGGCCAATACTGCACTACATCACCCTTGGGTCTCCAACGCCGTATTGCCGTAACGGAACGTCGTGCCCAGGCGGATCTGGTTCCCGCGAACAAACTGTGCAAGCGTCGCAATTTACTTCATTTTACTGGTCTACAATCTTCATTCCCGCCCACCGGCCGTTTGCGTTTTCAAGCTTCCCGACGCCCCGCCTCGAGGTCCGCAGCGCGACGGTCACTTCTCGGAGCCGCCAGCTCCAGGCTCCAGCCCAGGGCGAGCTGCGACGGCGTCTCCGTCGCTGTCAGCGTTGCTCTCGATCTCGTAGCGGTGCTGGTGTTCCAACAGAAGATGCGATTACTTTTTCAGGGTGCCCCATTCTACGTACTGTACACTATACACAAAACCGGGGGGAGAGGTTCCAGTGCGATGCGAAGATATGCCAAGGGTGAAGCGAGCGAATGCGGGACGAGGGGATTCATAGCGAGTGATGGGCGATGCAAGGTAATAATGTGTGGGTACTCTTCACAGGTGAAGGTGGCAGGGAGTGGGTATCTCGACGAGAACAGCTGTCTGTACTACAAGTCACAGGCCGGTCCGTGAATGATACAGTCAGCGCGCTAGCCCCGCGGCCGGGCAGGAAAGCGCGAAGGAAACAGGAAAGCGACGGAGGCGGCAGGCAGCTCATGCTGGGCTGTACGCGCCAACGCCATAGCCCTGCTCCTTGCGCAGCTCGGCGAGCTCGGAAGAGTCGACATCATGCGCAAACTCCTGTGTCGTGTCGACCTTGATCGCCACATGATGTTGCGGCTATTTCATTCTTGTCAGCGCCCCGTCGAAGCGAGTGGCGGTGTGAGGAAGACTAACCTTACTCATGCTGGTCATCATGTTCGCAGTTTGTGTCGCCGACGGGCGCACACCCTGAAGCGAGATGCTTGTGCTCTCGACGCCCGCTGAGGAACCGCCCGATAATGAACGGCGTACATTGAGCGTTGCGAGGAGCGAGTTGGAATACACTGGGACGATTTGTCAGCACTTGAGACGGCGAACAGCTGAAGGCAACGACGTACGCCTTCCGAGGGCGAAGAAGAAGCAGATGTAAAGGAATGTGTTGGGGCTCGCGGCATACGAGACCAGAGACGCAATAGCGTCCAGCGAGGTCAGTAAGCCGGTATTCACCTGTCGCACGTTAGAGAACTGATTGCACGGGGATACAGGAAGCTCGGCTAACCGTGAAGATGATGAGCTTGGTGATGAGTGTGTCCGACCGCTTGAAACCGGTACGCGACTGCTGAAGGAGGTAGCAGAGCACAAGTGCGATCGCGACATCCGTAATGGCAGTAAGCGCGTTGACGGTCAAGGAGATCGACTTGAGCGACGCCGCTTGTGCGTAGTTGGTGAACGGCGCTCTGCGAGGTCCGTCAGCCTCCCGATCACAACCACGAAACGAGTTCAAACTTACGCCTTGATAACATAGGCAGTGATGACACCGAATTCGGCGAGCGACATGGCGGCGATAGGAGCGGACAGGAACCAGTTTCCGTTGCTGAGCTTCCATGCACGGAAGACAAAGAAGAACTGCACGAGCAGCGCCATGACGCCGTTAACCATGACCTCCGCAACGACACTCCAGACGACGGTGGTGAGGATCGCCGGGTTGAAGTAGTTCGTGACCAAGTAGATGTAGACTGACGACAAAGTTCAGATATAGAGTCTACCAGCGCGGCTATGAATGGTCTTACCCGCATGCGAGATCAACACTTGGTGAAGTGTGTCAAGCAAGAAGACGATGCCGACAAGCGCCTTCATGTATAATGCGTCGCCGGGGTACGAGTGGTAATAGTGGTACGTTTGCAAGCACGTCACACCGTACAGTCTACCGAGCAAAGTATATCAGGACTCCGCCGAGGCTTTGGGTCGTGTGAAGAACGACTTACGATGCACTGAACACTACGCCGATGTAGAAGGCGCCCATCCTGGTAATCGACTCGCGCGTTAGGGGCACTATCCTGACTCGCATGCGCATATCGAAGCACACTCACGTCTCATCGAGTGCCGGGATGGCGGCGGCTGCCGTTGCCGCTGCCGCTGCTGCTGCCGCGGCGGCGGCGGATGCAGCGTCCGTAGAGTTGGCCGACATGTCGAGCGGGTGTGGAGGGGAGGAGGATGGGAGGCGGCGCCGGCAGTAAGTGGGGCGGGGACACGGTTCGGACAGGAACTTCGGACAGACAGTCTATATACTGCGCGTGTGTACCGGCGAGAGAACGCAGAGTATGTACATACTTAGGCGCGCGAGCAATCAACGGCCGAGAAGTCCATGAAGGGGCACCACGATCTCGCCCACAGAAGACATGGCCGCGCGCACGCGGCTTTCCGGGATACAGGGCCCCGCGCCTGGCGCCCGCATACGCTTGCATCAGACGACTGCTGTCTCTACGTCAAGCCTTAGGATCGCCGAGCATATCGCCCTCGCCATTCCCGTTCCGCGCACAAAGGGCTGCTATGCGCCACATTGCGCGGAGCCGTAAGCCAGCAAAGTAGTGGAGAGTAGACTACGATGAGCTATCGTATCTTGGTTCCCTTTGTGAGCAAAAGTGGAAGGGACAAACTAGTGCTCTATAGTGTGTGGGAACGCGAAGTGCGCCCGGGAAGTCTGCGCTTTACTGATGCCTGCCCGAAATGGACGAGTCTTAGAGACTTCCGAATCGGGACATCCAGCTCTTGCCTGTGCGCACAACGCCGACTGAGCTCACCGGCGATCCACGCGTCCAACCGACGTGCGCGTGAGTGGGCGCGCCGTCCTCGTTGCAACGCACGCCGCAGAACCCGGCACGTTCTCCTCGACGCGCGCGGAGTGGCCAAAACACTCCGGCTACTCAGTGCCACAACTCGTATATAGATCTGAGACATTCGCGTTTCGGGCCCTTCATGCGCTTGCTTGAGCCCACAAGCGTCCACACGCTTAGGCTTGGTCGTTGTGCTCACCAAGCCTTCCCAGGGCGAGGATCTTCGCCGATTCCGTAAACTTTCTCAACGAAGGCCCGGGTTCGAGTTCTCCGCATCTTCTTCCCAATTTACAGGCTGTACGTCCACAAGCTTAGGGTTCGTTGATGCCAATGCTTGCATAAAGCCTTCTTCACGAGGCTCCTTCACCGGTCAAGAATCTAGAGCAGGGTAACTTGTATACTTGTAGAGATGAAAGTCAATTGATCATGCGCCTTCCGTGAACCGCAGCTAGGCTGCCATGGAATGTCTACCAGCGCAGTTTATTGCCATGATGATAGCAATTCATTCAGTTCACCCTTGATGCCGATGGCTGCCAGAATGCGGTTAGCAACCTCCATCTCCACCGGTGAAGCCCTTGAAAATGGTGAAAGCGGCGAGGTTCATTCAAAGCCCTGGATCACGAACGATGTATTGCCCCGCGCGTAAGGATGCCTCCACGGCCCAGGGATAAGCCTGGCGAGCGTCGGGGAGAGGCGAGCGCCGAGTGTAGGCGGGCATTCTAGAGTTCTGTTCTTCCGCCTGGGCGGTAAGAAGTGGCGCGATGTATTCGGGGAAGTCCAGGACTACAGTATCTTTCTTCCTGGGTCAGGCCCTCCTACACACCGTCGTACCGTACTCACAACTAGAAGCATCGTCGGGCGCATCGTAACTTGTATTCCGGGCGTCGCGGAGACTGCGGGTAAGAAATCAGAGCCCTATTCAAAGCTGCCGGTGTGTTCAGAGAACTCGGGTAGCACGCGTATGTGGACCCACTCTACTGTCTGGAGATGTCACCAGTGCGCGTCAAAGTGTACCGCGCTATTTCCGATCCTCCAAAGCTGAAAGCTAAAGTCAGGTCAAAGCGCTGTCCTTTTGCGGGTGTTGATCCTCACCCGTTCATCCCAGTATGTAAGGCGTGCGGAAGGCACACTGTGGGCGACTTCAAGCTCAGACCCGAGTAGAACGCCTGTTAGAACGACCAGAAGTGACTACGGATGGTGGCGCACATCGTATACGCATTGTATAGAAGAGCACGTGAAGACCGACCACCCGCCCTTCGGGCTCCTTCGGGGCCACACACAAGACATCCGGTACCGCGCGGGTAAGTCTCGCGCCCAATGCAGCGAGAAGTGGCAACCATCTTCCCCTGCATCTCCCGCCCACTTCTCCCAGTAGAAGCTAGAGCTTAGTACGACTTTCACCCATGCCGAAGATGAAAGGGAGATCCTAGACTGCCCTGAAGCCCGGACCTAACGAAGGCTGACTGCCTGAGATGGCAAATGCCGGACGATCATGGAGTCAATCTGCCGCTAGTGTTCGTAAGTATATCGGAACCTGCACCGCGAATATCTCTGCACTTACTAACTGCGAGTGCTGTCATCTGGTCCGCCGTTCACGGATGAGACGATGTAGACTGTTGGCTTGTGAAGTCGTTCCGACTGATGGTGAAATCTGCGGAAGATGGATGGACGAGCGTGGGTGGCGCGGCGCGAAGAGACCTCGGTTTGGCCTCGGTGTGCACTCGTTAGGCGAACGGCGTCTGTCAGTGCCTCGTCCTTACGCAAGACCTACCGACGTGCGACGCGATGCGCAACCCTTCCAACAGTCAACTCCGTAAGCCCGCGCCGCACAGACGTCGAAAGGGTTGCCGCGTGCAATAGCAGCGACTCTGTAAGGCGCACTACTATCGGGATTAAGCAGGGTCTGGTCGGAAAGTCCCGCACACTCACGGTTCTCTTCCGCATTTGGATGCTCGTTTGTTACATGTGGCCCAAGGCCTCTGTAAGAAGGATGAGTGGGATGACGACGGAGGTTCGCCGCGTCGGATAGAACTGTGGAAGGCGTCATCCGCGGGGCACACATCCAAGGGAGAACAGAAGCTGGGGCGTGGGTGGCGTAGGCCCAGAATACGCAGAAGGTCCAACAGCGCGCATGTCTTCCACTAGATGGTTCTGACATCAATAGTCAAACCTTCAGGCATGATATAGATGAATTCATACCCATTTAGCATCTCATCTTGCGGCGCGTTCCCCATTCATATCTTGGAGAGATAGACGCTTTGGTCAAACAGATAGCAAATGCTTTCTGTCCGACTTCGCCCGCGTTCAATCTGCGCGAAGCTGTCGTGCTCCGGCGAAACTAGCCCATTCGGTGCCGCCCTCTCCCTCAGCATCGTCCAACTTCATTCCAACTCCACAACATAGGTTTGCATGGAAGCGCGTCCATATTGCAAGATACCCAGGGTACGAGGCCAGAAGCGAGTGGCATGACAGCTCATGAGGGCCTACTACACCCTACAGCTGATGGCCGTCGCCTTCTTCCGCACGACCCATGCAACGCAGAGCCAGATAAGCCAGAGTAATCCCGAGCTACTTTAGGGATTAAGGTAGCGGAAGCGCGTGATATGTGGCTCCGCGAAGCTCGAAAATCGTCGAAGACGGCGCACCCAGGCGACGCTTCTATTTTTCTCGCCGATCAGCTATCGCATACTGTCGCAGCAGCGTCCACCGTCGTGACCCCGGCATTGCCCTGACTTTCCTGAGGTATGGTGCCTAAATACTGAGAGCCGAAGCAGAGAACGGTGGCACCGCCTGAACCACCGCAACTGGGTTCTTGAATCCCATCCATTTCACCAACACGGCAGGAACTACCACTTCGTAGCCACGAGGATGTGTATCAGAGTTTGAATCGTGCGCATCGGCTTGTATACAAGGCAACGGCGGTGTACATGCATTGCATAGCTGGGTAGCAGAAGGTGGTGGTCGAAGACAAGATGCGACGCCAGCGTGAGGAAGGGCGCACGCGGCTCATGGCGGCCCGGCCCGCGAATTTGCGCGACGCGCCGAAGCGCGCGCCGAACTGCGTTCAGAGTCTTCCACCTCCCGCCATGGCCGTGAGTTCACGTTCAACAACTCTAATACTATAACCCATACTGACGCGTCAACTTATAGTCCCGTTCTATGTCTCTCATCCGCGCTGCCGCCCGTGCCCGCCCAGCAACGTTAAGGTTCGTGAACTTCCGACTTGTGCACGCTGGCACACGCTCATGTATCACTTTCGTTCAGACCGGCCTCTCGCTCACTCGCAACCACTTCGCGCGTGGCTTCAGATGCTGCGGCACCAGCGGCACCAGCAGACCCGAAGCTCAGCAAGATGGTTGACGACATTGCTGGCTTGACCTTGCTGCAAGCCGCAGACCTTGTCACTTTATTGAAGGTACGCACGCTTCACACTTGCGCTCGACTGCACCAACTTGATACTCATTATACTTCTCGTAGACAAGGTTGAATATCCAGGAGATTGCCATGCCGTCTGCGGCACCAGCTGCAGCACCCGCGGCGGCGGCTGAGGAGGCGGCTGTCGAGGAGAAGCCGAAGGAGAAGACAATATTCACCGTCAAGCTTGAGTCCTTCGATGCCACAGCAAAGCCGAAGATCATCAAGGAGGTCAAGGCGCTTGTACCCAACTTGACGCTTATGGATGTGCGTATACCTGTTTAGAAATCGCGTTGGCGCCACTGACCATCATTCTGTCATTCGCGCCTTCTTTTCCTGTTCTGCCCTTGCACACTCTTCCGACAACGATGCGTCTGACGCTATCCGTCAATATAGGCCAAGAAGTTCGTCGAGTCGCTGCCGCAAACGCTCAAGGAGAACTTGCCGAAGGAGGACGCCGAGAAGCTCAAGGCGGTATTCGAGAAGCTCGGTGGTGTCGTCAAGCTCGAGTAGACGTGCTTCATATGTCGCTTGCCTTTTACTGGACATGCTCGTCGAGCTCATGCTGGTCATCCACTATACACATTGCCTAATCTCAAAATAATCATTGCATGCTTTCACAGACCTCAGAGTTATGTTCGACACGTCTGGGCCTTTGCAGGTCACGCCGTGACGGTATTACCTGACACAGACGATGTACTAATTGTACAGGTGGCGCGCTGCAAGTCTATACAAGCTGCTGGTCCAATCAGGCTGTCTTACTTCGACGACGTGAATGGGGCTGGCTATTGTGAATGGTCGGGCCAACTTGCTGAGCCCCTTTCTAGCGCTTGCTTCCTACAACTGCCATCTCTGCCAGCCGCGAAGACGATATGGACTCCGGAGGACTCCTGCTAGTGACCGCCCAATCTCGCCACTTCGCTTCAGCCGCCACTATTCTAGATTCACCCGACGTAGCGAGGACTACCAGCACCAACGATATGCTGCTTGTCTCGTCACAATGCGCGCGCTTCGCTTCTGCAGTTACGATGGTCGCTCCGAGGAGCACGATGGACTTAGGTGATGTGTTGGAGCAGTTCCCGCTCCGTACGTTCTTTCATTGGCATCCAGCTTTGCAATCCAGCTGATATACAGACAGCGCCATCCTCGAACATGAGCCTCGACGAGACCGCCCTACCGTCCCGCCTACCAGGTGCATCGAGCCGCGAGCTCTTGGCCATTATCGAGTTGCTCGACGGCGCCGAGAGCGATGCAGCCGTGGCGGTCCCGAGGACGTCCGCAGACTGGGTCGACAGCGCTCCTCCCTCGCCCGTCGAACCCGATACGCGTATCGCGCCCACCGCATCCGCCGAAGGAGGACCCGAATATGCTTTGAAACAGTTGGACCAGTCCGAAGTTGATCTCACCGACTACGTCGTCATTGGACGCCGGGACTTGCCCCCTGTCGAGCGATGGACACTGGTGGATAAGGTCAGGGTTCCGGTGCAGTATGTGGTGGTCGGAGGAAGTGAGAATGTTGCGCAAGTGGAAGAGCATCCCAGGAAAGGGAGGAAGGTCGGGAAACGGCTGAGGCTGAGGTTGTCTCGCAAGCAGGGGAGGATGTAGGACTGATCTTAATGCGAGGACGTTCCGCCTGCGACTAGTTTTGCGTGTCATCATGTAGACTTCGGCTTTGATTCTCTTTGATGTATGGGCTGCCTATATATTGCGTCCAATCATATCTGCACGCTTGCAAAGGGCTCAGAATAATTTCGGGGCAAGGCGCATGTGTGGGCGGGTGTAGATCCCAGTCTAACGCTCGCGTGCGCGGCAAGGCGGGGCCGACGCGGCCGAGGCCCCGATACTTATCCGAAAGCGATCTGCGCGCTTATACTGCACGCCTTGTCAATGACCATCACGTTCAAGGTATAACACGTCGAGCGCTGTGAGACCGACCAACGCTTGAACCACCAACACCAGACCTGCCGCCAGTTCTACTTGTGTCCGTACTGTGACTTCTCGACATCCCGAGGCCCATGACGACCACCATGTGCGCCATCCTCGGGTTTCGCGGCGAACGCCACAACCTACCATTTTCAAATGAATGAGTACGGTTCTCATCTTGAAGACCAAAGCCTGAACCGCCTACGCTATGAAATTCACATTCTGGGCTTAAGAAGCTCGAGCTCAGCGTACGATACCGGCCCGCTTCTTCGGTTGCGCAGTGTTTAGCCGGGGGTGAATAATATTGAGGCACGCGCTAAGGACATCGGGGACCGTAACGACGTATATAGGAGAGCGCTCCCGTCGTCAGCTATCTCGCTGACCCCGCCACGGACTTTAAGGACGCCATCGTTAGCTGTTCCAGCCTCTGCCTCTGGGCATTCGCAGCCTGTGGTAACGGAGCATCTTGACGCTGCTCTCGCGGAGGGGAGGCCGCGCGAACATGGCAGGCCCAGTTCTTGCCAATCATTTGCCTCCGCTGGATGATACGTACGTCTGCAACTACCTCTTCGAGATTGAACGTCGCTCACAGTTGAGCAGGATGGGTGCATTATATATCGGTGTCCTTGTCTCGGCGCTGTACGTGCTTAGTGAACTACCATTTGGTCCACGCTAACTTGGCACAGTCTCTACGGAGTATCTTTCCTGCAGACGGTCTATTACTTCTTCTCAAGCCGTAACGACTGGATCGGTCTGAAGTTCCTGGTTGGAGTCGTGTCGGTACTGGATACAATCCACCAAGGGATGATCACGCACGCTGCCTACATCTATATGATCACGAACTTCATGAACCCGAGCACCCTTGATACCGTTGTTTGGTGAGGTAGTCTCATCATCGCTCGATGGGCTGCGAGTTGACGGATTCGCTCTCGCAGGACACTCATAGTACGCCTACCAAGCCAGAACTTCTCTATCCCGTCTGACAAGCACGATATAGGCCGAGACTCTCATCAATGTGCGCCCTTCGTGACTTTGTGCGCTACCTCATGCTAACAGCACGCTTAGGCTCTTCTGGCTCTCTGCGTCCAAGCGTTCTTCGTCTGGCGGATCTATACATGTGAGCCATCCCACCTCACGAAAACTTTATCCGCATCATACTTCATCAGTGCATCGTGATGGGCTCCGGCTGCCTGTACTCCTTGGACTCCTGTCTCTGACACGGTTTTGTCTTATCGCCACATGGGTCGGGAAGAGGTATGTGGCACTGAGTCTACCCCTCATTACAAGCATCGCTGATGAATGTCTGACAGTGCGCGTCTTAGGACTTGGGTCAATCTTTCGTCTCTGAAGAACCTCTCGCAATCTGCCACCGTCATCACCTTGGTCTCCGAATGCTCCATCGCAGCAGCTCTGCTCTATCTCATGTACAAGGCACGCTCATCCGCGAGTAGGTCAGTAGTTTCCTTCGTAATGGCCCATCGCCATCCGACACTAGCATTCAGTAGCTCGCACAGTCCCGAACTGATGAAGTATATCGTACGTGTTGTTTATGTCGATCGTTCCGCCGTCTCACGCCTGCTATAGCTTAATACTGGTCTTCTCACAAGCATCGACGCATTATGTCTAGTCATCGCTGTACGTCTTCAGCTCCATTGAAGGGCATGAACTGATGGAGCGTACCGCCCACAGTACGCCGCTCGTCCTGATGCTATGATCTCCATCGCTTTCTTCTTCGTTCTCGGGCGCTGTGAGTTCATCCTATGACAGATCTTGCCGTCTTGCTGACTCTGCGCGCAGTATACAGCAACTCCCTTCTCGCGACGCTCAACGCCCGGGGAAAGCCCTCCTCCCTGAAGATGATACATCTCAAGATCGACTCGGAGTCTCGCGCGAGCTCGAGTTTCGTGCTCAGCGATGTTACCGCCGATTATAAGGTGTGCGCCGGTTTTATCTTCCTGTCATCGCTACTAACACCTTTCGACAGTTCAGCTACGTAGGCAACGAATGCTATGCAGAAAGATCCGCCAGAGAGGTCTGGGATACGGAGGTATGCCTCAAGGCGTTCGAATACATCCGACGCTTTCTGATTCGCAATGCTAGCTTGGCGTAGTCTTGGACGAGTCGTCTCGTTGATACATTCAGCATACCCGTCCATGTTTATGGATAGCATGTCCCTGACGCGGATTCGACCAGAAGGCTGCCGCAGGGGGTCACGGTGTGGATATGCGGATTAGAGAACGATTGCTAGGCTGAGATGGAGGGCTGTCCGCGAATGACGTCGCTTGGCTTCACAGAAGCAGCGGCACGCGCGATATTGCGCGTGGGTCTGAGGTCCGATACCCTTATGGATGCGGCTTCTCACGTCTTGCATTGTATGATCATGGGCGGTCCGTTGAACATGGGGATCTCTAGCGCCCTGCTCGTGCGTTTAGCCCTGTAGTCTTATAATCTCGGTTCGCGAACCGTTCCTTCGAGATACCCAGTGCCCTTATCCCCCAAGTCTTTCAAGATTGGGGTGGAGTGTAAACGTTGGGAAGCGGATCACCCACTTGAGGCGAACGCGCTCAGAGCGGGGCTATCTGATCAAGCAGTGCCCACGCCCGATGGCCTCTATATGCGCCGGTATTTAAGCGTCGCGATTGAGCTCAACAGAACTTACCAGCCGACGCTTCTAGGATGTTTTACTCTCCATCGCTTCTTGACGCTGCCGCTGTACTTGTTGCGGCGTATGTTGCGAAGCGGCTATTTCTAAAACCCAAGTCCACACTCCCTCTTCCACCGGGTCCTTCGGGGTTACCCGTCATCGGCAACGTGCTCGATCTTCCCCAAACTGATCCTCATAAGGCGTACATTCAGTGGGGTCAAGAATATGGTATGTGCATGCGACTGGAACTCGTATCACGATCTCTTCTGACGACACCGTCCAGGACCGATCATGCACGCGTCTGCACTTGGGCAGCATCTCATCATCGTGAATGATCTATCGATCGCCACTGAACTGCTGGAAAAGCGCGCCACACTGTACTCGGATCGACCAGCGCTCACCATGGGTGGTGAACTCTCCGGCTGGGATAACGCGCTCGCTCTGCAACACTACGACGATCGCTCGCGTGCATACCGACGGCACTTCCACTCCTTCATCGGCGCCCGCGCTGCGCTCAAGCGTCACTATTCACTCTTAGAACACGAAGCTCGCCTGATGGCCCAGCGCTTGCTAGATGCTCCAGAGAAGCTTGAGAGCAGCGTTCGTAACGCCGCAGGCGGTATCATCATGAAGATCACCTATGGATACGACACTATGCCCGAGAGTGACCCCGTCGTCGACTTGGTGAACGAGGCAATGGCCCAATTTGGAGAGATCACCGAGTCGAGCACGATTTGGATTGTAGACGTGTTCCCCATCCGTGAGTAGTGTATATCTTGAACCTGAGGTCTCGCTCAACGTATCACAGTTAAGAACTTACCCTCGTGGTTCCCTGGCGCTGGTTTCCTCAAGAAGGCAAGATATTACAAGGACACGATCCACAGGATGGCGGAGGTCCCCTTCGGGATCGTGAGCGACCAGATGGTACGTATTCGAACTTGAACTTCGTTGCATTCATGCGCTGACATGACCCAGAAACGACAGGCTGCTGAGCCATCTATGGTCGCTGACCTGCTAGAGGAGTCCGACAGATCCTCTGCAGAAGATATCTACGTGATCAAGTGGGCCGCGGCGAGCATGTATGGTGCGTAACGGAGATACCAGCTTTTTCTATCCCTAACAACCCTCCACAGCTGGTGGTGCTGATACGACTAGGTCGCTCATTTCAAGCTATTTCCTTTTCATGGCACTCTTTCCGGAAGCCCAGGAGAAAGCTCAAGCAGAGATCGACTCTGTCATAGGGCGCGATCGCCTCCCGACGCTCTCTGACCGGCCGAATCTGCCGTATGTCGAAGCTCTTGTGAGCGAAAGTATGCGATGGGCACCAGTTGCTCCTATGGGTGAGTAATCAACATCGTTTTGGCTAGCCGTAATGCTCAATGTACGCACAGCGATTCCCCATAGGCTCGTTCAAGACGACGTTTACAACGGTTACCATCTTCCAGCAGGGTCGCTTGTTCTTGCGAACGTCTATGCCATGCTCCGCGATCCCGCTGTATACGCTAACCCTGAGGTCTTTGACCCAGAGCGCTTCATTGCACGGCAACGAGAGCACAAAGTCGCGGAACCGAACCCGCGCTCTTGTTTCTTCGGCTTCGGGCGACGCATCTGCCCGGGCCGGGACCTTGCGGATGTCAGCCTTTGGACGGAGATCGCAGTGACTCTTGCCACGCTCTCTATCTCAAACGCTCGCGACGACAAGGGAAAGGCGATCTCAAGCATTCGCTATACAGGTGGAACAGTCGTCCACCCCGAGGCTTTCACATGCGACATCAAACCTCGATGGGCTCACGCCGGCGCTCTTCTTGCGCAGGAGCTAACGCAGTTTCACCGCAGTCGTGATTAGAGATTTGACTGCATCCGAGTACATCTGTCCTACGCGCCTGTATGCAATGCTACCTGTTTGCGCTAAGCGTGCGATAGGGTTCGCTCGCGGAACCTCTGATTCGAAAAGATAGACGGCATGAGTGCATCTTCCATCCTCAGGTGATACGTCCAAAACGGACGGAATTGCAATCCGATCTTCAATCATGGCGCGGGTGTTACGCATACGACAACCTAACGATACTCTGTCTTCTGTCTTGAGCATCACACGAAGGTTTGTCGATCGTCGGAAGCTTCAACGCTTCATAGCCTAGATGAAGTGTGCGAATCGCGACTGTAGCGAAGCTACGCCCTCTATCCCCATGAAACTACCTGGGTAGCGTTCGTGAAGACCTAGAGGCTCCTGGAGGTCTCTCGTGATACGGGCCATACCCTCTTATCAATAGAAGCGCAACTGCACTCTGCGCACTTCTCTCCGTCACTCACCTCATTATCGCCTATGAGAGCTGTCTCAACATCATCGATCTAGCTCTACTGATGGCATACTCTGTCACAGCGCTCGATGCGGCTGTGCTCGTCGCAGTGGCGTATTTGACGAAACGCTTATTATGGCGGCCCAGACACACCCTTCCATTACCACCAGGACCTGCCGGTGTTCCCATCATCGGCAACGTGCTCGATCTACCCCAGACAGAGCCCTATAAGACATACGTTCAATGGGGCCACAAGTACGGTGCGTAGACTATCGTCTTCCCTAGACTGAATCTGATCCTTAGTAGGACCGATAATGCACGTCTCCGCCCTCGGGCAATCCCTCATAATCGTGAACGACGCCTCGATCGCAACGGAGCTCCTCGAGAGACGAGCGAAGCTGTACTCAGAGCGCCCAACACTACCTATGGGCGGCGAGCTATCAGGATGGGATCATACGCTCGTCCTCCTGCACTACGACGATCAATGGCGAGCGTACCGACGTCACTTTCACACGTTTGTCGGCGCATGGGGTGCGCTCAAACGACATACTTCCCTGTTGGAACATGAGGCCAGGTTGTTGGTGCAGCGCATCTTGCGAGCGCCCGACTCGCTCGATGAGCACATCCGTCTGGCTGCTGCGGGTGTGATCATGAAGATCACGTACGGGTATGATACTCTACCTGAGAAGGACCCCGTTGTCGCGACTGTAAACGAAGCGACGAGGCAGTTCGAGGATGTCACCGAGTCTAGCAAGGTCTGGCTGGTTGATATCTTTCCTATACGTGCGTAAATAGCTCCCTCGGAACCGTGTAAGGAGGTGGTGCTGATGTACATCAGTCAAGCATATCCCGATCTGGTTCCCCGGCGCTGGCTTCCGTAAGAAGGCTGCCTTCTACAAGGACACTATACAGAGGATGGCACAGGAGCCCTTCGACATCGTGAAGACACGCCTGGTACGCTCGTGCATGCTCCTTTCAGTGCAAAACAGTACTGACCATGAGTCAGAGAGAGCATATAGCAGAACCTTCGATGGTCGCGGATCTGCTCGAAAAATCGGCGCACGATGCCGACGAGGAACACGACATCAAATGGGCCGCGGCGAGTATGTACTCCGGTGAGGCGATCGAGATTGCTTCCTGTCAAGGCTCGTACTGTATTCTGATGCACAATACAGGTGGTGCTGATACTACTGTCTCGACCATGCTGGCGTTCTTCCTTTGCATGACTATGTTCCCGGAGGCGCAAAGGACAGCCCAGATGGAGATTGATGCGGTTGTGGGCCATGATCGGCTTCCCACATTAGCAGATCGTCCCCATCTACCATACATAGATGCGATAGTGAGCGAGATGATGCGCTGGGCACCAGTCGTCCCGATGGGTGAGCTCGACTCCCAACCCAGCCCTTTGACGAACAGTCTGACGATGGCGCTGTCTTGTATAGCCATACCCCATAAGCTCGTTCAAGACGATACTTACGGTGGCTACAGACTGCCCAAGGGCGCCCTCATTATACCCAACGTATGGGGCATGTTGCACGACCCAGAAGTGTATGCAAACCCGCATGACTTCAAGCCGGACCGTTTCATTGCACGAGACGGAAGACCCGCTGAACCTGATCCCCGCCTCTGCTTTTTTGGCTTCGGTCGCAGGATATGCCCTGGCCGGGAGCTCGCGGACGTAAGCGTGTGGATTGAGACGGCGGTCATACTCGCAACTCTACGCATCGGCAAGGCGCGCGATGAAGCGGGCAACGAGATCACCCCCGAAGCGCGTTTCACAAACGGCACGATCACGCACCCCGAAGCATTCAGATGCGACATCAAGCCGCGCTCGCAGCACGTAAACGCTCTTCTCACTCAAGAGCTCACGCAGCTTCATCGCACTCGGGACTGACCGAAGGATTTGTGGACGGCCGATTCGAAGGATCTCCTTGCGATGTTTGATCAGCCTCTCTCGATCCGTATTCTTCCGAGAAATGTATCATATCATGTATGCGCATGGCTCCCTGCATCAATGCTACAGTAATGACGTCTGCCTTTGTACACAAAGGACCTATTCCGGTACATGAAACACCTTTGGGAGTATACAAGCGAGTCAGCCAGACTCCGGTCCGCATGCACTCTCACTTTCTCCAGCCGATGTCCTCCCTCTCTCGCAACCAACGAGCGACACGTTTCTCCTTCGTCTTTGACCTGTCGTCCAGTCAAGCTCAAGTATCAAGTAGGCTCTAGTGTGAGAGAGCGAACTACTATACAGAGCGGCGAGTCGACTGTGCGTAAGTGCCGCCCATGCCAGGTCGAGACTGGCCAAATGTCAATGCCGTTTTGCGGCATGAGGTTCCGTTATATAATCGTGTTTCCCAAAAGACAATATAAAAGCCAATCAGCTCCAGTAGGGGTCGGTAGGGTCGAGGAAGAAGCTGCACCGTGAACGTCAAAAGCAAGCAGCAGGCGCGCCGCAGAACCGGCTGGCGTGCTAGCAGCTGTGCTGACGCGTGACGTCACGCGTCGACCTAGATCAACTTGACAACTTCGTCATCTCATCTCCTCTCCTCGCTCCATCGCCATGACTTCCCAATGGCCATCCCAGAAACAGCGCACAACACCTGTCTTTCAAGTACCTTCTGTGATGCACCTAACATCGAGGCGTTTCTCATCTCGCATATGACCGAGCGGAAAGCCACCCAGTTTCAGCGTAGTCTCGACCGAATCGTTTGGAGAGCCCCAAAACAACTTTTACCACAATCAAAGGTTGACTCGTGCATTACATCGTATACAATGTCTTTGATACATTACCATGTACATACAGCAACCCGAGTGAACGTCGACAATCGATCCGGGTCCCTTACTCCGGCGGGTCCAAGCCTCGCTTCAACAGCTCTTCAATCGAGGCATCGCCAAGTACCTCTCTCAGCTTGTCCTCAACACGTACATCCACACCCTCAAGCCCAACCTTCCTCCTCGCATCCAGCCAATTTCCAATCTTGCTGATGAGTTTGTCCGCTTGCACCGCATCGCCATGAGGATCCACCTGCAGATGTAGCACGCGAAGGTTATGGTATGGGTGATCTGCCAACGTAGTATCGGGGTCCAACAGCCCCGCGTGGCTCAGAACGTATTCAAGAGTGCGCAGAGAACAGAATAGTTCTTGTACAGCGGACAAGCCGAGGAAGAAGCGGGCCCACGCTCCGTATTCTTGCTCGGGCGAATCGGAGTCGTCCGGGAAGGATATCCGTAGTACTAGTCCGGTAACTCGCTGCGCCTGACGTTCTAGCAAGAGACTTTGCTCGTCGGCAAAGGCCGATTGGAATGGAAGCTGTAGTGCGAACAGAGGAGGTGAAGCTGGGGAAAAGAGTGTTCTCCAGTATCCCAGCTCAACGCCCCACAGGGAGTCGCCCTTGTCTTGACCGATCGAGACAGACAACGCGTAAGGGCCGTCGTGTGCTGGGTCCTCGAATATATGACGGGAAAGAAGGTCTCGCTGGAACGTGGTGTGTCGCGATAGAGTGCGCGCCGAAAGATGGATGACGACCTCAGTGCCCGGCCGGACATGGACGCGTAACGGTAGCCGCGGTGTAGAGTACTGTCTTTCGTAGCTCATGAACATGTGTTGTAGCGTAGACGGTAGCTCGATCATTCCATCGTTCGGATTCTCGGTGCGTAGGAGGTCCACACCATCCAGCCCAATGGTATGAATGCGGTGCATGCGGGAAAAGAGGTCTCTCAACTCTGCAGCCGTGAGCGGTTCTGCAACACAGGCCATCTGAAGATGGGTCAAGTTGTCATAGATCGCGCAATCCCACGGAAAGGGCTTTCCATCTATGTGCAGGGTGGATAGGCGAGGTGGAATGCGCTCCATTGGAATATGGGGTAGAAATTCCCTGGTGCTGAAGTCGGGGTACGATCGGGTGTTGGCCCACAATGTCTCGAGTGCGGGAAGAGGCTGACCGAGTGGGCCTTGCGCGTCGCGCACGTCCCCCGTAAGTTGGAGGCGGGAGACACGTTTCAAGTCGGCGATGTCGAGTACGGTACCATGTTCGAGATGTAGAGTGATACGTAGGCCTCTTGACCTCGGGAGGATCTCCTCGAGAAGCGGACGCCCGTCGAAATCCGAAACGTCTGTCCAGAGCATAGGAGTCCCGAGCGCGATACTCCGTAGACGGCGGCATATATGGGCGAAGGAGTACCAAGGTGCTACGTTGCGATGTCCTAGATCTTCACAGCGGGGCTTGCGATCTTTCACGCGGGCGTCGCGTACATAGAGCAGAATGTCGGCGATGAGCTCGTCGGGGAGAGAAAGCAGTGGCGCGTATGTTCCAGTGTTGAGCATATCGAGGAAGGGTCGCTGAGCCTCTCTGAGGCGCGAGAGTTCACGTTCTATGGTTCCTCGCGAAGGGTTCAATCCGTGGTCGACGGGCAGACTGGCGATGCGCGAAAGCGCGAGTGCTGCCCATGGGTTTGTACTAAGCAGGTGGTTAGTTGTGAAGTTTGCTACAAGAGTTGATACGCATACTCAGGCTCAGCAGGAGGCATGGGGGACGATTGGGCGGAAAAAGATTCGGAGTGAGCAGAGATGGGCGACAGAGGCCGTGGTGGTGGTTGAGAGTAGACCCGCGCCGCGCCCGTTGCTCTTTTCTGCATTTCAACTCCTTTTGTTTTGTTATGTTGTGACACCACGGCGCAGTGCTCGTAGTGCATTATCATCGACTGCATGGCAGTGAGTCTCACTGGAATTATTTCTGCCCGCCGCAAGACGTACGTCGTTGGGTGACGCGGCGACGGTAGACGTAGGCACAAGTTCAAGTTGCGTCTGAGTCGCGCGAAGCGCACGACGGGTTTGAATCACACTCGTACGCTCACAGATCCCAAAGACTTCAGCCCTTTTGCTATAATGGGACTAGCGGGATCAATGGAACCAACGCGCCGAGGCGCGCAGACCGGGCCGTGAAGGCCCCGCTCCTCCAACCGAGTTACAGCGCTCCAGAAAACTAGTCGCTGCAGACAGGTTGGGCGTGCAGCAACGCGGTCACGGTTCTGCGCAAGAGGACAGTCTCATGAAAACGAGTACTTCAAGGGCAAACGCCACTCGACACGGAGACAAGTGACGCGGGAGTGTGCGAGTGCCGCCCATGGGTTCGCGCTGTTAGCCCGCTCATTCGCTAGATCGTCCAAGCACATACTCATTTTCGACAGAAGACATTATAACGTATCGGATATGGAACGGGACGAGATTTGGAGCACGCTCGGACGGAGGCCGGAGACCGTGATGGCGGTCGAGAGCACAGACGCAATGCGCGTCCATCACTGAGTTCGAGCAAGCGCAGACGCAACGCGTGCCAGCGTGCGCCACTCGGGAGCCCGGGCCGGAGGCAGTCTCCGACCCAACCCACCCGAGCGCCCTCTTGCTTCCTCTTGCAGGGCAGCTGCAGAGCAGGTACTGCCACAGAACACTGATGACAACTCGTAGTTCTACATGCATTATTAGGTACTACAAAGCGCCGCGCTCTTTCATACTATTTCTGTCAGCACTGGTACCGAGGCCCGCGGTTTGCTATTAGGGATGCAACGGATCTGGTACTGGCACTGCTAGTTCTGTCCAAGGTCTGATCCCATATACTCAACAGCAGGCATCCCTAGTACCTAATGAGTCCACGTCGCACCTCAGAGCCCTACACAAGCCAGTCCAAGGCCCGTCTGCGAAAGCGTCAGCATTACAAGCAACGACCCGCGTCGCGTAAACGAACGCACCTACCGAACCGCACTCAATCAAGCTCCTCAATCACCGCACGCTTGCGTCCAACGAGCTCCGACTCCGCACACGGACCCGTAACATCAAGAACAGCATGCCCCGGCACAGCTCCCCCCGCAGTCGGAACCTGCAACGCGCGCGTCTCCTCGCCAGACGGGTACCCCGTACCATGGCCCAGCAAACTCGACTCTTGAGTGTCGACAACAAGAATCGTCCCGTAAACCCCGCCAGCGATCCACGCGTCCGTCGCGTAGCTCGTATTCGTATCGTTGCTGATCGGTAGAGAGGACACTGGGAGCGTGAAGTGCGCGAGGCCGGAGAGGAAGACCACCCATTGGACGTTGGGCGCGTTGTGTGCGGGCGCGGTGAAGCGCGCGGGGATGATGGAGTAGGTCGCGTTGGCGAGGTCGCCGAGTTGGAGGTTGGACCCGGTTAGGGGGAGGTTGTGAAGGGTGAGGTGAGTGACCAGCATTGGAAGATGGTTTTGTTATTGAGAGTGGCGAGGGAGGTCACGTTCAGGGTTTGCGCGGCGTCCGACATCGCGATGGGTCACTGCCAGTGGACGAGAGAGGCGAGGCACCGGCGAAGCCTGGTCTACCTATATAGTAATTTGCTAGATTAAGAGTGTACGTCAGTATCTGACTCGTGATACAGGCTACGAATCCGCGTACCTCGCAGCAGCAGGATCAAGCAGTTGCCTATCCAAAATCGAGATTCAGCTGCCACCGAGTCTCCCACGGCTTCCTGGTTCGGCTACCATGCCTAGACTACCTTCCAGTCTGGCTTGAGCGTGGGCATGTTGGTATATGGTCATGCTCTTAGCGTTGCGGAGACGTGCTGCTGTATTAGCGTCTGATGAGAGGGAAAGGCGCGCCCCACACAGCTCGCCGATCCCGTTAATTGACCAGAAATAGCGAAGACGGCTTCAAGAGTGAGCGAGAGACGAGGGGAAAAACCCTCTGAGGCGTATCTATATCCATCGCAGTGACCCTGGTAGAGGTGGGAGTCAAATTATGCCGTTTTGCCGCTGCGGTAGTGCACAGTATAGTAGGTTGATGCCGAGTGACACCAACTGTAGACAGAACAGCAATCGCTCGAGCTGAGTCGCCACTCTACTCCGTGAGTAGTCGCACAAGAGAAGACGCTCGTCTTGCATGACAAGGCGTGACGGATAGTAGACGCCGTCACCGTGGACGCCAAAAGCAAACTACGCGCGCGCCCCGCGCCGCACAACTTCGCTCAAACGCGTGACGTCACGCGTCAAAGATTAGATCTCGCAGATCTCCCACGTCCGCGTCAACTTTCTCCGTCATCCCATCTCATCTCTTCCCCCCATCGCCACACCCTCCCCCTCCCAATGGTCGTCCCAGTCCCAACAACACCTTCCGGCCCATCACCACCAGCTGCACCAGATGAAGCGACCATCGACTCCTTCCTCGCCTCGCACCCGCTCTTCATGACCTCCCTCCCCGACGCCGAAAGCGAGGACCCGACGCTCGCGGCGCTCCAGAGTCTCGCGTACGACGGGACGCCCGACGGTGCGTCCCCCTCCCCCCTCATTGTCAACCTCCCACTCTGACTGTGATGGGTGATGGGGTAGAGATCGCATCGAACTTCAAGTCCCAAGGAAACGAGTACTTCAAGGGCAAACGCTTCCGCGAGGCCGCGGGGTTCTACACCCAAGCGCTCGACGCGCAGCCCTCCGACAAATCCCTACTTGAAGCGCTCCTTCTTAATCGCGCGGCGTGCAACCTCGAGCTCCGTGCGTCCCTCCCCCTCAGATCACAGTACATATTGAACTCATAACGTGACTACAGAGAACTACGGCCGCGTCCTCCACGACACCGCCCACACCCTCACCCTAAACCCTACAAACTCCAAAGCGTACTACCGCTCCGCGCAAGCGCTGTACGCGCTCGACCGGCTGCCCGAAGCGCTCGACGCCGCGACGCGCTGTTTAACTTTCGATCCCTCGAACGCCGCGATGGAGTCGATACGCGCGAAGGTGCAGAAGCGGATAGCCGACAAGGAGGCGCGCGAACGCGAGAGGCGAGCGCGTGCTGCAGAGGAAGAAAAGTTGAACGCCGCGTTGCGCGAGCGGAATATATACCCCGAGAAGCTTGAAGAGGGACGGAGTATCAGCCACGACTACCGCGTGCGCTGGGACGACGAAGACCCAGATAGTTTGATCATCCCCGTCTTCTTCCTCTACCCCCAACACGCCATAACAGACGCCATCCCCTCCTTCGCCGAGCACACCCCCTTCACTCTCCACCTCCAGTCCATGTTCCCGCCCTCTGCGCCCCCGCCAGCGTGGGACGAAAAGGGGGAGTATACGGCGGATGGGCTGGTGGTGTATGCGGTGACGAGAAGGAAGCGGGTGTTGAAGGTCGGGAGGAGGATGAGTCTTGCGGATGTGTGTCGGAGTGCTGGGGGGAGTGGGAAGGAGGGGGAGGGGGAGGATGGGCTGGAGATGAGGGATGGCGGGCTGGCGTTTGCGGTGTTGCCGAGGGGGGAGGAGGAGGCGAGGTGGGTTGCGCAGGTCAAGAAGGAGCGCGGGTTCTGAATCCTCCTCATATATGCATTCGTTATATTCAATGTAGCGCTAGATCTAAGCATCTGTATCGTATATCGTCTGTACATCACATCATCCGTACACCACTACTAAGTCCTGCCGACAAACGCGTCCCCACTGTACGTCCCCCTAACATCGTCCTGAACGAGCCCCTGCCCAACCAAAACCCCCTCAACGACCCTCTCCGCAATCGCAAGGCTCGCCGTCAGCCCCGGGCTCTCGATCCCCAGCAGCGACACCATCGGCGCGCCCCTATCTCCACCACTCAACGAAGTCCTCAAAACAAAGTCCTGGAACCCGCCGCCGGGCCCGACGAGCTTAGGGCGCACGCCGACATAGTCCGGCGCGAATCCCTCCGGCTCAACACCCGGCAAATACCTATCCCCCCCACACACATCAGCACTCTCAACACCACCACCACAATGTGCGATGTATAGGAAAGAGACGCACCGTCTCACAGCCTCGCTCATCCCCCGCACCCTCTCATCCGCGGCAACTAGATTACCCTTTTGCATCCAGAAGTCCACGTCCTCCTCGCCCCCCTCTGTGCGACCAGGATCGAGCCACTCGAGATCGGGCCCGAAGCGGACGTTGCCCGCCAGATCGAGCGTCAGATGTGTACCCAGACTCGCAAAGCCCTCCTTGCTCTTCTCCCTCTCCCTCTCCCCCTCCTTCTCCTCCTTCTCCTTCGTCTTCACAGTGCCTTCCTTACCCCCACCAGCCGCCCCTCCACTTCCGCTCTCGGGCACAGGATAAAGTAACCGCGAAACCTCCGCGCCGGGCCCGCGGTACGACGCATAGCTCCCCTTCCCGAACCACACGCCCACTCTCTGTTGAGCGGGGACGACGGAGTTGTAGATGGCGGGCGCGGCGTGGCCGGCGGCGTTTATGAGCGTTCTTGCAAGCATCGAGTCCGTGTTTGTCTCCCCCTCAGGCGATGCTGATGAAGAGGAGGAGGAGGAAGAGGGGGAGGGGGAGGGGGAGCCGGTGATCGTTTGCACGACCCATCCCGCTTCAGATGAGGAGGATGAGGAAGAGGGGTATGGGTCGACCCGCACGGCGCGCGTGGCGTACGCCGGTGTACCGTCCGCGGAGGAGAGGTCGCGTTCGAGGGATGACATGTATGCGTGGACGTCGAGGATGCCCGTTTGTGTGCTGCGCATTCACGAAGAGTCAGAGAGGTAGAGACGGGAGAGACGGGGGAGGGGGAGGGGTGTACCTGAGAAGCGAGCCGACGACGCCGGGGCCTAGGGATGGTTCGAGCGCTCGGGTGCGGGGGGCGGAGAGGAGGGTTGTTGGGAGGATGTGGCCGCCTTGGGTGTCCTAAATACGCTTATCAGATACGTGTGAGATTGATGTGAGGGCGGAAGGGAAGGAGGATGTACCTGGAGGGAGCTTTGCCAGTACTTCGGTCTGGCGAGGTTAGCTGATTTGGCGTGTAGGTTCTGGAGGTATGAGAGTTGGTCGGGGGACGTCGCTACTATCATCTTCTCTGCACTCAGTCACAGTCAGCCTCATAGTACACGGAACTTGAAGGATGGGAATAAGGCCTTACCACAACGCCTGTGCGGGACGCCGTTCGCCTGGAGATACGCGTACAAGAGCTGGCGACCGCGGAGACAGAGGGCGGTCTTGAGTGATGTAGGCGGGTAGTACATGCCCGCATGTATGACTTCCGAGTTACGCGAGCTAGCCGAAGATGAACCGTATCGCAATAGTAGAAAACACCGCACCGTCAAGTTCAGTGCCACAAATTCCACCTCGAGCAGGAAACACGAACCTGGTCTCCTCGCCGGCACGCGTATGGCGCTCGAGCAGTATCGTGCTCTTGCTCGGAAAGCGCAGAGCGAGGTGCCGTGCGATGGCGAGGCCGACGACGCCTACCGTATATGAATACAAGCGAGACATGCGGCCGGCATGAGTAGACTAACCGCCTCCGATAACGAGATGGTCTACGACGGCCTCTGGTTCCTGGCAGGCCGCGTTCGCATACCAGCCTCCAGCAGATGCAGTTTGAGTTAGAGCTTCACCTTGTACTTGTACCTGCCAGCGGCATTGAGCACGGCGGTAAGCGGGCGAACGCCTGAAAGTGACATGATCGGCGTCGCGTGTCAAGGGATCGGCGCTCGCCACACGGCCGCTTCACCTCTTACCTACTCCACGATCACCATGTTCCCTCCCTCTTCAACAAAACCCGGGCCGTCAGTAAATCACACACGCCCATCAGCGCGGATGCACCCCAACGTCCTGCTCGAGCTCTTCCGCTACCTCGTCGACCTCTCGACCGAGTCCACGCTCGACGCCCTCATCTCCGCCTCGCACGTCTGCACGACCTGGCGCAAGCTCGCGCTGGACACGCCCGAGCTCTGGGCGCAGATCCCGCTTAGGGCTGGCCATGCGTGGGCGGAGGAGGCGCTCAGGCGCTCGGAGCCGCTCCCGATCGTGCTCAGGGTACCTCTGACGGCGAACGGCGCGCGCCCGCGCGAAAAGACGGTCCTGCGCGTGTTCCGCTCGCTGACGCGCGCGCGCGTGTTCAGCCTGTCCATCGACGGCCACTCGTCGCTTTTATCGTCGAACAATGCCACCCCCAGTTCGAACCCGAGCCAGCAGAACGACTCGTCGATCCTGGCGCCGCTGCGCTCGCTCGATGCGCCGCTGCCGTTGCTGGAGGAGCTGAGCCTGATATTCAAGAACGCGTGTCCGGATGCGGCGCGCGTGTTGTCGTCGAGACCGCTCCCGAAGCTCACGTACCTCCACGTGCACAACGCGTGGTTCAGCGCGCCGCTGTTCGATAGCCGGACGTTCGCCGCTACCAGTCTATCGCACATCAAGCTCACCGGCGAGTCGGGCCGCGCGGGCGCAGGCGCGCGCGCTCGCGCGCATTCGAATTTGAACGGCAATCATAATACGCGCGGAAGCGCCGAGCCGCCGCCGCCTCCGCCTTACCCGTTTCCGTTGCCGAATATAGCGCTGAATGCGCTGACGAAGCTCGAGGCGCCGAGGGCGCAGTGGACGAGTTTACGCGCGTTATTGGATACGCTCGCAAGAATGCCCAGCCTCGAACTCCTGCAACTCGCAAACTTTGTCGATCCGCGCGGGCCGCAGGGCGAGGCGTGGGCTTGTGCGCCGGGCGATGCGGCTCCCAGTGGTACCATTGAGCAGGTGGATGGGGACGTGGAGATGATGGATGATGATGTCGAAATGGCCAACGGAGACGGTGATGGCGATGCGGGTGTGGGCGAGGATGGTGTGGCGAGGATGAGTCTGGGACACGGTGCCCCGCCCGCGCGAGGGCTGCATATGCGCGCGTTGAGGAGGTTGGCGTTGGAGGGGCCGTGCGATAGCGTCGCGGAGGTGTTCGCGAGTTTGAAGTTGGATAAGGGCGCCAAGCTACAGTTCATCTGCCATCTGCCGAGTCCGAGGACGGATGCGTTCTTGAGCACGTACGTCCATTCGTATCCTATCTATGAATCAGCTGGCGCTCATCGCGTGGTGTACGGTGTAGGATGCGCGCGGCTGTTCTGGCGCACTATGCTTCGGCGCCGGAGTGTTTCCGGCAGACGAGTATAGGCGAGAACGTGCGGTGCTTGTACTTCTCAGCAACGGACTACGAGGATCTGTATAAACTCTACGTTGAACTGGTTCTTACTTCCTCCCCGTCCCCATCGAATGCTGTATAGCTGATGCACGTCATCAACACAGGTCGACGTCGCACCCCAAGCATCGTCTCTCGTGAGCGAGCATCTGGGCTTCTTGAGGGCGTTATTACCGGAACAGCCGTTTGGCGGTCTTCAGGTGCGTCTTCCCTTTCTACTCTAGGTTGTACGAGGATAAAGCTTATGGATGGTACAGACGCTATACTTCAACGACGTGCGTGTGCTAGAGAGCGTACCGCCGTGGAAAGAATGGCGCGGGACACTCCGTCGGGTAACATTAGTCCACATCCAGGTTCGTCTCCCTGTCTTCCCCCCTCCCTTCTTCCACCCCCCCCTTTCTACCACCATTCATACCTATCTGACTCCCAACGCCTCCCCCTTACCAGGCCCGCGCGACCTACGGCCTAGTAGACGCCCTCGCCGACCGCGACATGTTCCCCATGCTGCGCACGCTCTCTATCAAGGGCGACGTCGACGACTCGGTGCTCGACCCTCTGGTCCAGAACACGCTCCGGATGCCCAGGGTCGAGATTAGGCGGCGGTGAGTATCGCCCGCGCGGTAAGAGTTTTTTGTTTGTGTTTGGGGTGGATGGTGGATTGAGGGCTGATTGTGGGGGGCGGTTTGTAGGCGGATGTTGTGGTGGGGCGCGGGGAGGATTTGATCTAGGTGTTTGATGCTAGAGGGGTTTGTGTATACCTTAGAGAGATCGGGAGATTGGATGGATGTGTACGGGTGGGGTGGATGCCGGATGTTGTATACTATTGGCTGTATAATATATGCTCTCTGAAACGTGACTTCACGCGTTAGACTGGCTGCTCCAAGATATGAACTGCTATAAGCGCTCTACGACAGCTCCTGCATCGAGCCTACTCTGCGAGACTCCGAGAGGGCTTGGGCCGCTTGGCTCAGGTCGAAGACTGCGTTCGCACTTCGGCCCGAAGTTCCGAGTGGCGCGCGTCGCGTCCGATTGAGGTGCACATCAACCACCATCTCAACCACAACCACAATGGGACTGTATAAGATGACATGCGCTGCCGAACACTGCTCAACCTTCTCTCCCAAACAGTCCGCCGCCTACGATGTCGCGCAGTCCACCCGCCGCCGCACCCCATCTATCCCCATACATCTACCACCCCCCAACCGACCCATCCCCCCTCGCGCGCCTCAAAGCCCAAGTAGAATCAGCCCAAACCCTCATAGCCGACGCCGACACCCTGCACTCTACCGGCCCGGCCTTCGCGGACTGGTGCGCGGCGGCCGAGGCCCGACTACGACGGGCTCGCGGCGCGCAAGAGCATGCTCGCGCGCGTGCGTGTTATCAGGCGGCGGTGGCGGAATACGCGCTGTGGAGGCAGCACAGCGAGCAGTGCGCGGAGAGCTTGCGTAGGGTCTGGATCGATTTCGAGGAGACGTTCCCGGAGGTTATGGTGCTGGTCGGGCCTGATAAAGCGCGGGAGCTCTTGGATATCCGGCTCGAGTACGAGTGCAGACGCATGGAAGCCGGAGACGAAGGCCTTGTTGGTGTACGCGAGGAGGGGCCGCGCGCTGAAGCGGAGGCAGATGGCCAGTTGGTCGTAGTACAACGTGACACGGCGCGGAGACGTTCGGGATTCTTTCAATGGGTTCTCCCTGTACTTTTTCAGATATGCCGTTCCCTTGTTCACATCAGCGGCGTGGCGCAAACGCCCCGAGGAAAGGGGGAATACTAGTACTGTGGCGAACACGTTGAAACCGTGTGTGAAGCTCTGAATCATGTCGACTAGGCAAATATCCTTGCGCCCGGAAGTGCCCAAGATCTGTGCTTTGTGCAGAATGGTGGCCGCACAAGAACCGCAGCATTAATGTCTCGATGAAACAATGGGCTATTGATGGGTCCCGGTGGTACAATGGTTGTCAGCCACGCTAACAACCACAACGCTGCTGGTACAAGATGGCATGCCACAGTCTTCGACCTCCGATCCCCTTTCCCTTCCATACATACACGCACACGCGCTATCGGTATGTCGCGCAACTTGCCCACCGCCGGAACTCACCCATCCCCGTACATCTATCACTCCCCGGCCGACCCATCTCCCCTCAAGCGCCTCAAAGCACAAGTAGAACTGGCCCACATCTTCATAGGTTATGCCGAGACACTGCACGGCGCCGGCTCCGTCATCGCGAAGTGGTCTACAGAGGTCGAAGCGCAGGTACTACGAGCTCGCAACGCGCAGGAACTGGCTGAGGCGCATGCGCAAACCCAGGCGGTCGTAGCCAGATACGCGCTGTGGAAGCAGCGCCATGACCAATGCGAGGATAGCTTGCGCAGGCTCTGGATCGACTTCGACTTGACTCTCCCGAAAGCTATGGCGCAGGTCGCGGCGGGCGGGCCCAGTGAAGCTCGGGAGCTTCTGAACATCCAACTCGAGTACAAGCGCAGACACGTTGAAGCAGGAAACGAAGACTTTATTGATGTGCGCGAGGAGGGGCCGCGCGCGCGACAGATGGTCGTGGTACAGCGTGACATAGCGCGAAGACGGCCGAGTTTCTTTCAATGGGTTCTTCCTGTCCTTTTCTAGATATATCAAAATGGTCGATGGAGAGGCATATTATACAATTGAGCATTCACGCAGGAGACATGGTGGCCGTTCAATGCCTGGATCGGCGAGGAGAGTTTCCGCCAGTAAGCGCGCGACGTAACGCGTTCCCAGGGCGCGGGCGCTCGTGTTGCTGGCCTCTGCTTCCAACTATCACCACGGCCTGGAGAGCCCCCCAGAGTCTACAGCTTGAGTAGACAGGGCGAAGAGCGATTTCAATAATACAACTTCATTGTCTCACTTCTAGTCCTATCGCACGTCTGTCCTGGCCTCGATCCCATGAACGTCGCAGACGTTGCGCCCGGCACCCCGTCTCGAGCTCGAGGTTATCGCCGATCCCCAAGTCCGTGTACGGGCTTTCAAGACGATGCCTCTGTCAATAATACTTGAAGTGTACACGCTCAATTGGCTTTTCCGATAGACGGACGCGAGGCTGGCGTAACATCATGTCTAGGACTGTCGCTTCTTCGTCAGTACTGACGATGCGTTGCCGAAGTTCCCAGGCCAGATCCCAGTACGGTATAAAGACCTTGCAATCCAACTAACTGCTCCTTACTCCCTTCCCCCATCCTTGCACCGCAGCTTCAACGACATGAAGCCCCTCGCCGTGACGCGCGAGGGGCCTCGTAAGGAGAAGCTGGTGCGAGCCTTGTTCGAGGAGGTGGCGCGGGGCGACGACCGCAGCAGATACCCGACTGGCGATGGCAAGCCAAGTCATGGTGGTGATGCATGGGCGACGGGCGCAAGGTACTGGTTGACCACGCAGACGTGCGTTTCAGTACCGGTATCTTCGTGCTCGTCAACGCGCGTGTCGGTGACGCTTAGCGGCAGATCTCGAGCGATGATGAGAGGGACTGGCCGCCCCGCTCGGAGCTACAACGCTAGTCCTTTTGGGCTCATGCGTTGGCATCTTCGCTTTGTCTAATCCGATACGACGCGACGACGAGAAGGCTTGACTTCTCGTCGTATGGTATCTGCTCGGTTGTGCGTTCGCGTGCGTTGTGGCGGCTTCACGAGGTGCAGTACTGTCGTTCACACTCGCGTTCAGCCCATACACTGAAACAAGCTCGCCCACCAGTTCTCTCATCCTTTCCCATCGACGGCATAAGGACTCTACTTCGGCGTCGATATCGCTCTTCCTCGCGGAGGAGCTGGATACACGGAGGAGTTGAACGTCTGGGACCGAAGGAGCGAACGTCGGGAGGAGCCAGGGTGTGGGGCGTGGCATTGAACCTGGTGCGATGAACCATCTCTTCTACTTGACTCTCGGTTCATACCCGACATAGACCTCTGCCATGCGTGCCAATGGCCGTATACATCGTTCCAGGAGGTGTTGGATGTAACCCGGATCCCCTGCGCCAATAAGGACGGCGAGTACCTGGGCTGTGTGATGCACCGCGCAGTCCACTACCGCTATGCCTTGCGTGTCAGGATGCCTAGTGGGCGGGAAAGACCTGATGGACATTCCAGTGTCCGACCCGTTTCCGCACTGATGGGCAGCTCGCCGACGTCGTGTCGTGTGGGTGTGACTTTTCGGTTACTGAGATGATCATGCTATTGCAGATCTGCGGCTCCTCTTCCGTTTTGTTGTCCTTCTGCTTGTATCCTTCTCCCCCAAAGACCATTCTCGCATTGTATCGTACCGCATCCTGTATCACCCCACCTATCCCATACACCGGAAGCGCATAGCACCTTGACGATGCGGAGAAGGCGAGACTGGCCACCTCGACCGTAGCTTCATCGTCTTCGTGTAGGTGTATGCACCGGTGTCCCCTCGACATCGATATCACTTGTCCCACTGTACGTTTCTTATGCGATTCCCAAGCATATTTCTTGAAACAGTATGCGTACCACGTGGCAGTGTCTGACGCTCGTCCTTGGTCTCTGAAAACTCAGATAGGAGGTTAAGAGATGGAGTCAGATCGGCCAGCAGCGCAACCTCTGATCAACAGATAGGTATACAACTTGTCTATGCTGGTATTCCGTGGAGCGGTCCGACCAAAAGATGTAGCAGATCCCAATTGCAACGTATGCTAGGACATGATCACGATAGAGCTCAGATGCCAGGCCAACGACCAAGCAACTCGGATGTAGTACTCCACAGTCCGCATTGGGCAGCCGTCTATTGGGCACACATGTCTCATCCCTCACATCGCTGGACATCATGTGCAGAGGATACTCGGTTATGAGCACAGCGTATTGTAGGCGGGCCAAGCCCGCCTTCCATCGGCTTACGATATTCCGCCGCTCACGAGCTCGCCGTGATGCCAGATCGCGTCGTCACCACCAACGACCGGGGTCCGGGGAACGTCCCACCGGTGGCGACTGCGACGTAAATGGCTATCTTCATGCCTTATGCCCTACTGCGCGTTGTACATGCCATCGCTACGCTGAGCTCATCAGATTCAAGGGATGAAACCAGATATTGCAGAAAATGTGTAAAGCCATGAACGACCTGCGCTCGATATCGGATGCTCTACCGGCTCACGCTATGCTCGTTCATGATGGAGCATATACGCATAGAGAGCACAATATTCGAGTAGTCCCGCCACAATTAAGATCATCCCACGGCGGAGAAATGACAGGAAGGAAGACAAACATCTCGCCGACAACCTGCATCTTCAGACGCCCAAACCCGACTCGAAGCGCCCGCCAGAGTCTAAAGGCTCTTTACATACGCGTGAGTACAGTGGCAGAATGCAGAGAGCATGGTCTGGTACAGTTGCCGACAGTCTTGGCATCCAGACAACGACATGGGCGCCGGTTGACAAAGACATGGTGTGCAGTTGCACAGCGTGAGCGTCGACATGCATGGTCCGCGGACGGGTCTGCGCATGACACCCACTGCCCACCACGCTCAAAACATGAGGGTACTGCATCCCAAAGCCCAGCGTCTTCTCGACTTGGTCTCTTACCGCCATCCGCCCTCTCCATCGCCGTCCGAGACGGTGCACGCGACCCCTTGAGCGCTATCGGGCTAAACAACCCGCGGCCGCGTTGTCCCCTCGCATCCCCTGTGCTCCTTTACGCAGTTTCCGCATCTCCGGCCGGTAAGGTGATTTTATGGGCGTATCGGGAATTGATCGTTGACCAGCTTCCGGTTCCGCAGGAAGGATCTTTATAACCCAGAGCCACATCAACCGGCTCCCGCTTGTCGACCGACTGCTCCTTGCCCTCACTCTTACTCTTCCTTTGTCCTCCATGTCTGTCGTTAGCCAATCACAGACAAGTATGCCTCAGGTGCGTGACTCTCCATACTATCCCCTTACGTTTACCGTGCCCCAGCTGACTCCGCATTGACAGCATCCCGCATTCGGTGCAAATCAAAGCCAGTACGCTTATCAGGGCGCGTACGACGGTGGCGACAACCACGCACCCAACATGCGCGGCGCAAATGTAGGACGCGCTCAGAGTGCACAAGCGCAGATGCAGACGCAGGGCATTCTCAAAAGTACGCGCACTAGCCCCTACATCGTATCCACCTGGTGCTGATCGTGATACGAACAACAGCGCCCGCCGAAACACCCTATGATCCCCCCATGAACCGCTCAGCATCCACCTCCGACGGCCACGAGCGCCGACGGGCACCCCCTCCCCCGCTCTCTCAGGACGCGCGCTTCGCAGGTCCCGCGATCAATGGCACGGGTATGACATTCGGCGACATTCTGCCTGCGAACGTGCTGGGTTCCGCACCGCCGATGGATGGCAAGAAAGTCAAGTCGCCGTCCCCGACACATAGCCGATTTGGATCGCGCTCGCCACCGACGAGCCCGAGCCATGGCGCTTCGGGCTTCAAGTCCAGCTTCGAGGGACACGGAGCTCCGCCTTTGTCGCCGAAGAAGACGTTCAAGAGCGCGGCCAAGTCCGTCGGGATTGCGGCAATCTTCGGCAGGAAGAGTCGCGATTCTGGGGAGGTGCGCGGCTCGTATGAACGGGTGGAGACGTAGCGCTGGGTCTTTCGCCGCGGTCCTCTCCAATATTCGAATGTATATGTGTGAAGTGGGTATTTCCTGTGATTATTGCTGTGCTTGCTGTACTTTGTCCCCCTGCTGTATGTAGACTGTGTGTTATCGCATTACATCCTTACGTCCAATCTGAGATAAACACTTCGTACCTGTCAGTCCGAGTGCCGCTCCATGTACAACAGGAAAAATATTGGTAGTGGGTCAAGAAGCATCACTGGCTGAATACGGCCCGATCGCCCGGGAACGCTTCGCCAGACGCGTGGCCCACGCGCAACTTCTACCACCACCACCACCATGTATGGACGCACCCATGCGGGCTGGGATATTGGTACTGCGATGCGCCAGTCGAACTGCTTAGACAAGCATGGCATACGAGGTGCAAAGATGCTTGCCATCCCCCCGAGCGAATCATTCGCCAGGTCCTGAATCGCAAGTAGGCCTCCTTCAGCGCTTCGCCGTTGGATTCCATCATCGATCGAGCGCATCTACGGCCCTCCGCGAAGAGTAAAATCTCCTCTGAGGTCTTTCGCGTGCAGTGCATGATGATATGCGGTAGTGGTGCATACATGCGAAATCTCCGCTTCCCGCGGAGTAATTGGACAGGGGTTCTAGTGGCTGGGAAGACATGCTGGATGCAATCTCTGCCACGCTTAGATGCGTCCTCTGCAATCGAGTCATTGCAGGGCCCGGGTGTGAGATAGACATCACTTCTTGTGCAGTCGAACAGCTCAGGTCATTCTACAACGCCTGACATTATATTCGCCTGCCTGACACAGCGAGACGACAACAACCGATACGCCCCCAAGGATCCTGTTTTCGCGTGACAGTGTTGTGCTTCGATCGGGAACACATATTGGTCTCGTGCGGGAAGCCATAACGCATGCCTGTGCAGGACACTCGCACGCGAAGCGCTCAAGGAAGAGTCAATGCTGTGAATCTTCTCATACTTATAGTTGCCCGACAGCAGTGGCGAGCTGCTACTCTCCTTTCCCTCACGCTCACTGCATTCACCCGACCTTGTTTCGGACATTCCATTTACCGAGTCATACCGCGGCCATGCCTGTAGTACGAGCCACCCCAGCACAGGCTGAACCAGCTCGTCCCGATACCTCCCCGCAGCAATCCGACGTCGGCTCGCCCCCACAAGGATCAAAGTCCCGAGACGATGAGCGCTTGTGGAGTTACATCAGGGAGAGTTATCAGTCGAAACGGTGCTTGAGGACTCGAGGCGGGTTTTCCAGGCTGCCATGGCTAACAGGCTTGATGGTCAATGATTCACCGCTCGCATCGTCTCTCCGCTCTGCGATGACAAACACAGAAGTACCCGAGATAGCAAAGGTGCGTCATTCGCTACCATACCCACATTCGACGTGCTGACAGATACCAGATGCTGGCAAAACTCCTCGACAGATTCGAGCGCGGAGGGATATATAATGGGCTGGAAAAGGATAAGGTGCTTGCGGATAGAGTGTTTAAGAAGGATAAGCAGCCCGTCATAGATGAGTTCAAGCGCGTCGGCTTCGGGCCAGAACCCGACAACGCGGGTGAGGGTCGTATATGCGAGACGATGGAGACCGTGTACGTGGGCAAGACCTCTGAGGCGTTGAAAGCGTACAGGAGTCTTATCGTCCTGCGCCTTTTCGATCTTCTCTCGTGGGCGAGCGGTGCACCGAAGATTCCCCAGAACAGTGCCTCAGCGAAGTCAGGAGAGCTCCGTACTGCCGTGAAGGCTACTTTTGGAGAAGGAGTGAGTCATCGAAGACTAGTACATCTTCTGACTCGTTATTTGTGCTGATCAACGTCTCTCAGGTTGCCGAGTACCTCAACGACTGGACTAGTGCGCTCACTAAGGCCGCAGAAGGAATCAGGATCGCAACAGCGCAGACACGCCAGTCATCGACGGAATTAGACATCGACTGGACACGGCCAGAGATCACGCTGCCTGTGTTCGACCAAGTACTGTCAACTCTCTCCGACACTCCATCTGTCGGCAGTCTCTTCACTTCGGTGTACTCGGCGAATATCAAATGTGTCGCTTTCGCCATCTGCTACCTCCTTAATGTGAGCACACCGGTTTCAAGATGTGACGCCAATGCGAGGAGTAACACGTCAATAGGAGTGCGATTCATCGGCAGGCGATCTCTCGCAACTTGATCTAACGAAACTGAGAAACAGATGCTCGTACGTTCATGAGTAGTTACAGCTCACACATTCTCATGTCAGCCTACGTAGACCAGACCAAAGTATGGCCCGGGGAATCTGGAATATGCTGGTGCTGGCGTTATTCGTGTCTCCCCTTCCGCTCTTGAGCCATAGAGACCTGGCAACAGAATGCAAGAGCATTCAGCTGCCTCAGATGTTGGAGGTACGATCCTCTCTGTTTGGTTCTGACACATGCTTTGCCTAAAGTACGCCATGTAGTACTGGGTTCAACTTGGAAATCTTGATCGTCCGAGGGAACTCGCACATGCAGAGTCCTTGGTTTGGAGCGTCATCTTCTCTGTCGCGGGTGGAGGTGACGCGATGGTCTATACTTCATCTTTAGCGGAGTACTGGCTTAGTGGTCCCAGCACCCGAGCAAATGTCATTGAGACGAGAAGGTGGTTCGTCGCCGGACTGCCAGCATCTGGTAAATGACTGATTTCAATGTATATTGGGCTCCTGCATCTGACTGTGATCAAAAGCTAGAACATCTGGATCCTCAGCTGGTCCTTCTACAACAGCTGGTCCTAACCGCTCTCAAGAAAGCTCCTTAAAGCGTAATAATACCGCAGATACTAGCACGGGCTCACGTCCACCCAAGGTCCAGGTGCGTGCGTGCTGGTGTTATCTTTCTCTGGTGCTCACTGCTCTTAGAAAACGGAGCATACTGACGCTATCTCATCAAAAACATCTGTTCCTGGGCCGTCAAACGATTCCAACCATGCCGCTCAAGCTGATATCGAACCCTCCGGGGCACATGTTCAGCTCTCCGTCGAGGATGCTATGAACTGGTTACTTGAAGAGAACAAGTCTCTCACAGAGAAAGTCCAGAAGAAGGATGCCGAGATTGAAGCAATACGCAGGGAAAAGACTACAGCAGAGTCTTTGATGCTCGCGCGGTGTCTCGAGTTACTCAACGGCGAGCCTGAGCAGATTGGAGTCCAAGATATCTCGGGTAAGCTGACCTCAGCCGTATAACCTTGACATCCTCAAACGACAAGTCGATTGGCAGGCGCGTTGGGCTCCCTAGGCAAGATGCTCAAGCGACTCCGTGCTGACAGTGCTGCATCCAAAAAGGATGCCACTGTTCTCCGTCTTCAAGCCCAGGAGTCCTATAAGAAGTTGCAGAGCGGACGGATGGAGCTCAATCTGTCGCGAGCGCGAGCGCGGGAGCTCGAGGGTCGGTTGCAAGATCGTGCGAAGGTGGACCAGGCGTTCGTGAAGGTAGTCGCTGGGAGAATTGAGTCGGCCAAACCTTGACGACCACAAGGGTTCCAAGCTTGGATAACCTGGCGATTTGATAGCTACACATCTACTAAATCCGAAATGCTAGCCTTGAGAGGGTTACGTACTGTACGATACAGCCCCGAGTGGCCTGAGCATTTGAGGAACACGCATCATGTGTTCGCGACTAAGTACACGGCCGCGCGCTTCGCGGCTAAGGTCACCGCCGTCATTCTCGTGCTCTCATGCCGGTGCGGTCTAGTGGAACGGTATCACCAGTCGTACGAGGCAGCAGACGACCTCGGCCTTCGTACAATGAGCCGGCAAGCTCCGCCGTGACGGGTGTTGCCCACAACCAGGAGGACTCGGAAAACGTCACGGACTTCGGCGAGTCGGAGCATTGTCAACGGATCAAACGCGGTCACGCCGCGGCCGCATTCTGGTTCGCGCGTCTTCCTCCTGGCCTCCATCGTCGACGGGTACGCTTGAATCTACGGCTTATCCGTTGTCTTTCAGAGCAGCCTTTCAGGGAAGACTTGTATATCTATGGCTAATATCGTCCCTGATGGTGTCGAGCGTGGAACGACGTTATCTGAGCCCAAGTACTGGCATCTAGGTTGCGGAGGTATTAGAAGCCTCAATCATCGATTGCGGTGAAGTGGCAAAGACTTTTCAAACAGCCATACTCGGAAAGGATACGCCGAATACGCGAGAAGAGTGTCTGACCCAGCAGCCTCATTCCTTTTTCGCGCGGAAGGACTCATGGCGTTCTTGAAATGCGCGATACTCTCACACTCTCGTATTTTCCCATTCTGGATTTCATTTTCTCTGTTCCCCGCGGTCTTATGGTCGGGTAGAAGAAGTGCAGAATGCGCTGATGAGGAGTAGATCTACGAAGGGCACAGAAGGTCTGTCTTCGTCCTTCTCCTTATCTTCCAGTCTCTTTGCGGCAAAGCTCGGCTCTGACAGTCGTGTATATAACCAGAGGATCACGTCTACTAGCCCACTCATCAAGGTTCATTCTCTTCTCCATCCGATTCAGCAGCACTCTCAGATGTCGGGATCATCTTCTGCAGTCTCAGGGAGACCGACCACCGAGACCTCGACTGTGGCAAGCGGCAGCAAGCGCAAGCATAACCCGCCTCAACGATCCGACGAGACAAGACAATTGGCCGCAGGACGACGCGATCAGCCTTCCCACGATCCGTATGCAGACTCGGAGTTAACGAAGGACGCCAGCTTGCAACGGCTGGTGGAACGATGTGCCATCGAACGGCCATGCTTAAGAGCCATAAACTATGCCTTCGCACGGCTCTCGTTTCTTTCGGGGATCATGCTCGATGACACTCTGCTTGAGGACTGCGTACGTACTGTCGGCTGGCCGCTCTTGACGGTGAGATAGCGTTCGCGCTCGCAATGTCCTCAGGCATCTTACATCCTCCCAGGATCTGGCGCGGTGGATTGACCACTGGGAACGGAACGGCGTATACGACATCGGTGCAGATGCGACAATGGGGGAGTTTAGACGCCTTGGGATCGGCGAGAAGGAAGGAAGTGTGATGCCCGGGGCGCATCAGTTCGGCGAGAACATCGCGAGCCTGAAGGGTAATCCAAGTGTTCTAATCACACACAAGATGCTCTTTCTCTATCGTATGATCGATGTCTTTTCGTGGACTGTCGGTCTGCCCGGACTCGCGCCACAGCGAACTGTTGCAAAGTCACCAACAGTTGGCGTATTCGTACGCAGCACCTTCAAAGGGGTAAGAGCTCGTGCCTACCTTTGGTTGTGTGTGATACTGACACTGTTGCTGGCACTCCTCAGCTGATTAGGACTGGGCTGGAGAACTGGGTAGCTGCGATAGACAAGACCTCGTCTGACATTCTCCAATTGCAGACAGTGTCTCAATCTCACACTATCAGCACCGACTTGATCAACTGGTCTGATCCTTCATTCACTTTCCCTTCGCGAGAACAGTTATCCTCGGTTACCCGGGATCTCCGGTCGGTTTGCGATGTGAAGGTCGATAAGGATTCCAACGCGGCGACCGTCAATCTGAACACCTTTGCCTTCGCCTGCGCGAGCCTTCTAAGGGTACGTCGCCGTTCATGTCGTGTCGCGACGGGGATGATGTGCTTACAGAACGTTAGGAATGCTACGACAAAGACGGAAAGCTCACGAACGTGAACCTACTTCGGTTCATGCTTGACTATTGCGAGTACGTGATGTTCCGAACTTGATCAGTATACAGGCCGGCGAAGGCTGAAACTCTTACAGAGGAGATGATAGCACTGCACGAGGCGTATGGGTCACTTTTGCTCTGGCTTTGTTCGTGTCGCCTGTCTTGCTTCTATCTGCAACACAGATAAGCAAGATGGGAAAGTCCGCCGGAAGCGCCGTTGTCCACATTTGGGAGGTGCGTCTGTGTGTCCTACGTCTTGATCAAGCAAAGATGATGGCCATCGTGAATAGCTCTGGCGGCAACTCGGCAACTCGGAACGCCCTGCAGTTCTAGTGCATACCGAGAGACAGATCTGGGCTTTAATCTTCACCATCATTTGTGGGACCGAAGCTGAGACTTGCTTGGCTTCGTTCGTCAAGTACTGGACGAGCGGTCTGCGATCTGAGCCCAACTACGCATCTGCTTCTACATGGTTTGTCACTGGTCCTTCGGTATCCTGTGGGTCACCATCCGTCGAGTCGAACACACATTCATCTCGACTCATAGCCTCAATCGTGACGGAAACAACACAAGCCACTGGAGGCAGCCAACAATCAGATGCTCTTGCCGGCCCATCCACTTCAGACGACATCGGCGATGGGCGGATGGCCAAGAAACAGGTATGTTCATTGCACACACACGGAATATTTGGAACAAGATCCTGATAGACGCAGAAAACGGCGCATGAAGATCACACAAGCTCGATCTGTGCCTTGCAACAAGGGCAATTCATCGACACAGTACCTACAAGAGCTCGAGGATCGCATTCAACCTCGACGACATCCTCGACGCTACCGCAGACCACCGGTGTATCTGCTGATAAGACGCACCCTGTCAACCGCAGGGAGATACTGCTCGCGCTCTTTGAGCGGCATCAGGCCGAGATTGCCGGGCTAAGAGCCGAGAAGGACCAGGTCCATGCAAGCCTTGTCGAGCTGCGCGACATGACTGTTGCTCGCCTACTCGAGGTTCTCGAACAGGATCCGGAGGGACAGGACATAGGCGACATTGACGGTGCGCTTCGACTCAGAGACTTCCTTGCCTGCTATCGCTGAGACTATTGATGTAGACGCAATCGCCGCAGTTGAAAGGCGCCAAGCACGGATGATTGCCGAAACTACAGAGTTGTCAACTAACCTCGGTCGCGCTCTCCATCGTGCCACGAAATCGGAGTCGGAGGTGGACCAGTTGAAGGAGCGCGTGGATAAGCTCGAGAGGGAGCTGGCTGAGGTTAAGGAGGAGCGTATGTTGGACCATGAGACAATGGATGCCATCTTTGCGAGGAGTGCAAAGACCCAGCGTTCGGGCTAGCAGTTGCGAGTGTAGCGTTTCGGCTGTGGAACCTATACGAATAACGTGCAGAAAGTCTCCATCAGATACGAATCCTCTACGCGAGACGACTAAGAGAAGGTCTTCCTAGGCCTTCAGTTGAGGATGTCGATGACGCGCTCAGTCGTAGGGGTTTCTCCACTGTACGAACAACTCGTATGTTTGCAAGCGCAGGTCCATCAGGTATATTTCGTAGATCTGTACAGGTGCACAAGCAAACCGTCCTTCAGACCCCGAGCCTCAAGCTCTTCCATTCAATTCTCTTATCCGACATGCACTCCTCACGCCGCAGCAGGCGCCTGCGCGGGCGCTGCAGTCTCATTCCACGGCCCAGCATCGCTAAGCGAGCAGCTCCCATGGCAAGCGTAAGTCCCACCGTACTCCTTCGGCAAGTTCTCCGCGGGAGTTTGGTCGAGCAACTTGCCCTTGTAGTCGCTCCCGCACACGTCGATCTTAGCCGCAGTGACGGGATCGAGCCAGCCCTTCACGATGCCCCATACGGCCGAGAATCCCCAGGGCGCGTTGATGATGTAGAACTTGCCCATGACCTCGGGGTACCTGTCCTGTCCGATCTGCGTCGCCTTGCCGACGTAGTCCTTGACGCGGTAGAAGTTCGAGATCGAGACATTCTTGAGGTCGAGGATCGTGCAGAACGTCTCGACGGGCGCCCGAGACGGTCGCGGATCGAACGCTCGTATTCGTGTACGAGGCGCTGCAGTTGGCGTTCGGGAGTCGTGACGGCATAGAGTGCTTTGATAAGTCTGACGTACTTTCGAGTTGGCCAGCAGCGAGACGGTCTCTTTGGGAGTGGCGTAGTTGTGTACCGATCCAGACCGATTCTGTACTGAACACCGGCTACCGGGTGCGTTTTCTTGGCTTGAGCCGGATATGACGCCATGCACGGCGTCAAAGGGCAGAGAAGCACAATACAGTAACGCCTACAATCATATAGAGGTGTATGCGCGTGCAATGGGAGTCGGTATATCCAAAATAGTGGCGGTCAAGAGCTTGAGAGCAACGATCCCTGCGCGACGCGCATTGTGATCCGGCGCGGATCAGACGCGGTCACGCGACGCAGAGCGCGCTCGAGCTTGATTTCAGCCACAATGGTGGCAGTCCACGCTCGTGTACCCTTTGAGCACCAACACGCATGCTTCACGACTTGTCTCCTACCTTCATCTGGCAAGTCGAAAGGATACTCATCTGAACTGCGGTGTGTCACATCAGACTGTGCGCTAGAAAGTACTCATGACCGTCAGTGAAACAGGCGCGTTCACGCGCCTCGACATCCAGTGGCCGGCCCGGAATAGACGATGCATACAGACTCTGAAGACAGCGATGACGGGGGTGGCGCAAGCCCGGTAGGACGCTCCAAGAACGACACGGATAACCCCTACACTAGTACATTGGCCAACAAAGACGAGAGGTTAAAAGCTCTTGCAACTGAGTACTCGAAGACGAAGCCTTGTCTGAGAACGGTCAGCTACGCCTTTCGACAGTGGTCGTGGCTCTCGGACTTCATACTTGACGAGGCCACTCTCGCCAACTCGTCACGTAAAGCCATCCGTGGCGACGTTCCCAGGATTGTATTGGTAATCATCGCACTTTACTCTTTCATCTGTCCCGCTTACAGATGCGACGAGTAGGATCTCGCAGAGTTCTTGGACGACTGGGAGCGCCACAAGGTCTATGAAGTAAAGGACGGCACTGAGTCCGTCAGGTGTTATTTCAGGCGCTTGGGCATCGAGAAAGAAGGGTCTGTGAGCCCAGGCGCGCACGACTTTGGGCGGCTTCACCCTTTGACGAAATCGTTTAGCACGCTATCAACTCACAAGATCCTATTCGTGTATCGAACTCTGGACGTTTTGGCGTGGCTTTCTGGTGCTGGCGAAACCACTCAAGCGCGTGCTGTACAGAACTCGAACGACATTGCCTCTCTCGCTCCGGCGCTCTCTGCTGACAAGGTGCGTCGGTCATGGTTCTGTATATTTGTGCAGCATACTACCCATCCGTCTCTGATAGTTTCCCGCGATAAAGAACTGGGTGAATGCCTTGAACGAGACCGCAAAGGCGTGCGTTCCGGAAACGACATCGCGCGGCGAGTTACCGGTCGTTGATTGGGATAACCTTCAAACCGCATTTCCTTCCCGCTATCAAGTGAGATCCATGAAATTAGGACCAATCGGCCAAGATCGAAACAACATGCGCATCAACGAAATAGCTGTACGCAACATCGAAACAGCTGCTTTTGCTTTGTGTTACCTTCTCAAGGTGAATGCGCCCTCATAGAGACTTGGGATGTGCCACGATCTCATGTTCATGACTGATAGGAGTGCTATGATCATGACGACAACCTCTCCCACATCAACCTAACAGACCTCAAGAAACACTGCGGGTGCGAATAGACTGTTCCCACACCTTCCCTTGCTGACCGTCAAATTAGTGGGGATGTCGACCGATGTCGGAACGTCTGGGCGACCTTGGCGATGGCTTTGTTCGTATCGCCAGTTCTCCTTCTGTGCCGCAAAGATATATTCAAAATGGAGATCCCCCTCATACGCCTGTGGGAGGTACATGAAGTTCTTTCCCGAACGCTTTCGCAGTAACTTACATTGACCTAGTTCTGGAGACGACTCGGCAACAATGACCGGCCGGCTGCGCTGGTGAAGGTGGAGAAACAGATATGGAAGATCATCCTCGACGTCATGTACGGTTCTCAGGCATCCGACTGTCTTGCATCATTCGCGAAGTACTGGTTGGACTCAGAGGGCTTGAGTGAAAAAGGGGGTTACGCGTCGTGGTTTGTTGCGCCGGGGACGGCGAGACCAGGTAGATCCCTGTCTGTTTCTTTTCGCCTTGTTAGACGATACTCAGGGTCCGTCGACATCGTCAGCAGATCCCTCGACGATACAGCCCAAGGACCCAGCTTCGAACCCCGCGCGGACGCAGCCGCTGCAGCAGGCGTCCTTGTTCAAGATCGACTCTATGAAGAAGGAGATACAGGAACAGAACAAACGTATCGCTGAGCTTGAGGAAACGAATGCCTCGATCGAGCAGGCGAAGCAGAAAGCCGATGATGCTCTGCTCGAGTACCAGCGCAAGGCCCTCAACCGGTGTACCCAGTTACTGAACGGTCACCCTGAAGCAGGCGGCGTGACTGATCTCAGCGGTCAGAGCGCTTTCATACGTCTTCGCGCATTGAACTTCTCTGACGCCTCGCCCTTTACGCAGGTGCTCTGGCTGCCCTGCAAAGAACGATGGCGCGAATGTCGAGCGAGACCGAGAAAGTATCGGCGGCAAAGCAGAAGGAGTTGAATCAAACACGGAAGGAACTGCAGCAAACGCAGAAAGAACTGCAGGAGAAGAACCAAGAGTTGAAGGAGCTTCATGCCGCTGTGCTCGGCTCAGCTGGGTGAAGGTCGCTGTCCGATCGTCAATCTCGTGCCTGTACTTATATGCCCAGCGTGTATCGAAAAAACGTCTCGTCGTCTACAGCATCTGATCAGCCCTCAATGTATTGCTCACTGAAACAAACACTACTTGCTACGTACCGTTGCGGCCGCGCTGAGGGGATCTCGAGGTCGGGTCAGCATTGAAGTTAGGCGTGCTCCATTCGCCCAAGTCTCTCGAACTGCGACGAGGAACGAGACCATTGCCCTCTCCTGGTTCACACACAGTTCAATCATCCAACGTGAATCACGCATTGGGTCCGTTGAATTTTGTCGTACGCACGAAGCTCCGAAAAGGTGATCATGATGGTGGTCGAGAGGCAAGCCGCAACTTGGAACCACCACTCAAACACCTCGCGCGGCAGCGATGACGTTATGCAGCTCAAATGCAGCCTTCCTCTGTGACATACTCTATCGCCGAGCTGTGCATAGTTACTTTCCCAGAGTAGGGGTACACGTTGCGTTTGGGGATCATAAATCTAGACAGACTGGCAAAAAAATCCACTTAGTAACCGTGATAGCAGCACTTGGTTTCGATCCAAGGACCTCGGGGTTATGAGCCCCGCGCGCTATACCAGCTGCGCCATGCTGCTGTCTGCTTTTCTCGTCTCTAACATGGATAACCTTTGTTACAGCAGCTACAGCAGCCCCTATCTCTTCGCCAAGAACATTCCGCTCACCGCGCGCGCGCCTTGCGCTCGCCGCACAACGGCACAGAAAACTGATATCGACGCCGTACTTATCTCCGTGCACACCCCCTTTCCTCCTACCCTCCTACCTCCCGCCGCCCGCACACTCCTATCCTTCCTCTGCTCCAGCCATGTCTGCGCCGGCCGAATCATCCTCCACTGCTAAGTTGGCGACGCCTCCGACGGTGCACACGCTCCCGCGCACGCACCAGCTCGCGGCGCTGTACACGATCATCCGCGACAAGGACACCACTCGCGGAGATTTTATATTCTATAGCGATAGGATCATACGGCTGCTCGTCGAGGAGGGCTTGAACCATTTGCCTGTGCTGCCCAAGACGGTGCATACGCCTACCGTGCGTCTTCTATTCATACCATTGGGAGGAATGTTGTACTGAGGGGTGATGACTTGACTAGGGCGTGTCGTACGATGGCGTAGGCTTCGAAGGCAAGATCTGCGGTGTGTCGATCTTACGAGCTGGAGAGGTAAGACCATTCTCTACCCGTGTGATAGTACGAGCAAGAGCTGATGAGGGGCCACAACTCGTCTAGGCGATGGAGCAGGGCTTGCGCGAAGTCTGTCGGTCGGTCCGGATCGGGAAGATCTTGATTCAACGCGTACGTTCTGTGTCGATCTGGGTTAGTTGAGAGATGAGATCGTTGATATGGTCGTGTGCGCGGTAGGACGAGGAGACTGCTCAGCCGAAGTTGTTCTACGCAAAGGTACGCTTCACGTCCACCCCTCACCTCTACATGATAGCTCACGCGCTAGTACAGCTCCCGCAAGACATCGCGAACCGCTACGTTCTCCTTCTCGACCCTATGCTCGGTACGCATTCCCTCTGAACCAGCTGTGGCGCGAGAATCTGACCATGCGGAACAGCTACGGGCGGCTCCGCGATGAAGGCTGTTGAAGTCATCATGGAGCACGGAGTACCGGAGGATAGGATCATCTTCATCAACCTCGTACGTGCTTACAGTCTCGCTCGGACGATGTGCATGTTGTACTCATATGCTACGGATAGATATCATCGCCTGAAGGCTTGCAAGCGTTCTACAAACGCTATCCTAAGCTTCGTGTTGTACGTCCTCCCACACCATATACAAGATGGGAAGTGCGCATACTGACCCCGATACGACAGATCACCGGTTGGATCGACGAGGGCTTGAACGAGAAAGCCTACATCATCCCCGGACTGGGCGATTTTGGCGAGCGCAGGTACGCCTTCCATCACTCAACAGACCATCTAGCCCGTGTTTCTCCAACCTCTTTTGTGGCTGAGATTGGGTTCTGAACGGACATCGCGCATGTTTGTTGCTCCATGGAGATGTGTCGGTTGACGCTCTTGTTCGCGCAGGTACTGTCTATAGGCGTAAGATTGCCTTTGTCGACAAGTTGGAACTGTATGGAGGGTGCGCGGCAGAGGTGCCGCGCGGCTACCTGGAGGGTTGCACCGTGCTGCGTCTGCGAAGCGCGAGTCAGGAGTCTGAGTCGAAGGCGGATGGTCAGCCGAGATTTGTCGTACGAGCATGTCGGTTGCTTTATCTCACAAAATATACAATGGAATTCGGCATGACCCTATATGGAGTCTTTGTATGACGAAAGCAGTAGCATTGCGTCCATCAGTCTAGCTCAGAGACCTCCAGAACTTCATAAACCACTAGCACCGTCTACAATAGAGCGGAACCAGATAAACCGCGAACAAAATGGACGAACCGCGGCGCGTTAAGACACCGTTCCCACGCTTACGCTCGTCCTCGCATATTTGCGCGCGCCGCAGATCAGACCAACTCGTGCTCTTTTGCGTCTGCCCCGCATCTCCTCTTCCTTGTCCCTGTACCTTTACCGTCTCTCTTTACGGTTCTAGGAAAGACTTGTGATATACCACCCAAAATAATGCCGATTGCTGTCTCGACGCCCGCGCCCGCCCCTTCGCGCCGGTATTCCGGTACTGCCGCCTCAGGCCTGCTACACTGGCAATCCTCAGCGCCAGCAGCGACATTGCCACCACACTCCCCCGCACTACGCCCCAAGAGCACACCGCCAGATGAGCGCCGTGTTCACGGGCGACCCAGGAAGCGCACATACGTGCCCACCGGCGATGGCGATAGCACGGGGAGCAGTACCGCCGGCAGCGACGACGAAGTCCTGCGCGTGCGCGGTGCCGGCGGCGAGTCGGACAGCGGCGAGATGGACCAGGACCAGGACGACGACAAGTCTCTGCGCCCTGTGAAGCCTCTGCCGGCCTCACGTGCGAAGAGCCTGGCGAACCCGTCTATGCTCCCCGCTCAGGCGCGCGTGGCGGCCACGGGCCAGAAGAGGCTGTTCGTCGTGCTTGAGCAGGCATGTTTGGAGGCGTATCGCGTGGGGACGGCGTCGAAGCCGGGTAGGGGGAGGGAGGGAGAGCCCAAGTATGCGCTGTTGAATTGCGATGAGCATCAGGGGATATTGGCGAAGACTGGGAGGGATATCGCGGATGCTAGGCCCGATATTACGCATCAGGTAAGAGCAGAGTTTACTTCTGGTGACTTCTATACCGCTTTGGGATTGGTGGGACTTCGCGATGCGCGGTGTCTATTGAATTGCTAGTGCTGGGGTTTTACGTGTGGTTGATACAAAGTCGTGTTCTGCATGCTGACGATCATCCCCACTAGTGCCTGCTCACCCTCCTCGATTCCCCGCTCAACAAAGCCGGCCTCCTCCAAGTCTACATCCACACCGCCCGCGGCGTCCTAATCGAGGTCCGTCCCCGTCCTTTCTCTCACCAATCATTTCAGATCAAACTGACTGACCCGTGCAGGTAAACCCGCACGTCCGGATCCCGCGCACATTCAAGCGCTTCTCGGGCCTTATGGTCCAGCTCCTGCACCGACTGAGCATCAGCGGCGTGAACGGCAAGGAGAAGCTTTTGCGGGTGATCAAGAACCCCGTCACGGACCACTTGCCAGCCAACACGCACAAAATCAGTGAGCGCTCTTTCCTTTCTGAGTCCCCCACATCCCGCTTTCCCGCGCCCATCCCTCTTCTCCCGCCGGCTTCCTACCCTGTTCTATTCTTGTGCAAGAAGAGCAACAACGCTGACGCCCGTATGTGTGATTAGCGCTCTCCGGCGACGCCCAGACGGTCCGACTCAGCCGATACCTCCCCACGCTCCCCCAAGACCAATCCCTCTGCGTTTTCGTAGGCGCCATGGCCCGCGGGCGGGACGACTTCGCGGACCACATGGTTGACGAGAAGATCTCGATCAGCGAGTACCCGCTCAGCGCGAGCGTCGCGTGCGGCAAGTTCTGCTGCGCGCTCGAGGAGCTTTGGGATATCGTTTAGATACCCCCCCCCCCC